CTTGAGCATTTCAACTATTCTGCTATCATCAGTGATATTGTCTCAGATCTCAGCAAGTTTTTTGAATCATTTTAACTTGTCAAAGTACTTGTTTGCTGTCTTATCTTCTATCTGAAGCTCCTTCATCTTGTTTTTGTGTACTTCTTAGACTGCTGGATTAATGAACTTGTCACAAACCATCTGTTTGAATACTGGCTAGAATGGCAGTCAGTGGTGCTGCCTGGTCATAGAGTAGAAGTTGGAGGAGATAAAGATCCACCATGTTTTTGTCTTGTCCTCAAAATAGGATACAGCAAATGATACACAGTAGATGTTAAAGGAGAGATATATAGAGTACACCTCAAAGTACTGTTTGTAGTCAATTAGAAATTAATCAATGTCATCTGATGCACCTTTGAAGAGTCAGAGCTTTCATAAAAGGTTGGGCTTGCATTGAATCATAGCCACATCTGTAGGCAGCATCTCCATCAGATTTGGATATTCATTGAATGTTGATCATTGCCATTCTATCAGTGGTCTGAGGAAGGAATGAAGTGAGTTATTGTCAGTGACCAGACTTCCAGTTGGTCTATCTTCTTTGCATATGATGTGCTCATTTCACATAGTGAAGCCAAGTTTAATGGCTTCTGGATCATTCACTTTGAGAGTTTTTCTGCTTGTGCTTGCTTCATCAGATAGTGGTTGGCTGCCAAGGAGTTGGCTTCCTGAACCAATCCAGGTATTTTGGAATCTGGTTGGCCATTTCATTAGTTAGAGTGCCAGCCAAGTGAGCCAAATATGGGTGCTTCAGATAGATGGTATTATATAGATAGCTCTTTTTAGAGAAATAAGAGGAGTGCTCAGCATTGGTTGAAGTTGGAATCTGGACTGATATGCTGGCATTTTCATCAATAGGTCTTCAAGATGCATTCTGTTATACATAAAAATTGCCTGCTCAGTGGCAGCATACTGTAAAATGTCAATTTTTTCCAGTTCATCTGCTACTGTATAGTCCTATCCCATGAGTGTCATCCTCCAAGTGATGTTCTGAGTGAGTGCAACTACTTTCTCCCTGTATAATTGCAAATATTCCTTCTTGCACTTGCACTGTATCTCCTCCTCTAAGGCTTCACTGTCTATTGATTCTATTGCATGTTTACAGTCTCTCTATTTAAGAGGTATTTCCAACTCTTTATCCTTATTCTCTTCATTCTCTTCATTCCTCTCACTCTCCTCAGCAGGGTAGTTGATGGGCTGATCAAAGATAGACAGGGTCTGAGGCCATAATATCACTGAGGAGTTGTTCTTCATTTCAACTGATACTAGATCTGGCCTTAGTAGAAGACTCTGTCTGAAGTCAATAAGTCCTGACTTTGAGGCTCCCTTCACTGCTGCTGCTGCACTCTCTGCCTTCCTCCAATTCTTAGCAATACTGGTGGAAGTTGCAGTAGAATCAGTTATTGAAAAAGAGGGCAGCAATATTGCCTTATAGAAATCATCAGAGAGCTTACTTGCTAACTCAGATAGAGAAAGAGGATCAGAGTCTGTAAGCCCTGAGAATGGAGCTAGCATCTGAGGGAACAGAATTGCAGATAGTGTTATCTTTGGCAGAACATTGATGACTTGTATGACAGATGTTGGCCCTGATGAGGAAACATAAATTATTCCTCAAGGTGGAGAAGTGCAAGTCTGAGATGTTAGAAACAGAGTACCTTGAAGTGATAATTAGTGAAGAGAACATACAAATGGATCTGGTCAAGGTAGCCAGGGTGGTCAAATAGCTGATACTGACCAAGAAGAAGGAATTACAATCCTTCTTGGGATTCACAAACTCTTACTGATGATTCATCTGAGATTATAGCAAAATTATCTGACTAATGACACAACTCACAGGTAATGCTCCTTGGCTCTGGAGACTCTTCCAACAGGCTGTGTTTGATGATCTCAGACAGCATCTCACAGAGGATGTTGTTTTGGCAATTCTGACACAGAACAGAAGATTCAGGGTGGAAGCAGACTCAAGTAAAGGAGCAATTGGCATGGTACTCTCTCAAGAACAAGATGGGAAGTGGCAACCAGTGGCCTTCCTCTCCAAGGCACTGACCATCACTGAACACAACTATAAAATATATGATAAAAAACTACTGGCCATCATGCTGGCCCTTGTGGAGTGGCATCACTATCTAATTGGAGCAGTCCAGACCTTCAAGATCTGGACCAACCACTAGAATCTCTAATACTTCTGACTTTCCCAGAAACTCAATTGACAACAGGCATGCTGGGTCACAGAACTCTTCAAGTATGACTACATGCTATATCATAAGGCTAAGGCAGCAAACAAGAAGGCTGACCTCCTAAGTCAATGAGCAGATCACAACCAGAGTGGAGAAGACAATGATGGAATAGTATTACTAAAACTAGAACACTTTTGGGCTATGATAATGCCAATGGAGGAAGAGATTCACAAGCAGATCAAGAGTGTGATGCAAAATACCAGCCAATAGGACTAATGAGTGGCTTTATTGCTCAATCACAAATGAGAGATGACAAAAGAAGACAGGCTAATTTTTTATGATGAGAGGATATATATTCTCTATGACCATCAACTGTGTGGAGAAGTCATTTCCACCTGTCACAACCATACAACTGCAGGACACTCAGGAATTATGAAAACTAAGGAATTAGTTTTACATGAGTATTGGTGGCTGAAAATAGGACAGGATATAGAAAGATACATAAAGGGATATGAGATGTGCCAATAGGTAAAGGCATCTACTCAATCCTATGTGGCATCACTTCATCTGGATAAGATTCCACAAGCATTCTGGATCCACATCTTGGTCAATATGATCACCAGACTACCAGACTGCAATAGCTATAATATGATCATTGTTATCATTGATCAATTCTCTAAAGCCATCATTCTGATCACATGTTTGACAGAGTTATCATCTAAAGAATGGGCAAAGATTCTTCATGATGAAGTCTATGCAAAGTATGAGATGCTGCAAGTCATTATCTCTGACCAAGGCCCCCAATTCATATCAAAGTTTCTCAATAATCTATACCATCTCCTAAACATCTGCAGCAATGCTTCTATGGCATATCATCCCCAGACCAACAGCCAGACAAAGCAAGTAAACCAAGAGATAGAAAAATATCTCTGCATATTTATTAACTACTGACAGGATGACTAGGTTGAATGGCTCACATTAGTCACATTTTAACATAACAACTATATCCACTCCACTGCAGGAAAAACCCTCTTTTTCATTAATTACAGCCACCATCTGAACATCACACATACAGAACATCTCCATATCATAACACCCATCTCCTCAGACTTTGCAACAACTATGACCAAGATTCATAATGAGACTCATATCACCTTTAAGAAAGCCACTACATCAATAAAAGCATAATATGACAAACATTGATGTCCCATCCACTAGTATTCCACAAATGACAAGGTTTGGCTTGATACAATCAATCTTCACCTGCTATGCCTCAAACAGAAACTGTCCAATAAGTGAACCAGTCCCTTTCCAATTATTGCCAAGATAGGCTTATTAGCCTATAAACTTCACCTTCTGACTGCTTGGCATATCTATAATGTCTTCAATGAGTCACTCCTCATACTTTATATCACTCCTGCCTTTCTTAACTCAGAATAGCTCTCTCCTCCTAAACCACTACTGGTCAACAATGAAGAACATTATAAAGTTGATTAGGTACTCAATCATCAGCTCTGCAAAATCTGTGCCTATAGTGGCAGATCTAGGATGACAGTTGATTACCTGGTGAGCTGGAAAGACTATGGCTCTGAATCTAACCAGTGGGTCAATGAATGTCATATGAATGCAGCTGATGTAATTCACAACTATGAACTCTCTCTAAATTGATCCATCAGGATGATGATCTTAAGAGAGGAGTAATGTTATGATTTTTCCTTTTTCTTTCTTAATTAACCTCTATGAATCTTGCTTAGTCAGGGTGCTAATACCAGTGCTTAGGACTGTGAGACAGACTTAGTCACTATAATAGGCCTCAACTCTCAACAATGAACAATGCTCTTTTGTAGATAGTAATAGCACTCAAGGACAAAGAGCACCATAGCATAGAAACATACAATTAGTAGGTATATATTTAACTTGGACTCAAACAGTATATAAGTAGCATAGCTCTCACTGTATATCCCCAGCTTCAAGCTAAATTTTATCTTTATCATTCTATCTCAAGCCAACTTGTATTGGCCTTGAGACACAACACCACACAAAACACATATAGTGAGCTTAGGCATGACTGTATGAACTCAATACAGCACCTATTTATCACATGTTTAGATCATGTGTCACTTGAACTTAACATGAACAACAACCTTGTTCATCAATCTTTCATTATATGAAAACCCTTAAGTCAGTTTGTATAGCAGAGGTCTGCTGCATGCACATTACAAGACACAGAAATGATATACAAGCAGTTTGTGACTGCCAAGATCAACCTATAACAAGTTCCCTCCAACTCCATACTCAGAGTGTCTACTGATCACCATGAGTTAAGAGGAAATTGATTGTATAGAAGCTTACATAGCAAAGAACAGTGAAATTTTGGCTGCCTCCAGCCTCCAGCCATGCCTATAACACCAGCACACAAGACATAAAGTATATGAAGTGTTATTCTTCAAAGAAGTGTGAGGTGAGCCTCAAAATTAGTTCAACAAGGATAACACTTATCTAAGGCTCAGCAACAGAGTGGGCTTGAATGTGAGACAAGTGCAATAATAAGCCCAGATGGTGCTGACATTAATGAGGCTTATAAGAAAAATTAGTACTTGATTTTTTAAAGGCTTCTGCAGCCTGTAATCTACAATTTGTTGAGATTGGGTCAACTGACATCCTGATTTTGCGCTGTGATGTCACATGTCACGCTTCACGTGATGTTGATGATTCCGGATGTCGCCTAAAATTTTTTACTTTTTCTTTTCGTGTGCCTGCCCCACTAGTTATATTGGCTGGTATCTGCTTGATTATACATTGGTATCGTAGCATTGTCCGGCTCGTCATAGTGTAGAGCACCTGTGATGCCTGTAGTTTGTACTGTATGACTAAATTATACATACTATACTTCATTGATTCGATGGAACTTTCTGCCCTAGAAGCGACGAATCCATTTCATGTTCGTATGTTCTTTACGTTGGGCAGTACAGATATAAGTACTAATAGGTACTAACCCGCTCATACGAGATCACTGCGCATCTGCCACATCTTCACAAAACTCCAGCCAGGTGCTAGAGATGACAGAATACGCATTGCTGTTATCCTCATCGGTTATGAACACCGCGTCAATCCCTTCCCCAGTAAGGTCAGACAAAAATCCGTCGGGCAGAGACGAAGGCGAAGGAGCGTCATGCAAGATTACAGCCTGCTTGGAAGCAGGTGTCGAGTCGCTGATTTGGAGGTTCGAAGATCTGAGCAGCATTTTATCAGAAACAACCTAGCAACCCAGAAACTTCAGGATGACCTACTCAAAGTTGGAGTAATAATCCTCCACGGTGACGATCAAATCCGAAAACGAGAAGTAACCCTCGTCCGTAGTCGTCCCGGGGTTCAAGACGACCGTGCCTCCCAAGGCAGATCGAGCGGCGGAGGCGTATGTCTGATACAGGGACACATCCGATGCCTCCGTGCTTGCCTCATCGAAGAATATTCCCGATGGTCTGTACGACTCTGCCCAGCTGGTGTAGGTGCTCACGTCGGCCTCGACGTCAGACTGTGCCCTGCTACCGTACGACGTTGAGACGTAGCCTACGACGACCACATTGCTTCCAGTGCTTTTGAGGGTGGAAATGCATGTTTCATATGTAGAGTCTCCGGTGCCGGGACCGCTCGAAGGGTTGATGATGACCGTGAAGAGGAGAGAGGGGAAGGAAGTTATGCTGTTTATGTCAAAGGATCAGAAGTTGACGATGATGATGAGGAAAACACGCTTACGCTTCGAAGACGGGCTCCCACGCAGTACATCTATCGTCAGGATAGACATAAAGCGGAAGAAGCACACCAGTGCTTGCGAAAGCTGTAGTGAGAAGAGAGAAGAGCGTGATGGACAGTTGCGAACGCATATTGCACTACCAGGAACGTTCATCGATGATGCTTTATATACTCATCCAATTACAATATCAGTAAAAATTTGGTCACGAAGTTTCGATGTTCGTGTTTCAGCTCGCGCATATATGAATTCGTCCAGCTGCATCCAGGTCCTTACGATTTGATGTGAGCATGTGTGGGGACGGCTAGAATGGAGGGAAAGAGGCACGTTGAAGAGGAAAAAGGTCATCATTGGCTTTTGGGCGAACTCTGTCCTATTTGCGATCAAATTGTCTACGGTATGAAGTCAGTGTGCACAGAACTTGAAGAGAGTGATGTCATGAAACTGCATTATAAAAGCACCATATGTTAACAAGAGCTAAGGCCTGGAGCGGGATATCTCTTATAGCTACCATCATTTGACATGTAGTATGTTCCACGGATTTTTTGTTGATTAGTGTCAAAGCACGGGTGATCAACTTGACGTCAGACAGCAACTACCCGGTGCGCAGCAAGCAAGTACCCGAGACGGCTTAGCGGTGGAAAGATATGAAGTTCGTATACCGGAGCGTTGACTTCCAAAATGTCTTTGTGATGTTGTTTTCAAAATTCCGTATGTAAAGCAATTAGAACCAGTCGAGCTTACAACCACTCCGACATAGGCTTGTATAAAGCCAGCCCCAGCAAAAACTTCCCAGTCGTCTCCTTCAGCAAGACCAGCCTTCGCAACATTCGGGTTCTTGGCCACAATCCTCCCCACGGGCCTGATGTATTGTCCTTTATATTTGTCCGGATCCGCTTTGACGAGAGGGGACGCGGCAGCAAAACAAGACGTATACGCCCCCTGATCAGGCCCGATAAAGAAGATCTTAAAAACGATGGTCGCGAGCCGAGGGTAGGGGGCTCTCCACGCCCAGCCGGTGTCGACACTTCCAGGATGAAGAGAAATACAGGTGATAGGAATCGACTTGGTAGATAGGCGGCGCTGCAACTCGGTGGTATAAATGACATTCATGAGTTTCGACACTCCTGCCTATAGGAATAAGTCGTTGATGTGCGGTATTATCTATTGACGTACCGTAGCGGCCTGAATCAGGCCAAAACATCTCCTTATATTCGCCGTTGAAATCGTCAATGCTTTGGAAACGAATGTCAGGGTTTGCGGATGGGCCATTTAGATGTGCGTTTGACGCAACGTTGACAAGACGGACATCCGAGTCTGGCATTTTGGACGTCTCTATCATGAGAGATAAAAGTGTCTGGGTGAAAAGGAAGGTGCTGATATGACTAGGAGATGTTTGAGATAAGGACCATCCAGCCGAGCGTCTACTCACTTTGTCATTACAACTTTGGAGACACCTGAAAAACGCGTAAATATAAGAACGCGAAGATGAAAATGTACGTACCATCCTGGTCGGCGTTGTAAGGACCGGTCAAACTGTAGAATGTTAGGTAACTTTGTCCCTGCAAGCAACATGAAATGCGCACAAAGCCGCGTTGTTGACTATCACGGCATCAGCTCAGTGCTAGAGACACCGCACGATTCACTGAGAACATCCAGCCTCTTCTCTCTACTCAAAAAGTCCTCTGCAGCATTCTTGGTCAGTCTCGGGTCCTTCACGTCATGAGGATAACAATCAAAACCAGCAAGGCTGTTAGCATAATGAATGACAAGGGGGATGAAAGAGTGGGAAGCGACGAAGCGGGTTACCTGTCGAGATATCGAGTTCTTGAATCTTTGACGAAGCTAGGCTATTGGCCAGGAGGTGTATCATGGGATGTCATTGATCAAGGGCGGTATCCAGGCCAACAGTAGCTCAAGGAAAGTATCTCTCGAAATGTGTTGATGTCGAACGCGTAGTCCTCGGCCAATCAAGTCATTCAGTTTTGACTTGCAACGTCCAGTTGGTAACTGCGAATATGAAAAGATCAGTAGTGTCACATCATCTCAACTTGTGCTAGATCCACCAATGACTTAGCGTTGATCATGTTTTTGCTTTCGTACGTTACGAGTTCGCCTGTAACAGGCTTCGGATGGAAGGTCTGTGGTATCACCAACGTTACAGCAATATGCCAAGTCTCCGTTATTTTCTTAAATAATTGAGTAACTGACTCGTTTGGCGGTGAGATGTAGGACCCCTTGGGTAGTGTTTTATCCTGAATATTTCCGGCCATAAGCCTTCAAAACCTGAGACTTTTAGTACACTCACCACCCAACTTGCTGATACTTCGTACTTGCTGCTCTATATTGATACTCACCGCACGTGCCCTCCAATGATAAGTTTAATTGAAATAGGTACAGATACATCTTAGTGCTTACTGATAGGTTGCAACCAAAGCTCAACACATACAAAAGATAAATAGTCCAAAGATATCTAGGCAAATGGAGACATAGAAGGCGATGATCTGGTAAAGGACAATCAGGTCAACAGCAAAGAGTGGAAACTAAATATAAATACCTTTCGTTCTCTGTCCAAACAACTTCATCGACTCTCTTCTCCAACCACTGTATAACATCCCCTCCAATACCCTGGCTTTCGTATAACTCAAGTCGCTTCAGCCTAACAGGCGACAAACCATTTATAATGGTCCCTGTGGCACCGCCGTCAGGATTTCTGCCTTCCACCGCCTGAACAAGCTTTGCCCAGCCCTCATGCCCATGACAGCTCCTCAATCCCAGCTCCTTCAGCTTAGGACATAGCCATGCGTTAGCAATAACGGTGCTCCCCATTACTCCGATTGCCATCGCGCCAGTCATCATCTCCTCGTCTGGCATGCCAAGCCCAGCCATGAGCACATCCAAGTGCGAACCACCGACGCGAAGGCTTTCAAGATGGGGTAGGTCGTTCAGGAATAACCACGACACCACGACACCTCCCGACCCATAATAGAATGGCGGTGACGACGCGGAGACTGTGTCAGGAATGGATCCTTCCGCGTGATGTCCAGTGCCGTAACCGTACGCGATTCCGAGATGCTTAAGACTCATTGCAGTCGACGGAGTCTTCGCAAGAAGGGTTTGTATATACTCCTCGATGGAGTCCCGTGCTTCAATGTCCAGGTTCAGCTCCTCAAGTTCCGGTAGGACGAGAGACTCGACAAGGTTCGTTAACATATAGTGGCCCCCTAGATTGAACTCCTTCAGATGGGGGAGCGTCAACTGAGAGAGGGGTAGGATGGGAGGCAGCACTGTTTGGAAGTGAAGGGAAACGCGCTCGAGGGAATGCTGATTTGCATGAAGGATATGGAGAATTTGGTTCAGAGGGTGCTGTGAGGCAGGTAGCGCGCGGAGATTGAGGTTTCGGAGATTACTTTGAAAAAGAGGCGAAGACCACTTGAAAGGGATGTATTGTAAAGTAACGGTGTCTAAGACCGGCACGATTTGCTTTGTGGACGGCGTATTAGGAAGCCACGCCCAGTGATCAGGATAGTACAGAGACTCTGCAGCTGACACTTCGAAGTGCTTCAGCAAGGGGGCATCACCTATCAAAGATAATCAGATACCTGACAGGCGAGCCTTATTCAAGCTCACCTGTAATTGATTTGAGAGCGAGCATAGAGGGAAATTGGCGGTCGAATCGAAACACGAACCGCTCCCAACGATGCATCTGTTCGACGAGGTAGTAGACCGCGACAAAACCCCAGGGTGTGCCGCGACCCCAGGCTGACTTATCGCCGCGTGGACGATCACTGGGATATGCCGGTGGAGAGGAGGGCACCCAAACATCATGACTGTGGTGCGATGACGCAGACATGGGTATGATAATGGGAGTGTTTGCAGGCGGGAGCACTCCTGTAGGAGATATCATGTATGAAGGTCCTGTAGACGGAAATGATACTGGGTATAGGAACGAGCTTGGAGGTGAGGAGGACCGTCGACGCCGACGGCTACTAATTGGGACATCGGTGGTGCCTTTTGCAACATGGAGATATATTTCGATGTCCAACGGCACTGACGAGCCTGATCGTTCAAGCCATAGTCGAATGGTTTCTGGAGAAGAGGCAGGGGTTGTGACAAGGCGTATCTAGGAAACGATCAAAATCATGGAGACGGGTACACGGCGAACATCATAAAAAACGAGAAAAGCAACAAAAGAAAATGGGGTTAAGAACTAATGCGCATGTCTGCATTGGCGCGCGCCATCGATTTGCAAAACACAAAGTCCGATGTCTTGGTCAATTATGCCGGTATAACGAGTGGCGTCAAGCTGGATTTACAGCCGTTGGTGAAATCCGCTAGGACAGAACGAGACGAAGCCTATTTCTGCCAACAGAAGAACGTCATCTGTTCCGACACCAGAGACCCGAACGGTGGCGGAGACACCATTGAAAAATAAGACTACGGGCGAGTCGATGCAGAAATACTGAAAATGAATGCATTGTCGACTATATCCGCGTGGGCGTGACTGCTGAGACAGCCGGACGTCTCAGAACCCCGGACAACGAAAAGGCACCGAAATATCCCACCGTATCTCCAGAACACGACAGAAGGAGGAAATTGGAAGTATGGAACAACGGAAATGAATACTCACTTTGGCCCATATCCGGGGCATTGCCAAAGCCAATCGCCTCCAGTTCACACAGACTGAAGCCAGAACCCACGCACAGCAAGGGTGGCCCTCGAAGCACCAATGGAAAACGTCCCGTAAAAGTTCCATCGGCAGCCGTCTCATCGGTGAGATATATGCCTGGGTAGCGAGAATCTGTTCGTCGAGCAGAGTCTTTTCGCGCCGTAGGGCGTCGATGCGACGTTGAGCCTCTTGAATTACTTTGGCGAGATTCGCTTCCGCGTCAGATATTTCGGTAGTAAGGGCCTCCTGAGACTGTATGAATGTCTCCAGGCTGCTGCGAGCATCGGCAAGGCCCGACGTAGTGGGAGGATTAGGGAAAGGTAACGGCAACATGGTGGTGGTTCAAAGTCAAGAATCGGCGTTGCTAAATCGGGGAAGTGAAGTGATGTAATCAAATGCACAGCTCGTTCACCAAGTCTTTCTCATCTTGCCACCATGGTCAAAACTTCAGACGTCCTAATTATTCTAGTGAGCTTTCTTCCTTTTTTTCTCTTTGTATGTAGATTGAAAGATCTCAAGGTCGCAATTATCTTTCCACCAGCGGCAGCCGCATTCTTGACGGGATGCAGCTGCGATCTTCTCATTAACATCTGTCTGACTCTGTACGTTTTTCTTCACTTTGGCCGCTTTCGGTCCTTGAATTTTCGCTCTTCTCAGTCTCGGCTATATTCCTGGTCATATTCACGTGTTTTGGCTCATCTACAAGAAGATGCAGGCCGAGGAGCGCTACGGAGCTGGAGGCTTCCAATGTGCGTCATGGATGCCATTCGTTTTCACGGTTACAGCTGAATACTTTCGTGTAGACATAGGAAACGGACAGTACAAGCCTTATCCTCAAGCTCAGGGCGCATTAATTCCTGGTCAGGTTCCGCCCAACTATGGTGCCACTCTGTGATCTCGATCTTCACATATACCTTGTTTCTGGATGTATATACTGGTTCGGGCGTACTTCTAATGACAACACATGGCTGGAATATATCTTTTTTCCCTATCATATATTCCCAACGGACGCTATGAAAGATACTCACCCGACCTGTCGGTGTCACGAGTGCCACTATCTTGACCAGAAACTAATTTGGTACTAGGCCCACCTTCGGATGACATATGTCTTGGCGGTAGATAATTGGAATGTCTTCGGGTAATCCGATGATGCACGCCAATTATGGAACTGTTGACTTATGACAAGACATATCAGAAAGAATACATACAAAAACAGTACCGTTCATACATCCATCGCACCAGAAAGCGTAGTAGGTTGCGAGACTGCAAGGTATCCATCAGAGTCCGTGAAAAGACCGATAGATGACATTGTCTGTGCGATGGTAACCTGTACGAACACGATACAACGCGTAGGAAACGGTGCTTGCAATTATCGTGAGCACTGAGAGCTACCTGAAACCATAATGTCGGCCCCTATCTGGATGTCAAGCCACGCAAATGAGGTGTGCCTTGAGTTTGAGGGCTCGTTGATCATAGATGTTGATAATGATCAGAAGGGTTGCCATCCAGAACTTTCAGAAATCATGATCAGACCATGCCACTGAGGATAGTAACAGTGAAGATACAAACGTTGACCGAACTTATGATTGCAGCAACGAAATTACCCATTGAGAGCATCATGGTCCCTACATAGACCACTTTATTCTCCACTAGATGACTGGCTCTGATATTCACGTTAAGATGTGGTATAGAAAAAGAATTGTTGGAGCTTACTGTATCGTTAAGGATTTAGTGCGTCAAGATCGAGGAGATAGCATTGGCAACTGGGTATGTGAGAAGGGCCAAGGAACAGCTGACATGATCCACGGTAAAGAACGACGACCCACGACGCAGAATACACGGGTCGTTCGGGCACAATAGAACAACCGTGGCTCTACAGTAGAAAGTATCTCGGCATTCGAACAGACGTACATGTACTGAGAGGCTTACTTGACCCAAGGACTATCCTTGTATCCTGTAGTCCTTTACACTTCATATAGTTTTTGGCAATCACCTAGACTATTGTCGTAGTAATAAGCCCACGACAACTGGCCGGATTAGTGGAGGTTGAAGACCTCCCTGTCCATAAAATCCACTGGGCGATAGAGAGTTCAAAGAACAGGGACGTGAAGAAATGGAAAAATCAGTGTACCCTGGATTTGGTCAAAGCCCGGTTGCAATGAATTTATTGAATGGCGACGCCGAATTTGAAAGGTTCGTTTTGGCCCTGCAATACAGTTTGTAATGAGTAATAGACTGCACCGTCGTCTGTCTATTGAAGACTACTAGTGCTGGAGGCGCACCAGTAGATCATGGGGATGGCGGATGAACTGTACGCATCAGGCGTATATATAACGATTTAGATCCTTTGTTACTCGTGATCCCAACATCCTTGCATTATAAGAATGACTATCACCGCTCGGTAAGGTTGAGGAAAGAAGAATGCTGCACGACTAAGTAGCGTCCTAGATCTGTAATTAATGTCTTGAAGCACACAGTGCATCAAGGCTAGGGTGTACGTACACATCAAAAACCCACCTGCTTGCGATAGAGTTGATCAGTGCAAAAATTTGGCTAAAGGCCGTCGTCGGATTGACGACCAGGGATGACGGCGAGCACTGGCTTCTGCTTTGTTTGCCGACGGTAAGAAGCACTTCGAAGTTTTTCTGCCATACGCTCTCAGAATTGCTGTTTACGAATCGAAGCCAGCTGTAACCCCAGATTTGAACTATCTGCAACCGTCTGGAGGGAGGCTGAAACCACCTCAGTGGCTGTGCCTTCTATTTCCCTTCGGCTGGGAATATATCTTTCGTAACGCGATGCCAGCGAGGATTTTATACAAAGAAAGAGCAAAATTCAATCTAAATAAAAACAGAGATTGTAGTATAGACAGCAAATGATGAGATACAGTAGTATGGAGCCGTGTACAGCTGAGGGTATACGGTTGAACGTAAATCCGTATGATGCTAATGGAATAATATACATGTGCGTAAGTGAATACCTGCCAGGATGCTCCCGTGATTGACTGGCTGTCCCAGGCTCAACTACGGCCATAGATTCCATGCTAGTCATGTCTGGAGAGCCCTCCAATCAGGTCAATGTTTTATCCACTTTCCCGATTCCACAGGGAGTGAGCACAACATCCAGTCAGGATTCGACATCCATGGAGCCCAGTCGCATGAAGAAATGAATTGATTAGGTGCATTCCCATCTTCGCCGTCGCCTTCAGAATCATCGTCAGCAACGACCGTAGACATAGACAGAGGCTCCGGAGTAGGCACAGCGGCGACAAAGAGGTCTTCAGCCATCGTTATTGATTCCAGCATTTCTTCTCTCATCCTGTCTCTTTCCTTCCTGTTCTTCAACTCCTTCTTCAACTTCACGAGCTCTGCAGTCTCCGATTCCTGCAGCTTCTTCTTTTGCTCCTCTCTGGCTTTCCTCTTCCTTTCCTTCTTCTCGTTGTCCTCCCTGTCCTTCTTCTCTTTCTCTGCCCTCAAACGCTCCTTCATTTCCCTCTCGCTCGTAACCCATTCTGCCGCCTCATTTGCCGCCTTGTACGGCTGGCTCTTGTGCTTCAGAAGATATCCTTGCAGCGCTGCCACGCTGAATTCTTCCTGTGGGATAGCATCTGCAAATTTCTTTGCCAATGACGCCAATGCAACGCTGGCTAGAGGCTTCGCAGAATGTTGGCTGTTCGCAACATACTCTTCTATCGGTGGTGGCAAATAGGCCCGGTTATTCGCGCCGAATTGAGACAGTATCTGGCCCCTGGATTTGTCGTTGACGTTTTTCTTCGGCGAAAGGGGTAGCGACGTGGATGACGACACAAATGAAGGGAAATGGAACCATAGTGTCGATGAGCCTGGACTCGGCGTTTGCGGAGGTGAAGGTAGGTCTATGGCCTGAAGCTCGTCGCCGCTCGGTGTAGAGCCAACTTTTGACGGCGCGGATTCTTCCAGAGACGGAAAGAAATTCCGGAACAGTGCCTCTGCCTGCCATTTCGACGCATTCTTAAACTCTATCCAGACATCCATTCGACCTGGTCGAGAGAGTGCAGGATCGAGGCGCTCCAGATGATTTGTCGTACTAGCAGAAAAAAACACGGATCACAATGCGTGCACAACGTGGAAGGGAGGAACTCACGCGAATAACAATCGACCTTCTGCTGCCGCCACTCCATCCAGGGCGTTCAAGAGTCCGCTCAAACTCAACGTGTTCACCTCTGACATTTGGTCTCGCTGATGTTTCCTACTGCGGCCCGTGGTGGGAGAACTAATAGGGATATCAATTTGATCATTACCCTCATCGTCATTCCTCTCAGGGTTTCCATTAGAGCTACTGTCTCGCGAGACACTTCTCGTGAAAGCGGCGTCCAAATCCTCCAGCAGGAGTATACATCTCGAGGGAACATGACTCATCAGCGTCGTTAGCATACTGTCGCTGATCCAGGAGGACGAAAGTGATACGACGTAAATGTCCAGCATGAGTTCGCCGGCAATTGCATGTATCAGAGAGGATTTACCGGACCCCGGGACACCATGGAGGAGATATCCTCGTCGAAAAGGAATGCCCCGATCTGCATACCACTATAATTCAAATCTCCATAAGCATGCTCTTACGGGCAATAGGAAAAGATGGCAACGTACCTGCTCAGATTTTAAAAAATCTCGAGTGTCACTGAGAAGCATCTCCTTCACGCCTGGATTGAGCACAATTGACCCCATTGGGCGTTTATGGCGCGAGTCTGTCCAGCGCCAGCTCCCATAGAAATCCGCGAAGTATATCTGGATGCGATGAACAGCCTCCGCTTCAAATTCTTACAAAATGAAAATGGCATCAGACTAAATACTTTTATCATTCAGTGAAAGTACAAACCTCGCTTGGCTTCGAGGACGACCTGTTTCAAGATTGTGTTATTCCGGGCGACCACACTTTGCGTCCAATTAACAAAATAACAAATAATAGAAACAGGATGCGCACCTTATCGACAGAACTTCGCATCCACTCCCGTCACTCTTCCTGCCCCGCTTGACCCGAAGCCAATGTCCTCCATAGAAGATGGTGTGCGTGGTGTCGAAGGTCGGCTGAAATACGACCCGTGTCTTGACCTTTCCCGGTATGTCGTCTTCATCCGAATCGTCCTCGTCGTCACCGAAGGAGTTATCAACTGTCCGTCCAAAACCGGAGGAAGAACGGGTGGTAGTCTCGAATTCTCGCGACTGTTGCCACTCTGGCCTTCGTGACAGCCAAAGCTTGAGCCACTCATAAGGGTAGTCTTCCTCCGAAAAATGTGCCGTAAGAAAGAAGGCTACAAATTAGATTGTTCAATTAGTACGCAATAGTAAGGGGAAGAACGATAAGATATCGACGTCAACTATGGTGCGGCATCGAGCATTCTGGAGGCCAGATGGAAGAAAGAATAGGGTAAAGAGGATGTAAAACTTGCTATTGAAGGCAGAATGCATTGCAATCAGAATGAAATATAATGGCGACATGAGATGTCCGTGCAGTTGAATGATATTGAGGCGCGGGATCCATGTGTTCGCCTCGGAGGTGAAGAAGGTTGAAAGGATAGGAATATGCTTACAGTTGACAAAATGTGACCTAAAGCGCCTCAGAAATGTTAGAGAATGAAGAGAGTGTGTCGAGGGGAATTACTTGCCAGGCAGAGCTCGATACCCTTCTAGCGGTTTCTACGGTGCCACCCAGGACGACGAGCTTCATGCCGTCGATAACGGAGGAGCCAGCGGCACCACCCACGAGAGGTTGGACAAGTGATTTGAATGTGTCCATAGAAAGATGATGCAGGACCTCGAAAGAGAGATTTGAAAGTGGTGATCCAATGCGGCAAAATAGGTGGGAGTGGTACAAGTGACAAGTGTAGATAGCAGCAACATCATCCTTTATGAGCACGTTGAGAACTCGTTTGTTTTTAGAAAACAGGAAGCCGCAATTGTTAATTGAGTTAAAATCTTCGGATCCGGGAACATCTCAAGAAACCAAGGCCGGATCTGGTCCGTTGACCTGTTGAAAACCCAGATTTTGCACGTATTTTTGCCAGGCCGACAAGCCATCCAAACGGCCCCTTCGCCGCAAGAATTTTGATACAGGATGCACTAGGAGGGTTACCCAAATGGCGCAAAATTAATACAAATAGCGGATTGCGCAGAGCCAGAGCCCTGGTGTCAGGGGACGAAGCTCATAGCGCCGCAAAACCTTAATGCAAGATCCCCTCATCCAAACGGATAACCATCGCATCGTTGAATTCTGACATCGAACAACAAGAAGAGACATCTGACTGATCCTGAGAACCGAAAGAGAACATTGTGTCAAGCCAGAAAGAGTCAAGATAACCCGAATCCCAGGCAAGGAGGAAATAACCTCGTGACCAATTACGCCTCAGCAAGTGTGTGGAAACGCCGCCTCCACCAGACGGCATTACTGCAGGCGTCTAATATACATCAGTTGGTGGCCAATATATCACCATTGTTATGTCCGAAATGTCACTAACCACGGGCTGAGAACACATGTTACCTCTGAGATCGGATAGCCCCCTCTCGTCGTTACGACGAGCCATCGGGGCGTGGCGGAAGCGTGGCAATGCAGGAAAACAAGTATCATTTCAAACCGTTGCAACCAGACCATTGGTAGGGTATTTTCGTGTTTTGATGATAATGAAGACGTTGCAATGTGCGCACATGGCGGCATCATTATACGAGGGCAACTGAATGGGACGATAAAAATTCTTCGATGGGAGGAAGGCGAAGCACGCAGCGGCTAAATGAGCCGCCGGGGCGGGTAGCAGTTGGGACAAAACTTGTCACAAATATAGAAATATGTTGTTTTTCTCTAAAACTTTGCCTTTTCAGGAACAAGAGTGTCCTAATCCGAGACTTTCAACCTATGGACCCGACACAATGTTACGCTTTTTGACGTGGATTGGCCTGGACATGCATCCTCGGATCTACCACCATTTAACTGGGAAAAGGCAAAAAGTTGTATTACCAGACCATCTAGGCGTGTGCATAGTTGCATATAGTGTGCAATTTGCGCCTGCGAAGCATGGCCGGCTACTTGATAAGAGTGTGTCGGATAAGCTTTAATTTCCCAACTTGCGTGAGGGGGGAATGGTTCCAAAGGGGAAAATCGATGAGGGCACGAGTCTTGACCATTCTTAGTACTAGTACTGTTCTGCGATTTTGACACGCGAAGAGACCAAGTCATTTTGATACACTGCGTCCATTGCAGAGCTGAAAGCTAAAATTCGAACATAATGAGTACTTCCAACACCTCTTCCATACTGTCAACCCGCAACCTCGTATATCTTTGCTTGAATTCTTGTGCATCAGTAAGCGTGTCGTTACTGTCTTCCATCTGTTCTGACGATTCCTCCGTTCGTTTACCTCTATCCTAATGTATTATCCTTTTTAATGCAGTGTACGCAAGATTAATTCGAATTCCTACCAAATTTCCTATACGGGAGGGTGACAGACTCCACACCGCAAATGAAGGTTCTCTGGGTGAGACCACCATCATATCTTGACGGTGGAGGACCAAAATGGCTGCGGCTCAATTCTGAGGCTCCACACGATGTAAGCTCCAATGCTTCGTACTACTTCCTCTAATCATGGGACTGCAATGTTCTCCATGAATGCCTCCGGTCCATATATTTCTCCCGTCCTTGAGACTATCTTCTGTAAAATCTCGAAGTGCACCCGAAGGACTTGCCAAACCCAAGATTCTTCCAGTGATGATCATTGTTGCGTTGCTCCTGCTGTTCAATACCGCTGTTTTCGGCGTACCGAGTACTAATCGCAGTGCTAGAGATAACGTCATGCTAGGCATGGAATATCCCTTTGACCTGTGCTGACGCAGGTGCTTAGGGTGGACGCACAACAGTACCTTCTGTTTTACGCATCACGGCGGTAAATCAAATCAAGTAGAACGAGAATAAAAATAACGTTTTATCTGCATCTTATGTTGATGACTATAGTCCGGATGTGCTCATGTATGCCGGATACAAACTGCTCCTCGAACTTGATTGGGAAGAGGGAAAGTGTTTTGCTCCTCTAATACATTTCCAGACCACAGAATTAGTCGCCGAAATGACTGCAGTTCAACGGCATCACAGTTGACGGTGGACACGCATACTACGAAGTTCTAATATGTGCCTTTCGTGCCCCTACCTACCTCTTTGAGGCGCCATCGATGTAAGCATACTACATCACGAATGACTACTGCATATGCTACGGAAACGTTGGCGATCGTGAGCGGTGTCATTATGGCGCAGCTCCTCGCAGTTGGCTTTGATACTACTGCGCGGGGAGATGAGAAGGAAGAATAGGAAACTTAGGACGTGACTCGGCCATCCAAGTATTGCGCAAGCCGGTGCGAGGTTTGCTTGAAGAACGCGTGAAACAGTGTCTTGGAATGTTGGGTGCTAGTATAGCAAACTAAGATGCTCTGTTACACTAACATTTTTCGTCTTTATGCAGAAGAAATTTCCCGGGTATCCGTTGAACGACTTATCTTCATACGGATCGTTGAGTCTGGTTTACCAGATTATTTCTCGGGCTCTTCGGCATAATGCGGCGTTTTGAAATTTCTGCAAGTGTACTTGGCTTCGTACAGTGACTCAGCTGCAGTTTCTGTCGCTGCGGACGATATGCTTCATACATTCTATTACACTAATGGAATATGCTAGGAGCAGGTTATATAGGGCATGCCGCATTGTAAGTCTTAGCAGGTTCCACTACCTTGACTTCAGTCTTTACTATACTACAGTTTGGTCACTTCACGGGCGTAAGTATCCTGGACTGTTATCACCATGGATATCATCCATGGCATCGTGGATAGATGGACCTTCTACCCTACTGGCGCGTCTTTGCTTGACCTGATGGGAAAAGTGGTCATTGTTACCGGTGGAAAGTGAGTTGTACTAAACTCTCTCGACATCCGGAAGCTGAGGATATTCATAGTACAGGAATTGGTTACTGGATTGTTTTACATCTCGCGAGGAAAGGCGCCAAGGTATACCTTGCTGCAAGAAATGAAGCCAAGGCTTTGGACGTGATCAAGAGCATTACGGAGGCGGGTATTGGTTCAGGGGAAGTCATCTAGCTCCCATTCTCATCTTACAACCGCTGAGGTTGTTCCCTTCCTAGAACCAGTGCGTTTTTGCATACACGTTCTAAAGGGAGCCCACCAAGTCTTGTGGAACATAGGGTTTCTTTTTAGATTATAACAAGGCGGATGAACCAGTCCCGATCCTCATTACTCGTCAATATTATTGCTTTGGGTCATGTCCATGCCTGACTTCATTGTCACAGAGCACTGTGAAGTAATCCACCTCGAATGGAGCCGAAGTGAAGCTATTGGGTGAGTTACTGTGGTGTGATGGAATATCTTTACTGAAGGAACCGGCTGGACAGAATCCCATCGCCCCATACTCTCTCAAGGTGTATACATCGTAAGAACTACTTTCGCGCTCAACCCCGCACTTGATAGCTGTTTGGTTGACTTAGAACTGGTGTAACGACATTCCTCATCGAGGCTGGAAGTGGGCCGAGCTTTGTGCGTCGTAACTTCCAATGATGGATGTCTCCAAAAAGTGATCATCTCCCATGTATCAGGATTGGGCGGTACCTTTTCCCCCAGGAACGCATATTTTCCTCGTCAGTGGTCATCTCAAACTTGAACATAAAGGCTTTGATGTAATCCAGTATCAGATATGCATGGTATGTGTTACTACGATTGATTAAATCTCTCCATCTGATTCTGGGTTTCCAGTTTGATATCAACGGAATTTCGGGGGGATGTCAAGATATGTATACTATGATGCCGAACTCTAACGGTACCGACGTTACCTGCGCAAATGTCACCTCTACGCTTCTGTCTGCAAACGGTACGGTATTTCAGCCTAGCGGTCCTATGTCCCAGTATGGTTTTATCAATCAAGTATATTATTCTCTCCGTTATCAGGATTGTCTACAAGGTTACCGTTTGATTAATTTTCAGTGCACTGATGTGTCTGTAACGCCTAACGAGGGAACTCCCCCATTCACTCTTACGGTAGTCCGGTGGTGCTACTATCTCAGCATGCTTGCTAAAGATCAGATCCAGATTGCACCGGCGCTCCATCCTCCGTTCAACTTGACCGAACACCATGGACCAAATCACTTGGACAGTTTCTCTTGTAAGTGTCGCTCAATAACGAATTCGCCGAGAGAGTCAATTAGATCCGTAAACTCTAGTCCCGCGCGATGCCATTCTTCATGTCAATGGTAAGCTCTGAAGTAAAAGTCTGGGCAAATGGACCTATGCATGTTGGTGCCTTCGGTCTCACAGACTGTCTGGCTCCAGGAACTGTGTAAGCTGCATGATTCATCGTCTTTCAAACTATTCGAACATGTCTACCTTCAGAAACGCCAAACATGCCAGATCCGTCGCAGCGCGCGCGCCGGAGTTGGGGGGCTTTTCGGCGGCACAGCTCTCACAGCTAGTGGACTCGTCGCGCCATTCACCTGGTGTCGTAGACGACGACAAATGCAGCGGTTAGAGGAAGTGGAACATTCTCACCTTATAACTACCATAGATCGTCGACTGCTATTATTGGATACCCCCAGGGACTCGGAATGCCTCGTGAAGAGCGCGGGCTTGCCAGTGTTTCAAGTCCGCCGATGCCCTCTGTGCATGCATCTCCGAGTGAACGTCGGTGGTCTCGTGCATTCGATGGGAACAGTTTGTCACGAAATCAATCGCAGGTGTACGTTCAACACCGTGATGGGGGGCGGGCTCGTGATGCAGCATTGGACTTACCGCCATCGTATTCAGACCCCGGAAGTCTAGATTCATCTCTCGAACAGATTCCCTTCACGCCTGGAGCAAAGACAGGGTAGTGGATGACCTGCTTTAGTGTAAAAACAAGGGGGTGGACGGGATCAATTGCCCTCCGCCGTGAGAGCTTGCTGAGACGGCTGTCATAAATAAGTGTTATATAATTTATTTAAATAATATATGAATGATAATTACATTTCCCAAACGGGGAAAACAACAACGGGTACAGGCAGTCACGTCTCGGACTTGCAATTGGGTTTCCTCTGCCATTGACCTTGCTCTACATTATTTTTCGTCTCACCGATGTCTACAATGCAGTCCTCGACAACCGATGATAAATTTCGTGGCGCCGTAGTCGAAGTAAGTTTTGGTTCGATTGCGAATTGATCTGGAGCGGTTCTAATTTGGAGGCCCTTCATCACAGGATTTGCAGTTACCGCCAGCCTTTGCCCTACCTTCAACCGAAGTCATCTCACGCGCCATCGAGCTCGCCTACGACCGTGATTTCTCCCATATTCCGTGCGTCTTCCGCCTGCTATTGGCGTCGTGGACACTGAAAGCTTCCGTACAGAGTCCTGGATCGCGATAGAAAACCTCTAGGATATCTGGATGTTGCGAAGCTGAAGCAACAATGGGAAGCAAGCAAGGCCAACCCGGTATGTTGCCAACTTGTAGTCTGCAGACATGTACTGAATTGGTGGTCTTGGAGGACGACCGCATTAGCCAGTACATGACCAAGTTTAAGCGAAACACGACGGAGCCGTACACTCTCATAACGCCTGCCACCCCTCTAGCCGAGCTCCAAGCTTTTCTCCAGGACAATATATTTGCTCTAGGTGCGATCGTCCCCGTTCCCGTAGCTTGGTGTCTGACACTGTCATGCTGTAGTGACAGACTACCAGCGCAAATTCGTCCTGGGCATCGCTACATCCCAGGACTTGGAGAACTTTGTTTCACGAAGAGGTTTCTGAACAGGAATGAAGCACTATGCGTAATTGCGCTTGTTGTATATATCCTAGACATTGTTCACCATTTCTATAACATTTACGCACGGATACTCATGCAAAGCTATAACCGATTCAGGTTCAATTGCTAAAAGACGGCGCGGTGTGATACAGAGAAATTTCATTATTACGCCAACTAAGTCGTATCCATGGCCTCGCCTAGGACATGCGTGATTTCCTCCTCCACAATCAAACTCTTCACGGTCTCCCGTTTCCATGCCGTCGTTCCACGTCGGAATCCATACTTCTTCTCCTTCTCTACACGCTGGTTGGGCATCTCCACGTTGCGAAGCATCTCAGTGTGAGTAGCCGTGATGATGCACGCGTCGACATTGGATCCAGAGCCAAGATCGTTGAAAATACCAGCAGAAATGGCATGTTTGACGAGGGTGAGGGCTTCGTCGCGCTGCAGGGCCATTAGCAGGCGATACGTGGTATACGCAACAGGACACTCACCGACATATTCGGTCGCCAGCTACTCTCAAAAACGGCCATCGCAGCAAGACTTCCAGAACCCATTGTCACGTAAGGGAGTTTGTCAGTCGACCCATGTGGATGGATGGTGAAAAGGTTGGGACCGGTAGCGTCCACGCCACCAAGAACGAGAGCAGCACCAATATGTCCTTGGTATCTGCTCAAAGTTGGAGTAGAAAAGAAGGGACACTTATAGGTACTCACTGGAAGAGCATTTGCTTCAACATCGTCATCGCCGTCACCACCCGCGGTTTACGGCCTGTGTGGAGGGCATGGAGCTCGATATTGGAGGATATAAGCGCCGTCGTGAATTCGGTATCTGCTGCTGTACCAGCACCGCAACATCTAATTGATTCTGAGATATAGTGGATCTACCAAGCGCTCAGCATGCAGCATTGTGAAGACCACAGGTGCGACGTACCTTTTCGCAGTTTTTGTCCGCGACAATAGGGCCCTCGGTAGCCCGTGTATCTGCACCAAGAACGATTCCGTCCTCAAAAAGGCATCCTACGATAGTTGTACCGGTACTGGTGGCTTTGGGCAACGGCAGTCCCTTCTCGCTCAGGAAGTTGTTTCTACACGAGACCTGTTAGCCATTAACATAGGTCACAGAAAGATTCTTCACCTTAATTGATTAGAAAAGTCGAAACCGGGCGACGAATAGACAGAGGAGCTTGCCATGGCCGTTAATGAGGAAAGGAGGGCTTGCGTGTGGAGGGTACGCGTACTTTTGCCACGTGACATCCGGACATTGTAACCGGTATTTTATAAAGTTAGGGTCCTTCGCCGACGGCCGTCCTTGACGCGGAATTTGACTCCTACCTTTACTACTATCTGCCATGTCCGTGCAGACGACAATAATCCCCCACTCCCAGCAGCCGCTTGTTACGCGTACTTATCCCCTTGAGCAAGAGCTCGATGGCTTCATTATCGCTGCCTCTATGGCCCAGAAAGCATGGTGCAAGGTTCCACTCAAGGAGAGAATCGCGATTGGGTACAAGTTCACCGTGTGTTTCCTCAATATCTGGTAGAATCCTCCTTTGACTTGCAATAGGATGAATTCAAAGCCCTGAGCGAAGATCTCCCTATGGAACTGACTCTGCAAATGGGCAGGCAAGCTCAAGAATTGCGGATAGCTTCTTGCTGACCAGCTTGGTTACTAGGCCCGTATCTCAATGCGCCGGAGAGGTTCGCGGATTCCTCGACCGCGCTAATTACATGTTATCTGTCGCAGAGAGCGCACTCTCTGATATCAGTCTAGCCGACACAGACAAGCCTGGCTTCCGACGGTACATCAAACGCGCTCCTCTGGGTGTCGTCCTTGTCGTCGCTCCTTGGAAGTACGTACGCTCCTCCGGTCAACTTACACGAGAACTAAAAGATGAGATTCAAGCTATCCTTATCTCGTCTCAATCAACGCCGTTCTCCCCGCTATTATCGCTGGGAACGCTGTCATCTTGAAACCATCTCCTCAGACGCCTCTGACTGCTGAGCGTTTCGCACTTGCGTTGACTCGGGCAGGTGTTCCCAAAGATATCATCCAAGTTGTGCACATGTCGCCTGCGTTGACCTCTCATGCCGTTCAGCATCCTTCCGTAGACTTTGTTTCATTCACCGGCAGTGTTGTAGGTGGACGGGCGGTTGAGGAAGCAGCCGTTACAGCGAAAGGTTTCAAAGGTGTTGGCTTGGAGGTGTGTGATAACACTCCTCATTCAAAATCGCTTATCCGACCCTGTCATTAGCTTGGTGGAAAGGATCCCGCCTACGTACGACCCGACGCAGATCTAGATTACACAATCGCTGAACTGGTCGACGGTATGGCTCTGCAAATTTAACACACCTAAAGCTAATGAAATGAAGGGGCTCTGTTTAACTCTGGTCAAAGCTGCTGCTCCATCGAAGTAAGCATGAACTTCCCTCGTGTCTCTGCTATTTCACATACTCTCCACTCAGAGAATCTACGTCCATGAGGCAGTATATAATACTTTTGTTGAAGGCTTTGTGAAACTCGTCAAGGTATATGTGTGTTCACAAACAACCAGGCAGCATGTGTTGACAGTTCCTTTCCAGGGCTACAAACTGGGTGATCCCACACTTCCTGAAACAAATCTAGGTCCCGTCGTTTCCCTAGCTAGCGCTGAGAGAATCCGCAAACAAGTTTCGGATGCAGGTACGTCAAAGTCTGCCTCGTTGTTTACGGTCGTCTGATCATCTTGCAGTGAAAGCTGGGGCGAAGGCGCTTATACCGGAAGAATTATTTCCGATGGCGAAAGCGTGAGTATTTACACACTTGGTATGTTCAAGTGCAATGCTGAAAGCTGTCACAGTGGAACTACGTATGTTGCACCTCAGGTTCTAGTCGATGTGAATCACAGTGAGTCTGCGTATTTATTCATCCCACTTCTCAGATGATGAAACTCGATCCAGGTATGAACGTCATGATGGTAAGTCCGGAAGGAGATGGTTCTACCTCTGTGCTCATAGATTGTTTATAGGAGGAAACATTTGGCCCAATCATCGGAATACAGAAGGTCTCTTCTGATGAGGAAGCTATCAAGCTTATGAACGATTCTCCATATGGACTCACAGCATCCGTGTGGATGAATGCATCTGCTAATCCAGCATCCGAGGAGGCGTTCTCAAGGTTTGTTGAAGAATTGGAGACTGGAACAGTCTTCCTGAACAGGTCTGTCTACTATCTACGGAGATGTACAAGTATTGCTGAAATTTAAGTAGGTGTGACTTTTTGGACCCTGCACTGGCATGGACTGGTATAAAGGACAGTGGCAGAGGCGTCAGTCTCAGTAAATTTGGTGCGTTCAGTACCCGTCAATCACGACATTCGATGTACTGATTGGCTGCTAAAAACAGGATATGACCAGTTGACCCGGGCCAAGTCTGTACACATGAAGATCAAAACATCATAATAGGCTGGATTTTTGTAGGTAACGTAGATGCTGCAGAGACAATTGTATATATGAAGAAATCCAACAGCGTTCAATGAAGATTATCACTATCCTGGAAGCCGTCGTTAATCACGTGATTCAACGCGTGTTTGCAGCACCGCCGCTGATCCGACACGCTGCAAAAGGGCGACGTCCAACATAAATTTAAATAAATGGCATCGATTCATCCTTACCCCACTCGCCCGTCTTTCCAGCCCCCCTCCAGCCGCTCCTGCTTCTCGCGAGCTACCCTTATTCTCTGTCCCCCATGAGCTGGCCTGGATTCTTATGCATATCGCTGTTCCTCCATGCCCTTTTTCATTGCCAGCCGGGCAGCGCCTATGACATCGTACGGGATTACTCGGGGAGCTCCTTTTTCGACCGATGGGATTTTTTCGGGAACTGGGATAATCTCACGTTGGGTATGTATTTTCCCCCCTTCAGTATCATACGGCTTGGTGCTGAATTGAAGGAAGGGGATGTCTGGTGGCTTAGCAAGGCGGATGCCATCGCTCAAGGACTGACGTATGTAAATAATGCGGGAAATGCGATTATAAAAGTGGATAACATGCACAATGTGGTTTATGGGCAAAAACGAAATTCGGTGAGGGTACTCTTGTGTGTCCAGCTTCAAATCTTAAGTATTTCTTTAGGTCCGGATAACATCTCAAGACATATACCACGTTGGCAGCTTGTGGATTATCGATGTCAAACACATTCCGTTCGGTTGCTCTGTACGCTTCCACCGCCTACACAAAGCATTTTGACTCAAGTACTCGTCCATCCTAGGTTTGGCCGGCCTTTTGGACTAAAGGTTACCAAGATGAATGGCCTGTGGGCGGTGAGATTGAGTGAGTCACGTCCAAACACGGTTCTCTGGCTTTGAGGTTTCCTTATCCACTTATTCCGCAGTATCATCGAAGCCATTAATCTGATGCCAAATAACCAAATGGCTCTACATACGACATCCGGGTGCTACCATGTCCCGGAAGATCAACAATACCAAAGTGGGGCGACTACTCAAACAGACTGTTCTCTGTCCTCCGGTTGTACCGTTCTTGAGTTGAAGGAGAGCAGTTTATACACTGGTCTTGCTGAAGCCGGTGGAGGGGTATGGGCTACGCAATTCGACGTATCCGGGTGAGGTTTCAATAGCTTTCGTCCAATGTCGTAATTACTAATACGTGTGTACGGATAGAATTTTGTAAGTTTCAGCCCGTCCGTGGTCGTTGATAGCTAAACATAGAATGTGCCCAGCATCTGGTTCTGGAGTGTACGCCGCACTGTCACTTCTTACCACCCAACCAGACTAATTTTTTCGCATTCAGCGTCCGAATGTTCCTGCTTCGATATCTGCAACAACAGCATCGACAGGCGTTGATCTTTCCGATTGGGGTCCGCCTTCAGCTAGTTACCCGGCGACTTACTGTAACATCACGGAGTTCTTTTCTGCCCAGAATCTTGTCCTTGACATAACACTCTGTGGGGAATGGTAAGAGAACACTTTGCTCATTGCTTTTTTACGACAGAACTCACGTCTGCTCCAGGGCTGGCCTCTCAAGTCTGTACTTTCCTTCTTGCGGATCTGGCACAGGCACCTGTGTTCGTATTGACGCTCTTCTCGCCATCCAGTTACTGACGATCCCGCAGTACACTGATAGCGTTGTTGGGCCCGGCTCCACCTTCAACGATGCTTATTTTGAAATATCTTACATTCGCGCTTATACTACTGGAGCGCCCGCGCCCACACCGAACGCGCTGGTGAGCATCTCAACTTCGGTACCCACCGGACTTCCGACAAGCTTGCTGGCGCCTTCGACGCCCACAGTTTCGAGTCTGTTCTTCCCTGGAAGCGCAGAAGGTCGTCGAGCCAATTCGATACGGGCGGTGGCCGCGATTCTGCTGGTCGGATTCTTTAATCTTTGGTTTTAATCATGTTATATGCATGTTGTAATTTTACGCTTCGCGGTTGGGACCGGCGTTTACGATATAGGAAGTGACATACGACACCTAGACAAGATGTGTTATGCTTCATCAGGATTTCTAGACACCATCGAGTTACGTTTACTCATAAACAATGCAATGTATGTTTCAACGATAGAGCAACCTCCATTCTTTCCAATAACTTGAACATGCTTTGCAATTGTGCAAAGATAATCGATTTTACATTAGATAGTAAAGCTCTATCCTAGTTGTTGTCCTCTATCACCACCGTTAGCAGATTACGGTTCTGACCTATCGCCTATAATTCTTCTACGTAGCTAAAAATTGTACAGATTAGTCGATGTGCAGGTAACGTAAGTGCCTCATGAGTTACTTGATCTCCAGAACATGAGCTTCCGCGCCACCCCAGGGAAGAGACCTGACGACCTCGTGTCAGCGTTGCTTATCGTAACTCGCATTTCTCTGAAATGCCCACCGAACACTATCGCTGGCCCCCAAGCAGATAGTAGCAGTGCAACGTGCTGCGTTCCAAAGGGTGTCGGTGTTTCATGTCTGGCAATAACATCGACGAGAGGTGATATACAAGTAAGGAGAAGAACGATCGCGACGGCACTGTGGAAAGGAATTGAATGAACAGATATGTTGTCCATCTGAGTCCAAGACTTACACTTGAAAAAACATGATACGCCATATTGCAGGTGACAGGTATGCAAGTCGTTTCTTTCGCCTCGGCATAGCTATGGGCAATGCTATCATCAGCTTCCACTCTCAATGATGAAATAGGAGTAGTCCCTACCGCCAAAAGATAGGGTTTTAGAGTAGGGCGATCTGCAGTCGAAGTCACTACATGAAACATCCAGTGAATCCAATTCATCGAGTTTCTCTCCCCCACAGTCATTAGAATCGGGTTGGATACCATCGTCTCCAGGGCGAGTCCACACCAACGAGCTCGTCTTGTCTTGCTCGGACCCTTCGGGCGTCGCAAGGGCTATTTCATTCCAGTCATTTCCGATGATAGCAGAGAAATCAGGATGTCGTGAGCCATCTCGTAGTATACTTGGGGGAGGAGGGTCAACACTAGCGAAAGTGGGGAAAGAAGAAGATACGGGGGAGTCGAGGACGTCAGTATCTGGTGGAAATAGAGAAGAGCGAGATAAGGTTGAGTGATCTACAGATGGGGATGATCAGAAGCTGAAGCAAATGCATGAGATTAAGCCAACCAGGTGAATCGAGTTCACGACCAGAAGGTGCGGCCTTCATAGAAGACGGACAAGGCGACGGAGCAACCTTGGGTACCACTCGACGGCTGTAGAACCTCCAAGGTAAGCGTGGACATGAGTCAAACCGCTGATTCTCGAACTCTTCCGAGCGTGAACGCTGGATATGCTTGCTCGTCTTCAAGGATCGCACAATGGAATTGATGGAGAAAAATAAAACGGGTGCAGCAAGAAGTAGCGGTGTGCCTGCATATCCGAAAAATCTCACCCTATCATGAGAGACTGATTGAATGACTAGGAACGTTTGACGCTGATCATCACTCACCAGACAGGGTCTGATGCATCACAGTGGAGGTCTTCAGTGGGCTTGACAGCATCCAATTTGATGGCAACGACGATCTGTACAATTGTGGCGACAATAGGAAAGACCAGGAGCGTAAAATAGTAATGATTCCGCCACACCAGCGCCCTATAGTTGGCAATGGTCAATGAAAATTATGGAATCTACTCAAGCTGATGATGGATCACGTACGAGCGTTCCGCATCCGCCCATGACTTGGGCTTCCACACAATTATACACGTAGCGATACAGAAAGACGCGCAGACACCAGTCATCACAAAAGTAGAAAATCCGAGAATAAAGGTCTGGGCTGATATAGAGTCAGGGAGAAGGATAATGGCAGAGTAAGAGTACGACCTACCAAGGCAGAATGCCCTAGGCATAGCATAAGGATCCATCTTCCAAACCATACCTACATAGAAGGTGTCAACATCGACTTCAATGCATTTCACGATATTTCGAATTTTTACCAAGGCAGAAGACCCCTTGCATTAGCGTACAAGCGACACAATAGATCAGAGGGCCCCAGTATGATCCAATACAGCGTGCGAAAAGCATAAGGACAACCCAGCAGCTAGCAAGGCCTGGGGGGAGGAGGGGGGAATTCGCATCGGGCCTCAGTAGAGATCACGCGAGGTAGATCACAAATAACCCACCTGTGAGTGATAGCACCATCCATACCACCTTGAGTGCGAACGGTAGCATGTTGTACTTCAGTTAACGATCATCATCCGGCCACGACGACCAGTGGCCACACAGGTCTATGCAGCAAGTTGGAAAAAGAGGGAAAGGGAGAACAGCAGCACGCTGCCGGCATCAGAACCTTGTGAACCCCTTCAATCATGGATTTTTATTAATTTGTCTGATCAGCTGTGGAAAGCCTTGCCATTAGGAGAATTGTACCTCATCTTCGAAAAATCAAATGGTGGGAAACCGCGACCGACACGCTACCGCATGCTTCTCGAAGGCGGAGACAGCGAATTCGATGCGGTCCGAAGCAACGTATTTGCCTCCCTTTGCCGCGTGGTGCCTTAATTCCACGCCATTTCCATCGTTTTTCTTTGAGAACGGGCCGACAGGTTTGCCGGGTCAGTGGTCCTGCCACAGAGATGACCCTGGTCTCCATTTTACTGAAGGTAGGTACGAAGTTGCGACTACGTGGAGTGTCGGCTGGAAACGCCTGTCATTCCAATTATAATGAAATACCTATCGGAGATCATTGAATGATGCTGATGTTAGCTTCGAGTCAGCTTACATTTACGCTTCGGTGAAGATCTCTGCAATCCGCCGTATGCGCATCAGACGGAAAAGACAAAAAAAAAGAAAATTTTGTGATCTTAAGAATGATTATGTATTCAGTAGATATGGATATTTTCCGAGACAAATTGAAGTTTCTCCTCCCAGAATTAAAAGCGATAGCCGGCAAAAAAGAGAGCTAGAAACCTGAGAGGCCTAGTACAGTCTCAAGCCGTCGAGGACAACATTGGGAGACCTATGTCGGGGTTAGTGGGGTGTAATAGAGCATGAGTTGGATCAAGTGCTTACAAAAATTCGGACCCAGAAGAACCAGAGGCAACGGTAATGGTGAGGGTGTTTACGGCCGATCCCGTGTTCAGATAACCAGTAGCTAAAAGACCAGTCAACCATATGTTGCATGACAGGAACAAGACATTGAACGTACGGATTGAGTATGTGTACATGATGTTCTGTCAGATGTATCAATAGAAATTCGACCGAATGCTTGACAACGCTTACATTTCCACGCCATGTACCACGAGTTACACCTTATGCAAGGTATGTTAGTTATCTTGAAATGGGATAGGGAATATACCTCTCGAATCCGGTTGATCTGGAACAGACGGCGTGGAGCTCGTCCAATTGTTGACAGTGACTACAGGACGACCACCTAAATGCAAGGTATGAGTCATGCGGAGCACGGAGACGTCAGGCTAACTTACCTGCGAAGGCGAGAGTGGTTGCGATGTCAAGGGTTCGGGCGCCACCTAAAGGGGCCCTTTAATCGCCGCGTTCAGGCATTACGATAGATGTCGGTACGTGCCCTGTGAACTCGACAACGTGAACTTCACCGTTACTGCTCCGATGTCCTTGTATAGAAGACGCATTATCGAAAATCCAGGATGCAGAATTTACGACTCACTTGGAATATAGCCATAGGGAACGTATCCTCATCGTCGCCAACAGTGAAAGTAACTTGATGGCACCATCAGCCCGGTAAGATAGGCGTACAAGGGTTTAAGCGCATACCCGGGCCCCAGTCAGACATTCGGCTGTCGCTCGGACTGGAAAAAAAAAGACGCTCTTCAATCGGATCGGGACCGCTCAAGCGCCACTTACTGCATCGTTTCAATCTTGCTGCAGAATTTCAGGACGAAGCTGCGACATAAAACATCCGTGTAGCTTACTCGGCATTTAGGAATCCTCTTGGCGTGCCATCAATCTCACCGATCTGCCAAATCACAGTTGGTGTCTGAAGGTATATATGCGTTAGAAGGCGAAACGGGTCTCCGATGTTTGGGAAGACACTTACAGCCTCAGTCGACGCGATGTTGGACGTCAGGACGCTTCCAGCAGTAACAGTGACACTCTGAGTGGCGACTGCCAATTCCATTTTGTATACTGCATCCGAGAAGCGGATTATTAGCTTTGCGAAAAATTTGAATGGACATACTAACGCGTCATCGTGTAGGTACCGGGTTTCATGTAGGGACTGACGAAGTCACCGTCGGAGTCCGTTCGCACCCTTGATCACGGACCAATGATGAAATAGTCGAATATTGACGCCGCACTTACCAGTATTGAGCATCACTGTTACTGAATCCAATAGACATATAGTCGGCGTACGCCGAAGGATAGCCCGAAGCACTTCCTGTGACCCTACCTCTGTCATCTTCGGAGACCCATCCTGTTACATCAAGACCATCCCAGAATGAGGTATCTACACAAAGTTGAACTGAACACCCAATGAGACGGTAGATCAACGACGGCTACCGATGTCGGTCGAGGGAGTTGATCCGGTTGTAAACCATAAAGCACTAAGTGAATATTTAGCTTATAACATTTCAGAATATGGGTGTCCAGACTTACTAAGGACCATGCAGACCCATGCGAAATGCTGCCTGGCATGAGCTCATTTATCATTAACGCCGAAGGGCAACGACGAACATTCTGTCTGTGTATGCCCCGAGTTCTAAACGGACACCTGAGATACGTCGCACACAACAATGGATCAGAGATCCCTACCATGTCTACATCAAAACATCAGGACTAGGTCGGATCAATAAAGGGTAAAACTCACAGAAATAAAGCTCTTGCTGCGAGGCTGTCAATACGCCATGATCGAAGTAGAATGAGTTTGATGCCCAAATGAAAAAAGGTACCACTGACTTCCTTGGTTATCAATATCGCGCATGAAAGGTCCACCGGAGCTGGCTTCATATCCGGTGCCGGGGATAATCATCCAAGCGGCAATGCTTGATCCAGAAACTCCGTGAACTTGGTCATCAATAAACTGCCTGGACGAGTAGAATTTTGACCTTGTTTCAGTCCCTACCAAGTACACGTCACTCCCTTCAATAGCAGTCCCGCCTACAATGTCTGACACCTCATAGCCATTGGGAAGTGTCGACTGACTGAGACGTGCGATGAAGCGAAGTTCGCCGACGGACGGCTCAGCTGTAGTACTTGCTCTTTTATTAGTTAAGCCTTCACCTCCGGCGGTCATAGACTTACTATGTAGCCATATGGATAGCTGGGTCGGTGTATCTGGCAACGTAGTACCTGTAAAAGAGAATTGAGCATAAACATATATCGGCAAGGAGAGAATGAATACTGAATCAGAGTACTGGTGGTACAGGTAATCTGTGGAAAGAGAATGAATTCGAGATGTCTAAAGGTGAAAACGATAGACTTACAGTGATATCTGATGAAAGAACGAGTCAGTAACGGTATATGATACCATAAAACTCTGCTCACAGTTGTTATCATGTCCCCCTTGGATCCATGAGCAGTCAGCGTCGATACCTGATGCAATCTGGCTATATTTGCTGGAATCTTGTGCCTAATTGGAGATAATCTCAGGTCGGAGAACTAAGCATAAAACTCCAACACAAACCTCAATTCCATTGAACTTCATGGAAGTTATATCTCCACTAGTCGAATCCACTACGGCGAGTAGACATAAACGCAAAACGTTGTAGATCGGGTACAGAAGACGTACCAGTGAAGATCAAACCAGCAGAGGTGTCGACAATGTACGAGTCCCCGCTCTCAGTGAGACCGAAGCTAGCAGCTGTCGAGCATAACGACGCGAGGAACGCAGCAGCAAAAACGAAGAACAACATGACCGTCACCCAAGGAAGGACCGATGAGATGCACCCCAATTTTTATAGTGAGAGAAAAAAATTTTACTATCCGCTTCAGCCGTTTCACCTCATGAGGAGGTACCTGAAATAATCTCATGATGAAAAGAGGCTCAGACAAAACCTCGGAAACTGTAGTTGGAATACATTGACGGCCCGCCTCGTTTCTGTCAGAAAGCGCAAAGCACATCCCATGACTTGATGTATTCATCTTGGAAGCGACTGATAGAGTGCAAATGGCCATCGGCAAGGAAGAGTTTAGCCTTTGAACAACGAACGGCACATTAGCGGGAGTATAATGGAAAAATAAGCACATCGGTGCACAGACGGCCCGTGCTGAAGATCAACGAGACCATAGGAAATCATACATGATCATAAATTCTGGCCCGGTCGAACATGGGTAGTTGTTGCCATCGGAAGCGAATGAACGAAGAAACGGAAGGGTCGTCGAGTGATGCACTGCGTTCTAAGAAAACAGAACGTTCTGCGAATGAAAGATAACCCGAATTTGCGCCCACTATGGCTTGGCAAATGCAGGCTGGCCGTCAGTCAGAATGTGGCTTTGCATCGAGACATCTGGATTATTAGCCCAGCACTCTTCAGAGACAGAAAAAGACTGTGTTTGTATCTGTGTCTCTCGAAGGCCATTGCCGAAGTCCAAAAGAAAATAAATTATTGGGCTAGAAAACAAAAAAATAATACAAATAACTTTGAGAGATGACGATTGGTGACAATGAATCCGTGGAATGTCCCCTGAGTTTGGAAAAATGAGGAGTGATGCGCACTGCTTCCCGCTATTAATCGCTATCGTTGAACTCTTCCTCTTCAGCCTTTCGGATTGTCTCCGCGATTCTTTGTTCCTGGATCGCTGCTTTTAATGGGGGCAACACGGCAGGAAGGTCAACTCGGCTTCCTTCAGGCCAATGGCTCAGCACCCATCTACGCATGGTTAGACTGGCCTGCAAGCATGTTAGCCCGGCAATATCGGTGTAAAATTGACCTACCTTTGCAAACTTCTTGGACGAGTATTTCTTGACAAGTGTCGCAGACTGCCTAGCTTCCGGACGTAGCAAATGGTTGAGCAAGATGTTGGCGGTAGGCAGAAGTTCGCTCTCTTTGAATGTCGAATAATGCGCTAAATTTGGTGTCTGTAGAGCACAATCAGCACGAACCAACATGAGAATCGAGAATGGTCGCACCCATTCTTCTCGACCAAGAGCAAGGCGTGCCAACCACAGAGCAGCCGCAGCTAGGAGTGAAGCCGGTGTCGCCACGAGACGCCATTCTATGCAGCCCACTTCCAGCAAGTACTTAGCAATAGTCCGGGCAGTGATTTCCAAATCATCAGCCTTACTTCCTCTGCGCAACCAAGTCATCGGTCCAGCGTAGCTCAAATCCCAATTCAACGTTTTGAGAACATATTGTTCTGCCTTCAGCATTTCTGACACCGTATATTGGTCTCCAGCAAGCCTGACGATGTCTTCCACACTAGGCGCAATACTCTCCTCAAATTTGGCGGCCACAAAGAAACACGATATTCCAACGAGCTGCAGCCGTGAGATAGACACCATTGGACGAAGGGACAGAAAGCGGTCGAAGATGTTGACATAGAGGAAAAATGTTTCGGGGACGCATCGATACATGGTGTGGACCTGCAACATCCAGTCGTGGAGAATAGCTCGTTTGTTCCAATCGAGTTCCTCTTGCTGGCTCATGTAGGTTGGATCTGGCAACGTTTTGGCCTGTGAAGACTCAATAAACTTCACCAATGCAGGGTAGGAATCAGAACGTACTTCGACGTCCTTCATATACTGGCACACTTCAACAACGTACTCTGAAACCATTAGCGGGTCGTCATGATCTTCAGCGTCAAGATCATCCCAATCATCATCTTCTTCCGCAAGTTCTTCAAGATGAGCAGCGACGCGTTCTGCCTCCACCTGCGACTCATCTTGAATAGTTTGCTGAGTCTCCACTTCGGCTTCGACTTCTACAGGGGGAAGCGCTACGCGGGGTGAAGGTGGCGGTGATCCTTTTGGTGTGGTGTAACGTCGCTTGAACACACGTGGTGCTTCTTCGTCAACGGCGTCGAGATGTTGTGAAGTTGAAGCGACGGTCACAAGTTTGTTGCCTTTAGCTGAAGAGTGCGAGATTGCACGACGATGTCCTAAGACTTCTTTATTTGTGCTGGCCACCGTGAACTTACGTCGAGTAGCTGTCTCCTTGTTCACCACTGGTGCAACGCGAGCGCCTACTGTCGTTCGTAATGGCTGCCGCGCTGGTTTCAGAACTGGCTTCGCGATGGAATCATTGAGCTTGGCCCCCTCCTTCTCTTTCTCCCTCATCGTTATCGTTTTCGGTCCATTTGGTCCGGATACCTCAGCCAAGACCCCGCGCTTCCTCTTCCCTACACCTGCCTTCTCCGCCATCGAGTCGGCTACCTTGGTCTTGCTGGATGGTGCCACCACACTACCATCGTCCTTGCCTGCAATGGAAATGGTTTTAGAGCGCGTTGCTATCCTAGAAGCGCGAGCGGTGGCATTCTCGATATCTTTGACGACAGTGCGGACGGTCCTGACCGGCCTACGAACCTAGTGAACATGGTCAGCGACGCTCAACGAACAGAGCGATTTAAGGACAACACACAGGAATATTTGAGGCCATTTACGAACTATAATATAGAAGCATACGCTGAAGCAAAGGGGAAAGATCGAGAGAGGAGAATGATTGATGAAGGAGGTGGGGATGTCGCTGGCGGTCTGCGGTGAAAAGTCGGCCTCCCTGAAGGCCTTGAAGTTGTTAGGATTTGTCCTTGTTGCAGTTTGTTTGCGTGTTTATGCTAACGCGTCTTTCACGTGACCGTTGGTGTACCGCGACAGAATAGAATAATGAGCTAGCTACTACCGCTATGCCACAATAAGATCGACCGACACATAAAAATCAAATGGACAAACATTCGGCATTCTTTCCAAGATGAATTATGGTTATCGACGGAGGTGCCAACAATGGTCTCACGGGCCACATGTATCCACCAGTGCATTCCCATCAAGAACCGTGATCATTTCCTACCTTGACTACGATGTCGCCTACCTTTGATATGGTCGATATGAAGGGCAAAGTTGTGATTGTCACTGGTGGAAAGTGAGTGGTTGCTGAAGGACTCTTGTTAGTGATTCTGATAGTGACATCCAGCTCAGGCATTGGCTATGGGACCGTCCGCCATCTCGCTTGAGTTGGTGCCAAGGTCCATCTGGCAGCAAGAAATGAGACACGGGCTACGGAGGCTATAGTGAAGCTCAAGACCGAGTCTCTTGAATCTGGGAATATGGATATCGTATGGCTAAAGCTCGACCTCAGTGATCCTCGACTGGCAAGACAGTCCGCGGAAGACTTCTTGCAGCAGGAAAAGCGGCTGGATGTGCTAGGTAAACCTTTCTTTCTCGGCTCTCTTCCTTGACTAGTCCATCAGTGCTGACGCCCATATTAACAGTGAATAATGCCGGCTTGTAGGCGTGAAAAGCCTCGAATTTCTCTTCCAATAGCTGACAGCCCTTGACAGGATGTTGGAACCATACGAAGCCGGGCCAGATGGTGCGTCCAATTAATTTCAGTCCCGAATTCTCACTTAATCTATTTGACAGGCATGTCAAAGCTAGTCATCGTCAAGTTAGTCCCCCGACTACTTAGTTACATGCTGATACATGAATACAGTGCCCTTCAGCTATCTCAGTCCCTTCGTTTTCACGCAAACGCTACTTCCTCTTCTCATCTCGACTTCGCAGGAGCTGAATTCCGATGTCAGAATCATCAATGCAAGTCGAATTGGCTCGATGCTTCACTCATCTGACGAAGGAATTTTTTCCAGGTTGCTTCCATATCACATAAATGGACTCGTGGATTTAAATGTGATACAGTTCAAGATCTGAATGTGTCATACGACAAGAGATGGTTCTCCAGCTTCTGGCGGTATGGTGCGTCTATATGGGTCCTACACTCATTTGTCAAGTTTATCTTTCCAACCAGCCCACTCTAAATTGCTGGTCATTCTCTGGACCAAGTCTCTTCAAAAGAGACTTGATGCCTCGGAACCACCGGTGCCTATAACTGTTATTTCACTTCACCCTGGCAGTGTAGACACCTTTACTCATAAGTGGTCCCTTGCGCCTCTGTGGAAACTACTGATCACACCGGTCGTGACCGATATAGAACGTGGGTCGTACACCTCTTTTTTTGCGGCCGCGGGAAAGGACATCAGAGACAATCGGAACAAATACAAAGGTATCTATCTTGAGGACAATCCCCCGCGAATCACCAATCCGAGCAAAGTAGCACGAGATGACGATCTTGCCCAGCGTCTTTGGACCATTACCGTTGGCTTCTTTTCCGAGCTCAGTTAGGTCTACAAGCCGAGGTCCAGATACCTATCTTCACTCTTACCTACCGTACACGCTCCCTCTGAAAACTCACATCTGTACTATTTCCTCCCCTTCCCGAAGCTTTTCAACTTATTGCTATCAGTATATGTTCGTGAAACTTGAATTCATAATATGTAACTCGTGGGTATCTACAGGGAGCTATTCAAGGTAATTCCATATAATCCATATAATCCAAGTGCGGTATACAATCCAACAGTGCTGCAGCTTCAAAGACGATCTAGCACAATGCCAAGGCATGAGCCCAGCATTGTAAGGGTCAGACTCACATACCGCTAATTTCATTATTACTTCATTCAACTTGATGAGCTTGGAGGCAATATTGTCCTCCTTTGGTTTAGAAAATCGGAATCTCTTAATCGACCGTTTACATTTCGTGATATGTTCGTTCATAAAGGCTTCATTTGCTTCCTGGATGGCTTGTCTGACGCTAGAATGAGAGAATCAGTCAGCAGGAAACAACAAAGAGAACGTCCTCAACTCAATCATCTGTCGTGCCATAAAGATAAAGGTTGGTGGATCAAGCAACTCTTTATATGCAGCCGCCCAGATGCCAAATACTGCATCGTCTATCTGCTTCGCAATATTTGGGACACGCTGCAGACGGGCGAAATGGGACCCAAGATCCTCGGAATTGGAATAGATATCGACATCTGCGAAACTGGATGTCGTGAACTGTGAAAGCCCAGAATAATATCCACGTTAACTAGACGCAATAGTATGTCCGAGACAGCAGACAACTTACGCATGGGAAGTTCAACCTCCTTGAGGCCAGGACATCCATGGTGGTGCAAGATGAAGCACGAACACGCAGCAGGGGTCCTTCTTGAAAAAGAAAGATGTGACGACAATCCGGGAGTCTCGTTACAGTGAATACGAATGCCGGCTCTCGTCGTAGGTTTCATCACCAGGATAATAGTCCTGCATTTACATCAGACAGGAAGTCGTGGCCAGACAATTGGAGACCTGATGCCCCGTTCAGTTCGATTAGGGCTCTGTTAACAGCACACATATGAAACCCTCACGATGAGCAAATGTGGCTGACATGTATCAGTAGTAGCTCGCCAGTTGAACAAATATGGCAGGACATAAGATGCGATGGACGTATACGCACTTCTCTTCGCCAGATCAGTTCATGGTGACCTAAACGTTGGTTGGCAAGGCGAGAGCGATACTAGAACTTCTAGAACTTCTAGACCGGGCCGATCTGGCCGCTTCTCAAAAAAAAATCTTTCGCAGGCTGATCTTACAGTATCGGACGATATCCAGTCCTAGGAATCTAGCAGTGCATGTATTAAAACTTCAAACCAGGTCTTGGCCTTGGTGCTGCTCTCTCCTGATATGTAGCAGAGGCCGCGGGGTCCAGAACCGCCACAATCTACCTCTTATCCTATCGCCGTTCGTAGGAGAGCATGTGGTCCCTTTAGGTCCTCTATCGCGCAGCATTCCTTATTGATCTTCATAATCCAGTCCTTCCACAGACGAACACGATATCGATCTGTGGCATATTTGTTCTTTGGACTAGTCGAGTCGCTTAGTATTGGAAATGATCAAATATATGATCTTATTCGATCTCACTGCGAGTGTGCTGCCTGTGTCTTTCCATGGCAAGTCGTCGATTTTCACGTCTGTATCATAATATCATCTCACGGTCATTTACACAGGTGTATCGAGCAAACAGGCAGTTTGCCGGGCGGTGGGGTGGCAGTGGTACGAGTATCTGCCATCTCCATCTCTTCGAGTCATAATAAGTTACAATGTAAATATTTTATCATGATGAGAATCTTGAAATAAGTGTGGACTGAAAAAAAGGGACGTGCGCGTCGAAAGCCACGTGATGTGACTCACCGCGTCGTCACGCTTTTTCCCCGTTTTGTTGATCGGATCCCCGCTTGTTTCTCTGCCTTCGCAATGACTCCCTCGACTCCCCAGCGCGCGAACCGTTCTCCCCATTCTCACTCCCATTCTTTCTCTTACTCCCATGTTCGCTCTCCATCGCCTGCAACACCGTACACGCCCCTGAGCCTGCGCTCTTTCGCGTCTTCGAACCCTTCCCCAGCATTGACAACCCCGGCCAGCATCAGAAACTTGCCTGCTGGCTTAAAACATCTCCATTTTTCCTCTCCTCAGGTCGCAAAATCATACACTTCATCCCCGAACGTATCCAGGGACCAGAGCCTCGCTGATCTCGCTCGTAACTGGCGCTCTTGCGCTAGTAAAAATGGTATCAAGGTAGCGACATGCGACGCGTCGCAATTTGTTGACGATGATGGTTGGCAGAGTCACCTTTTTTCGCCTCCAATTTACTAAGTTATAGCACATATAGTCACCGATATGTCGTTCGGTGATGTCCATGATTCTAGCTTCGTCACAGCTGAAGAAGGTGCGTCCAAGCATTCCACTTTTTACTATGTCTGATGTTCTCTGTAGCTCTCTTACCTCCGCCCTTTCTCTCAAACAACCGTCGCCGTGCTCTCTCGACTTCTCAAGCGCCTGCATCTCTCGCGATGAATGAAAGCCAGCAAATGATTCCAACCTCTCCTCTCACGTACAACAACAGCTCAACTCTGAAAAGCACCATAACGGCAACACCTCCGCCCAACCGCAATTTAGCACGCCAGCTCAAACTAAGGGGCAGCCTGACGGATCCAGCGCATACAAGGAGGCGCGAAGCTTTTGGCGTCGTTCGTCCTTTTATTAACTGCCCTAGAACCTTGACTCATACTTTAGTTGATACGAAACAGGTCTCCAACACGCCCCAACAAATGGCCTCATCCACGAATCTAGACCTTTCATTGGATTTGTTTGATATCGACGAAAATGATGTTGAGCACGATTATGACTATGACTATCAACTCGAAATCGAAACCTCTCGTACCCATGAACACCTCTTGCCACGCCACGATGACACACAGTCGCAGTACCAGCAGGATTATGTCACATACCACCTACGTAACAATGCGCCACCTCCCGCCCCGATAATGCCTGTATATGGCCAGCCAAACTTTGCCGACCCTTTCAATGCCGCTGGCGGCGTTGGAACTGGCACTGGGCTAAACAACAGCATCGCACAAAGCGTGGAACAGCATTTCCAGCAATACCGCAGTCAATATCCATTCACGCGCCAGTTGTTGCCCTATCAGGAACATTCCCTTCCCACTATTGGAGTTCCTCGAACCAACGCTAACCTGGAGCCTGGCCACCTTTCTATGCCTCTGCCTGTCACTCAATCAAAGTCATCCACCCAAGGATCCTACCATGTGCCTATGAAGACCCCCGTTCCTGAGCCACCGAGCAACCCTGTGTCATGCTCAGTTTGCTCGCGTCACAACCCACCTCGTTTGGCTATCCTCGTACCCTGCAATCACCCTTTGTGTTCAGCGTGTTTAACTAGCGCGCTTAACATCGTGGGGGAAAAGGATATGGAATGTGCAGTCTGTAAAAACAGCGTGGAAGACTTCAAGCTGATCAGCGGGTCTGGTCCAGTAAAGAAAAAGTCAAAGACTGATCGTCGGTCCTTTGGCTCAGTTGAAAGCAACGGTGACCAGAGATCGGGCTGCGATGACGAACAAATTTGCAGAGGTAAAGGCTTCATGGACCCACTATTTTCTTCTCCCGGCAGTGCGGTCAGCACTGGTTTTACGGGAGGTCTGGAAAGCGCCTTCGAATTTGGAGGTCAAGCGTTCTTCACAAATGATGACGTTAGGGCGAGCACTCCTCCGCCTGCTACCCTAAGACGCCCTCTTGACCATGACCACAGCCCCAGACGCCAGAGCCTACTAAAAGACCATGTTGTTTTGCGCATTGATAATGTTCCCTGGGTATGTCACTTTGATTAATTTGTATGAGTTGGACCTAAACATTGATTAGGATATTACTCCTCCGAGCATTTCGGCTTGGTTGCAGCAACCAGTTGAACGTGTCCATGTCCTATTAGACCGCAAAGGAAAGACTATGAGTCATGCCTTTGTTGAAGTTCAATCTGAGGAGATTGCGGCGGCTATTCTTCGTGGCGAAACATCACCTTCCTCCAGGGTAAGAGGAGATATGAGTTCTAGGGTCGGGGCTGGTAGAGGTCGAGGAAGCGTCCTTGGCAAGGGCCGAAGGGCCAGAGGCGTCACTGTTACAAGAAGTTCTCAGGAGGAATTGATGGCTGCTGTTGGTTTCTGTTGTTCACTCAGTCAAGACCCGTACTAACGTTTCTGAATAGTTGTTTCCATCATGGCGTGGTGCATTCGATGGTTCTCATCCATCTCTTGCAGGGTTGAATAACGACCGTGTCATCGGTGCTCTAGAATATGGGCTTATGACGGACGCTGAAGTTTCCGCCCTCTTGTACCTTATTCAGTCCCCAGATGTAATGACTTTTTGCTTGTATTTGCGTGATTATAGTTGCTAACGAATCGTTTAGGCACATTTTCTTAAAGTCCCCTCCTTGCCCTTCCACTCGCTTATTAGCGTTCTCAGTAAATTTCCAGCTGATGTAGACAGCCGCGTGTTCTGGTCAACAGGATTGAGAGACATACTATATGGTAAGGGTCCTTACCTGTTATCAACACTCAGTTCTAACACCCTATTTCAGACGTCACATACTGTTAGTTTCAATGTCATATAAGTCTTTGCCTGTCTTTTTGACGTCCCCTTTCGCAGCTGCCGCCCAAGTCTTATTAGGCCGCATCATGCAAGAGAAGGAAGGCCTTCGAGATAATAGTGCCTCTCTAGAGTCGAGTGCCGTCTTGCTGGAAGAAGTCGTCAGAACTGCCACGTCTTGTCAGGGTGCGTTTTTTATATCATGCGTTTGATGATTATATTGACACTCTCGCAGCCTTTACGCCGCAGCAAATGAGCAAAATATCTGAAGCACTTGAAGCTCAACCCCCCTCCTCAATGTCCGACTGCAACTCTTTGTCCTCGTATAACTCAGACGCCGATATCGAAGATGAGGACGGTGAAGCTGAAAGTGGCTACCGTACGCCGAGCAGCCTCGCTATTGCCTCAAACTCTGCCGCAACTCGTAATGATGAGCACCCTGCATCGCCACTGAGTGATCATGAACAGCTCGCTGCAGTACAAAGCGTTGATCAGATTGACGACCTTGCTCGAGAGTTTGGTGTTGAAGCCGACTTGGTACAGGCACTTGCAAAGAGACTCTCTAGCTCCGGTTTACGTTGATTTTCTCCATTGCATCCTTCCCCTTAGCTGTTCGGCGATGATCGGTATTACGTTCTTTTTTTTCCGTTTAGTTAAATAATCCTTTATGAATACTCTATATTCCTTAACGCCCTGGAACCTGTCGCTGTCCACTGCTACTTGCCTTGCTTTCCAACCCTGTTATCCGCTTTCCTTGTTTGTGGTCACTCTGCACTGTTGTTATGTAGCCCTCCCATCATCCCTTATGTTCAAAATTGTGGAATAGTACTTATCATTTTATATGTCACCTAACGGAGGGAAGCAACAATAATTTCTCCGTCGCAATTTAACGTTCAGTTGCAGTGATTAAAGTGGGTCTTGCATCCTTCAAAATCTTGGCAGCCATGCCTGGTCACTATGAGCTCATTGTTGAACGTTGTAATGCTGAGAAATCATACAGTGGCGCCTCGAGTGGCTTCCGACATATCAATCTGAGTGTGTTTCCAAGTTCCGCCTTATAATATTATTCTACGTCGTCTATCTTCCCATTAAAGGAAGGATTTAAGACTTCAATGTCACACACAGATGCACAAGCTGAATTTATGGTACTCTTTGGAACAGACTCACTGAAAAAATGACATACGAAGAGAGTCCAATATTTCTAAGTTTGCTCCAGTTACCATATTATTTGTGAAATGATCCGAGATTGAATAAAGGTACGAGTTCCACGGGTAGTTATGAGGCGGCTTTCCAGACTACAACAAGTCCTATTTTCCTAGTGTAATGTGCAACCGTTAGGCACATGATTGTTCTGTACACTCGGCGCTTCGTTCCTAACGACGATCTTATCGAGCCTTCTCTGTCCGTGAAGAGAAATCCTCGGAACGCGGTGTTTCACGCATGTGATGTTCGAGTAAATTACGGATCTGTATTTCTAAATTAATAATGATTCAAGCTCCCGGAATGCTTGGAATGGGATCTTGGCATTCGAGGCCCCCATCCTGGTGAGAATATATCAACGCCTCTGGGATCTAGACCGAGGATTTTTCCTGGACTTACTTTAAAGGAATCACTAATCGGCGTCTCAGTCACTATGAATATATCAAGTTGTGTCGGCGGCTGCACGAACTGCGGAGATAATATATCTGTGGTGTTAATAGCATGGACTAGGACTCTAACGCACCCTTTCCCTGGCAATCAAAGCCCGTGGAGTGATACGCGAACGAAATCGCGGCACAGCCGGTGATTCTTCTGCTTCATCAGGGGCCGTTCGTAGTATGTGACGGGTGTTTAAGCTAATTTCCGTGAGTAACAAACGTTGACCATCTGGAAATTTGACGGACGAGGACAAAAACGTATTTGCATATACTATATTCAACGCTAAATTTGCACGGTACGGATACAGAAAAATGATGTACGCACACCGACTGATCAGGAAACACAGAGCGAGGTAAACCCATGTCTTGGGCACCACAAGGTACTATATGTATTTTGTTATAGAATTCCGTGGTTAGAGCGAAGGTGTGCGCAGACAGTCTCACCGTGATAAGGCCGGCCACTGAGGCGAAACTAAGGGGTATCATGCAGTCAGAGTGATAACAACATAACAGTTTCCACTTACCTTGTCAGCAGCCCGGTATTAATAGAAAACTTTATTAAATGGTCGATGATCTCGTCCGTTCTGGAAACAAATGAATAAAAGCCCACGAAAATGACGGGGTAATTACTGTCTGTAACCCGTGCGTTTCTGACGCAAGAAGTAACACGACGAGATTGCCAAGCTAGTATCACAGAGGGCGGCGCTTCCGAGGCGGATAATATGTGGTATCTTCCGAGCGTCAGCGAACAGAATTCCGCCATCTGGGTGTTGCTATCAGGTACCTTCACGCTACCGAATTTCGCAAGATTGTGCAGAGCTAAAGACTGTCCCGCTGCAACTGTACATGTATAAGCCAGTAGATATAAAAGGGAATTACATCCGAGCGCACCTTCGCCGCTTACTGTATGCAGCTTAATATCCTGCTCATGATAGATTTCAACAGCGTACCAAAGTGCACAAGAGCCAGACAAAACTGTTTAGAGATAGGTATTAGCAACATGGTCAATTAGTGACAGAAAGCCCACCAAAACCAACGTCAAGATCGTCCGACGCCCGCTGACTATAAAAGTTGAGATCTCTGTAAATTCTGCATCTTGGGGAATGACTAACGTAACCAAACACGATATGTAAGGAATCTGTTGCGGCGCCACTCATCAGCAATGCATGTAATGACGGCGGTCATTGAGCGCGCACCCTTCAGAAAGACCTGATATTAACATCTTCGAAGCCTGAGTGATTATCTGAAAGTTGTCGAGATAAGAGGACATTACAGAAGATGCCATTTCTGCCTGAACTTGAAGAATGAAAGATCGAATTGGTCTTCAGGTAAACATTCATACATTGAGACTCCTGAACATTGGATTGAGTAAGAAAAGTAAGATGGATCTGAAATCAACAGACCAGATATACCGACCAAAAGGACCCGTAGTCACAAAATAATACCTACGATTCTTTGGGATGCATATTAGAGGACGTAAAATAGTTAAGACTGACCAAAAAGCATGAGACACGAGAACGACGGACGCTGTGTTGAAAATCCTTCGCGCTTATTAGGCGGGCAAGAATTCAATGTCAAAAAATTATTGACATACGTCATGATAATAACCTATACAGAGAGATTCATCGTGAACCGGCTGCGAATCATGGATCCACGCAAAGTGTTACCATCAACTTGGTTGACAGGGGATCCTTGGGGAAACGCTTATAATAGGTGTATGTCTGGGACAGAGAGATCCCATACAGGCTGGGCAATGTGTTAGATGTGGTATGCATATTTGTGAGGGCAGCGACCCACATCGAGGAGAAGAGTAAACCCAGAAGGGTCATCCCAAGGGCTATCTCTTCGCTCCTGGTCCGATGTACCACCGCCATGATGGGAAAAGAGAAATAAAATATTGATTTGAACACGGATGAAGGCAGCTTTTGTACCGGATATTATGAGCTGTGAAAACTAATTGAGCTTTGTGCAACTACAACACCATACAGGAAGGAGAACCACGCAGAGTAGCGTTATCGCGTGAGAGCTGAGCACAACAGCCAAACCGTGAGAGCCCCAGAGGATGATAGACTATGCCATTGGATGAATAAAGTTACTGTGGGTAGAAGCGCAGCATCCAAGCAACAATTTGCTCGCGAAAACCAGTCAGTTGTATTATTCATTGAACCTAAAACAAAGGGATTCTCAGGAATCCTCTTCCTGGGAGACACTTGGCCCGGGAATCATGAAAGTTGGGAGCAAGTCAAGAGCCCGATACGGGCCGATGAAGCCGGGTTATTGACAGTCAATCTCAGATTCCACGACCGTTCGTCTTCGACCTCACGATACAAGACGGTACAGTATTGAATGTTTCCTTGATGGTAATAGGCCTCCCCATTGGAGTATACTCAGTGAATCACAGTCCCACAGCTCTATACCTATAGCATTCCTGCTAGCCGACTTCACGGACCCGCCTCCCGTTCGCTATCATGATAGAAATCATTTTCGGAGCAATAAGTGTGCCTGTGGACCTGATCTGATTCAAGTTGCTTCGGGAATAAATCCCTTCGGATATTTTTGTTGCGACTACTGACGGCCATCGGGACATCAATCAAGGTCTACGAGATACATCGATAGCTAATACTTAGGGAAAACTACACACCGAAACTTGACAGCTGATAGGCTGGCTGACGGATACTGACCAAGCCGTTGTACTGCGTCTTAATGAGCTTACCATTCTGTTTTCCTCGATTGGCCATCTGGTGTTACATCGGTAGCTCCGATGGTCTAACAACAGAATAACCATAGAAACGCCGATAACAATCCTCTAAACAGCGACATGCACGTGGGAAAATTGGCCTGGACGCCGAGCCTGGATGTTGACAGATGTAAAGGGTCAGTATTGGCCCTGACGGATCTGGATGATTTTTGCGCGGAAAATGACGACGTTATTTAAAACCAACGTCGAACCGAAGGACGTCTTCATTCACTTTCTTTCCAACCACATTCTTTAACTTCATGTCGTCCGATTGTTCCGTCGATGATGCTGAGAAGGGCATCGCGGAGGGGTGCTATGCCATCCCCATTACTCTCCAGAGTTCACGACCCTCTATAGTCAGTCAGGACTCCTGTAGTGGCAAGGGTGGTTTGCCACCTCCGTGTTTACCTCTACCCCCTCTGCCTCACGCCAAGTTTGAAACGATCGCTCTTACACTTCCATCGAAAGAATTGTCGCAGAATGAGCTGGCTCTCATTCGCAGACCAACCAAAAAGCGGGTTAGCAGTTGGGTCAAGTTCAGATTGTGGTACAATACCTATCGGTGAGTAGCGAAATTTGTGATATCGTATTATTTAAAACTCAGGGCCCCCCTCCAGGCGCTTTTTCACCCTCGTTATCTTGTTCAACTTTATTTCGCTCATTTGCGCCGCCACTCGTACTTGGGAATATCCTCGTAACTACACGGGCGCCTGGATCCTTGGGAACCTCTTGTTTGCTGTTCTGGTACGGACAGAGCTGTTCACTAGATTTTTATATCTTGTCTTGTGCAGCGCATTTGCGAAGGTGTGGCTGATTTATCTCTTATGAAGTGGTCGTCGCTGATGTCTTTGTCTTAGTGGCCACCGCTGTGGTTCCGCCTTGGTATCTCCTCAGCGTTACAACATGTCGGTGGGATTCACTCTGGATGCGCCATTTCGGCGGTTATGTGGTTGATCTTCAAGTGCAGCCTGATCTTTTATGACCGCGTCAGTCTCAACGGCGCCATTCTCGCATTTGGTGTTTTGACAAACTTGGCGGTTGGTTTTGCCATGTTGTCTGCTCTGCCTTGGCTGAGGAACTCTCATCACAAGTGGGTGCTCGTTCCTTTTTGTCATTTACCTTCAAATCAACGCTTTCTTCAGCGTTTTCGAGCGACACCATAGGTTCATGGGATGGTGGGTGCTACCTTTTCGCTTATACCTCTCCCTCTGATCATTCTATTGTGCTCTATAGGGCTGGCGTTGTTTTCAGTACGTTTAATTTGATCTTTGTGGGGTACGATCGGGTCCAAAATAACAAATATTCTAGCCTGGGTCTTCGTTTTCCTCGGCGATGCTTATGATTCACAGACAAAGACGTTCTACGTAAGCAAGGTCGCGCACCAACAGGACTTCTGGTTCTTGTTGTTCATGACCATCCTGTACGTTTAGTCCCTCGGCTTCGGAGTTCCTTCTAATTTTCATTTTCAGGATCATTATACCATGGCTTACTGTCCGCAGAGTTCCAGTGGAGATAACCATCGTAAGCTGGTGTCAGTTGTTGGGCCTCACCTTTTTCATTGAATCTTTTTTCTAGCCGTCACCGAAGGTTGCTATAATTAAACTTAAGCGAGGAATGCGCCAAGGTTTGGTTTGCCGAATTTCCGAAGGACCATTGATGGAATACCACGCCTTGTAAGTCCTTATTACACACGCAACATTTTCCCGAACTTATAAATATTGATCGACGTTAAAGTGGCACAATCAGTACAGGTATCGAATCAGGAGAGCACTACTTGATTTCCGGTGTGCAAGGAGATGTGAGTTCATTCACGGCGGTGATTGCTGAGCACTCATAAAGCATCTAGTTCACGCGGCGACTTGTAGAGAATCCACCCACACATCTCTGGACAAGAGAACTCAAGGTTTGTGAATAACAACTGTTGTCTGCCTAGGTATAATTCTGTTTTTTTTTTTTTAGTTCGCTGCTGTAGGAGCTACATCGAGTCTTTACCGACGAGGTCTCCGTGTATGTACCGGCACAGGCTTGGGAGCATGTCTTTCTACATGTATTCAGGTGTGTATATTTTCCAGATTTCGAAAAATAAGACTAATCCCACATTTATTCTGAAGAACCCCAACTGGTAAATATCCTCACTTTTCAGCTGCCGTTCTAGTTCTCATACCACGATTCATATAGGTATCTGTTGTGGATGGGCTCTGACCAGGAGAAAACATTCGGACCCGAAATCTCAGGCCTGATCAAAAAGCACTTGTATCCCGACCGAGTGACGCTCTGGGACTCGAAGGCGCGCGGCACACGGGCGAATACTGTGAAGATTATCAAGGACATCTATCACGCCTGGGGCGCGGAGGTGGTAATAATTACCACCAACGCGCAGGGAAATAAAGAGATGATGGAAGGTCTGAAGGAAGCCGGGATTCCATGCTTTGTATGTCTTTAATCCTGTATATGCCGCCTGCTAATCAAGTTGTAATCAGGGAACCCTCTGGGACTTTTAAACACTCCCTCCGCTTATGAACAAGAGTCGACTTGGTTCGGTTTCGGGCCTATGGGAAAGCGGAGCGGTAGAGCTCATCGTCTGCGACACTTGCCCTCATCCACTCCTGCCCTTCTTTTGAATTGCATTCTTTCTTACATGTCACGTTCTCTTTGTACGCCGTTCTTTTAGACATCGTTGATCGCATGGACGCTACTCGGACCAACGACCTCGAATGACATGCACGATTCAGCATAGCAGGGGTTTAATCTTGGTAAGTGTCCCGACAGGCAGTTATATGGAGAAGCGTATTTCTCACGCTGTTCTCATAGCATGCACGTCCGATACGAGTTGGTCTAATGTAGCCTTAGTTACTTACCAAGTCGCGGGCGACTTTAAAACTTTTTTGTGGACGCTTGTGTATCATACCGAGTTATTGATCATGAAGTGAATATAAGACATAGTTCATGGTCATATACCGGAAAATGCTCGCTTTAAGAGAAGCTACAGTATGTGCTGCATGAGCTGTCGTTCCATAACGTCATCGCCTCTCTACCCATCCATCATTGTCTTTCAACAACTTCTTACTCCGATCTCGCAAAATGTGCTTCATGACCTTCTGTTAACATCGTAAGTAACGCAGTGAACAACCTTAACGGTAACACAACACTCACTCCGCTCGCCATCTTCGGAAGCTCATCCGTAAACCAAACCCATGCTGGAGCGTTCTAGATACCAATCAATGAACGAACCCTAACAACCCCAGCTCATACTCACCTGAGGATTCATCGCATCAGAAACCGCCTTGCGAACTTCCTCCTTTGAAATGTCATCGTGTCCCGGCGCGCGAACAATCCAAGCCCCAACGACCTCCCCATATTGGGTATCAGGCACGGCTACCGCAGCAGCTTCATGGATACCTGGATGAGTCGTCAAGGCATTTTCGATCTGAACCGGGAACAAGTTCTGTTATCCGGTCAGCAAAGCCCGCTCCTCATGAAATCTCAGAAACAATTACCTCTCCGCCTCGTATGATGATGTCCTTGATTCTGCCCACGACTGTTATGTGTGTCAGCGCATGGAGACAATGCTTTTAGAAGTTTATTACTCTTCAAATATCCCTCCTCGTCCATGATTCCCTCATCGCCGGTATGCATCCACAGCGTCCCGCTGGCGTCCCTTTGCATAACCTGAGCGGTCTGTGCATCGTCCTCCCAGTACCTGATCATCACGGTACAATGTCTATGAAATTGAAAATTAGTACAAACCCCAGAACTACGCACCCCTTCTGTACCAGATACCCCGCAACACAAATTTGTCCGGGGGTACCCACAGGAACGATTTGGTCGTCCGTATCAATTATCTTTGCTCTAACATGTGGTTGTACTTTCCCTACAGTTTCAACGCGCTTGACGATAGGATCTTCGGGCGTTGTTTGGAATGATACAGGGCTGCGAATAACGCAAGAAGTGAATCTTCTGGACGCCGGTACTTGAATAAGATGGTATCTACCTTGTTTCGGCTGCAGATAATTGTGGACTTTAACAACCGGCCGAAAAGAAAGACAACCACTAGAGACTCACTCATCCCGTACGCATTCGTCAGATCTACGAGATTCAGTTTGGCGATGAGTTCTTGCATTAAGGCTATAGGTATCGGTGACCCGGCCGCAATTCCAGTCCTACATTCATGAGCAGTCAGCGCCCAACTTGGGTGCAGACAGAATAACGACTCGTCACCGCAGACTCCTGGTGTCTGGCTCTTCCCCTCGAGCACGTCTCTCGTCGATCTCTGCCAACATCCTGAGGAAATGAGTAGGTACACCATGCAACGCTGTGCATTTCTCCTCGATTATGGCATCCACAATAGCAACTGGATCAAATATTTCTGACGGGTAGACAACACCTGCTCCATAAGACCATGTTGCGAGATTACCCAAGACAAGACGTGGGGTTGAGAAATAAGCAAACTCTCAATGCTATGTAGAACAAATGGGACTTATCAAAGCAGTGAAAGAGTGGGGGGACGTTGCCTTGTTTCAGAGTCAAACAAAAGTCTCCTGTGTTGACGTAGAACTTACAGACGATATCCTGGTCTGTCAAACGCATGCACTTGCCTACCGAAAGAGCATTATTTAATAAATTGTGATGAGTTAGCGACACAGCCTTTGGAGACCCAGTCGTGCCACTGAAACTTTAAAATAAGGAAAGGTATTGTACGCAGACAGTGGAGTGACCTAGTGAACTGCAAATTAATGACCTCGTCTTTGTGCAGGGATTTCGTTGCAAGCTGACGTTGTTGATCCAGGCCGATTCTATCTTGCCGCCATACGAATACTTCACGCCAATCTATAAGTGACTTCACCTCAAGCGCGTCTAATTCAGCTTTGCATGACTCTTCGTTATCAACGACGACTAGATTACGTAGATTCGGCAGATCTTCCTCTTGTATCTCTCCTGGATGAGCGCTTCGTATCGAAGGGAAAAGCTCTACTAGGAGTTGGATATATGCTGACGAGCGAATCCGGGGAACGACGAAGAGATGCTTGACGCCCACGTGTCTCAAAGCAGTCGCCTGTAACTAATCAAAGGGAGGAAGGAACGCAACTTTGAGACTTACAAACTCGTTCACCCGGTAGGCCGGGTTGATGGTAACGAGAATAGCTCCAATAGACGCACAAGCCCATTGAAGAATCGCATAGGCGCTACAATAGTTTTCAGGCTAGATATTAGATAAAGAATGGATCATGCTCACCTGTTATTCCCCATGAGAATTCCCACACGATCGCCCTTCTGGATACCCATGACCAAGAGACCCCGAGCAGCAGAGCTAATGCACCTGTCGAAATCCGCAAAATCCCAAGCCAAGTGGGACTCTACGCCGAGATTGGCCAAGAGAGGACCTCCAAGAGAACAAGCGTGCTCATTCCTGCATATCAAAGCCGGTTTCGTAGCATGTTTTGGCAGGACTTCGGAGGCGAAGTAGTCGGGTAGTGTCTTGTGGCACAGCGGTGGATGAAGGGACCCTTCCACTGAAGACATGGTCAGATTCCGAGTCCATCGTCGCCTTGAAGATGATGCTAGCCTTGACAGCATTGTAATGAGGCCCCGCATGACGTGGGTCTGGGGTAAGAGATGATATATCACGCGCGCAATCAAGTTGGCCTGAATTTGTGAGTCGGCTCCGACAAACATAGTTCATTGTAAAGCAAGGGGCGGCAAGAAAATCCAGGAGCGAGAAAAAAATAGAGTGCCTACATTAAATAATGATCTTATCGTCGAAAAAAAAAAAAAGTTAATTTATTATATTCGTAGAAGTTGCATCAAAAGTAAAGGTATAAGTACAAGTAACGCTTCTGTAGTAGAGACAGGTCGCAATTGAAACTTTGAGCATCGTAATTGCCGATGAAGGGTTATGTCATTAATCTGATAGCTAAGCAGGTCGGATAGGCTTCTAAATCTCTATAGGCATTGGCTGTTGATACGTTCCATCAAACCGATTCCTTAGATGAGATTCCACCGAAACTGCATTCACAGACTTCGAAGCGTCGTAGATAGATCTGACGATTACGTCGAGGTTTCCATCTACCCTCAGGATTAAACAAGCAGAGCACAAAACAAGGGTAACCCATACCAAGGAAGAAGGGAATCGAATAACGGTCATTTCCAGAACGATTAATCACCCGGTGTAGAGAAGAAAGATACTTCCCGTCAGTGTACATTTGAAGTAGGTCTGGATGAAACGATGAGTAAAGAGTGGATTGAGAGAGTAACTCAGGCTAACCGCCAACGTTAACAACATAGGCACCATGTGCCGGCTCGATAGGGAACCATTTGCCGTTAGACCATAGTTCCAGTCCAGGACTAACGTCTTCAATCAGAAAAAAAACAGCCGCAAAGTGCTGAGCCAACTTACGTCCCAGAAGTCGCAAGTAAAGTTAAGGCCCCAAACTGTGCCAGAAGGTCAGTCAATATAACGGAAACGAAAAAGAAAATGACAGACATCGGTATGGGCCCCAGCCCCAATCTGTGGTTCCTTCGTATTACAACGTTGGGGAGGATAACTGGAAGATGTCAATATAAGATAAGCGCATGGAAGGTAAATAGAACTTACTGAAGAAGACGGATAGCAGCTGTAGGGTCTTTGCAAAAAGGTGCAAAGTATTTCTCCGGAAGATCAAGCGACAAAGCAACAAGCTCCATAAGATCCGTCGAGAGCTTGAGGCATGCCTCGTAGTACCTGCCGTCACATATTAACACTACGAACGGCGGCTTAGATAAAATACATACTCATTCATCACGTCTCTCATCCCAGCGACGTCCGGCCAGCAGTTTACACCCTGAGCAAACCGGTTGAAGAACGGATGATCCCCACTCATCTTGTCGTCTCCAATCAGGAAGCCTTCTTTGAGGTCCATCTCAAGATTTTCATTCGAGGGCCTGGTTTCAAGAGAGATACCAAGTTCATCATGACCGACCACCGCGCCCTGGAGGCTCTGGCGCTCGAGAATCTCATATCCGCGGTTGGTCCATGGATCGCGAGCAAACGCGAGTTTCTAGAATGAGTTAGTGGCGCGAAATACACTCTGAGAACACATGAAATTTTACTTCTTCGACTGGAAGCGCAAAGAAGCCAACTGAGGTTTCGAACGCTCGTTCAATCAATTCTTGAGGAACAGGATGGTCGACTATCTGGCTGGCCCGGAAGGACGAGAAATTTAGCTCGCTCTACGGTTACCAGCGATTGTTTACGCACAAGAATCCTGACGACGCGCAAGCTGCACCAATCTCAAGCACGATGTCTGCCTTGCGCTCTGGCACCTTGCAGTCGGCGAGACCGATAACGGGAACATGTGGGATGGTCATTGCTAGGCAGTAAATAACACCAGGTGCACTAAGATAAGATGCGCTGCACTGCGAAGACTCGGCTTTGAATGACACATATTATGAGTAGAGGATTTGATGTTGGCAGTCTTATCGAGTGTTATTTTTAAAAAATTAAAAAATTTTCGGATCAATCCCGCTCTTCCGATTCCGCGGATCGAGGCCACGGCCAACATGCGCTTTGACAAGTGAGCATGATCGCGTCGCGTCTTCGAATTTGTTCAAGACTTTCACAATGGCTACCAACAGCATCAAGTACACATCTGAGCTAATGCCAATGCGCCCTTCCACTCCCAGCCGCGACGAGGTTGTTCCTGCGTACTCAGTCGCCGCACAAAGTGACTGATAAACCTGTCAAGATGCTGAAACATCTGAACCATTCAATAGCCATCCAAAAGCGCGCCGTAACATTTGGGAAGCGTCCTTTCGGTGCCATCCTTGTGGGGCCGGAAAGCGAAGTATTGCTTACACATCAGGCATGTTCCAATCTCAGACAGTCGTCAAGCATCTTGAAATCATGTCGCCGGTCCATAGAGCATTGACGTTGTCAACCACGCAGAAGCTTCTCTAGCTCGTTTAGCAGGTTTGTTTCATGAAGGTCCCTTTCTTTATACGAGATTGACAGCTTTTCATACCAGTAACGCACTACTCTCTACCTTTCCTCTGGAAGTGTACGTTATACACGGTATGGGAGCCATGTCCGGTAAGCTGTCCGGGTCCTCAAATTCAAATCTCTACTAATCCTTCAAACTAGATGTGCACCTCCACCATCTACTGGGGTTCGTTCGCCTTTTTCTGCATAACAGCCTAGATGTCTGACTCAAGTGAAGCTAATATCGGTCGTATCGTCTGGGCAGCCTCAAATGATGCCCTACTGGAACTTTGTGGTCCTTCGAATCCTCAAAACCTCGGCTTTCATCTGGGATCTGTAGAGCTTCTATCCCGGGGAAAGAAGGATATAAAATGTGTGGGTCCTTTTGAGGAATTAGAGAAGGACGTATGCAAAGAAAGTCAACCTTACTTCAGTTGAAGCTGACAAGTCATGTCGTGCGAATTCTGAAATCAACTGTGTAATGTGTAACGAATAAGAGCTTTATCGAAATTACCATGCTTCATAATGGGCACTAAGGTCTAAGCTACATATCTAGTATCTAAACAAACTATCTGTAAATAATCGTAGGAGCTTGTATCTATCAAGTTCTAAGCCTCCATCTTCTCATCGGAATGAGCACTCTCATGGTCATGCCTTTCACCAAAGTCCATCTCGCAGAGTGTCTCCTTCGCCGGAAAAACCTTGCTCAGGACAACATAGACAGTCCCTGCCGTAAAGAAGGAATAGAGATATCCAATATCGAACAGATGAGTAGCGCCAGCAGTGACAGTGATGTTCGTGTTGATTGTGTTGATTAATCCGGGAAGAGGAGGCACAAAACCGATAAACATCGCCACAGCGGCTCTGCGTATATGATCGTTATAAAATTTCGGAAGGCAGATGGAGTCTACTTACCTCCAATTGATCCCATAAACGTTTCCATATGAGTATATTCCTTTCGGATCGTAAAGCTGAGGAATGGACAACTTGCGTCTCTTGATGATATAGTAGTCGGCCATCATCATCGCTGAAATGGGACCCAACCTGACTGGGTGTCAGTACAATCTCCGCAAATTATTAAATAGAAGCATACCAAATTGTATAACCAGACACTATTCGGGACGGTTAGCTAGGGACGGACACAAACATTCTGATACTTACTAAAGTCCAAAAAGCTTGATGCCTGTAAGAACGAACTCAGCTACGCGGCGAACACGAAGAAGGGTGTGGTATACCTTGGCCAAAACTTCCCATGGTACGAAAGCCCAGCAACCAATGAACTGGATTATGTTAAAAACTATAGAGTGCCGCAGACTTTATATGCTTACCGCCGCTATGATCTGTCCTCTTCGAATGTTAATATAATTTGGGAAGATAGACACCAAGTCATTCGCAGCACTGATCGAGTTTGCCGATACTGCCGACGGAAACAACTATCATCGGTTCGAGCTGCGGATACATGTCGTCGAAACACATACCATTGGTCCCAATCTGCGCAATTACAAGACCGATTGAAACAAAGGCCGCGCCTGCACGCCCCCCGCGAGAAGCTACACAGAAAAGAGCGATACTTTAATTAGATTCAACGCTGTCAAAATTTAAGGTCAAATGCTTACTCCAGTTGGTTATGATCTATCATTCGAAGAGTTCGTAACTTTATGAGCAGGTACGCTCAGGATATAGGTAGAATCATACCTCGTTAGGGTTCCTAGTGACGAATTGAGACAACTGTAGAAGTGGTAAGAGTAAGATTCAAACGACTCACCAAATAACTTCTCCGTATAACGACTCAGAAACAGCTGCGGTCATGATACCTAGGATCGCAACAACCGTAAAGATAGCCGGGATATGGAATGCCTGCCACCACTGCGTTCGTGAGCTCTTCGAATAACGACTACAATACTCCGATCAGTTCTTCTCGTGCACCGGCTAAGGTTTATCTCACCTGAAGTCCGGAATATTCACTCCTAGCGTAGCGTAGCTTCCTAGACACGAATTAAGATTGGACAAGAAGCTCCATGCGAGCAGAGATCCGTGCAGCGGATTTGCGTCGGTCAATAATGCGGTACTTCCAGCTGAGACACCAGCAGAGTGAACGGTGGCCTGTAATGGATGCACTTAGTACGCTGACGTCTACAAGGATAGTTTTAAAACTCGCCCCCATTACGGCTAGCATGGCAATCGGCGCAATGATTGACTTGATGCGGAAGAACCAGCGGATCTTAGTGTATGGTACGATGAGGAAAGGGAATTGGATAATGAAATAGATGAGGTATGCACACATGCCTGCCGTTAAAGTTAATAGCGATAGATGTAAAGAGATGATCTTCACGCACCAGCAGTGGTCATACCAATGTTGTCTGGCAAGTGATTAGGAACGTTCCGGAATGAAGGCCAGATAGCGTTAATCAATTGCTGCATCCTATCGTACGTGTAAGAGGCACGAAGCGTGGCTTGGCACTGAGATAGCTCACGATTGTCCACCCGTAACAGCGCCTATACCGAGCCAAAAAATTGCAAGGATGCATCGAGAAATGACTGTATTCCTATTAGTTACGGGAATCATGAATATAGGAATTGACCCACTTGCGAACCAGGCGAAAAAGAATCCGAAAGATGACCTGGTAAGACGAAGTGAATGCTATTGTAGTCATTACTATTGTATCTCACGCACCGAATAATGACTGGGAATGCTACAAATGGGAAGTTTTAATTACAAAGCAAGGGGACACGAAATGGATGCGCATACGGATTCCTAGTCTTGCTCCAATGACACCATTGATACTTATGACGATGGCGATCATAAAAAATCCCATGGACACACACACAATGGAGAGCTTCCAGTTCAATCCAACCGCGACCATCGAACTACCTTGTTCCCAAATAGAAATCTGCCAGCACCAGTTGTGTCAATTGAGAATTCCATGTTATGTCCCTGGTATATTCTCACCGAGAATGCATCACATATCCAATACGCAAAGTAGTCCCAAGCGCCTGTCCTTGCATTTAATTAAACAAATCGGTGTGCCAAGGTTAAGGAGACGTACCCCAGGTACGGTCGGCAGGCGGAGTAGGATCCATATCCCGGTTGGACCATTTGCTTGAGGGGGCATATGAACTTGGATTGTGCGCGACCTGTAGACGCTTGCGAAGAATAGGATGCTCTTCGTCGGCAGGGTAACTGTCAATGACGACGGAATCCGTAGTCTTCGCCATCATGGAATAGTGCGCAGAGCGCAACCGAACATCCATATAAAGTACTGCTGCGAAGCCGCCAACGGCTTTACTGATAGGACAGGTTGCACTCAAGTTGATGAATTTGTATTTGGGAACCACGCGGTAAGTAAGGAGAGCGAGGTTCGCCGCGGCATAATAGACGCTTTTACTTGTCTGCTTACTACGACATTAGAATCTCTGCAGCATCAAGATATCATTACCTCTGAAATTGTGCCTGGCATTGGTGTCTGTCCTTCCTCGGATCTTGGCCGCGGTTTCTGTACGGCTTGTTAAGTATAGAAACAACATTGTCCTTATCATCAGTTGATAAGTACAAGCCTGGATTGATAACGACGTGCAAAATAACCCCTCTGCTTCGGATCACTAACTCACAAAACAATGACTGCTCGCACTGTTCCTTACATCTCCCTTCGCGACTTCGATCTTCGCAAAAACGAAATCGCCAAAGAACTCATTGATGCTGCTGAGAACGTTGGATTCTTTGTCCTCGTGGACCAGGAGAGTCCCAGCAAGCAAGATATTGCTGACATATTTGAGCTCTCGTGAGTCAAGGTCGCGGCGCTTCCAGTCCGTTCCTATCTGACCAATACCATTCGTAGCGCGCGGTACTTTGCATTACCTGAGGAGATCAAGGCAAAGGTCCCCTTCATCCGGGAAGAGAACTGCGGCTGGGAGAAGGACGCACAGGTCCGTCCATCGACCGGCGTTGCTGACCCCAAAGAGTCCATACAACTTCAAGCATTCCGTGCTGATACTTACTGGCCCACCGACCTTCCTGGTATACCAGCATTCCGCGAAAAGTGTTTGGAATTCATGGACAAGACCCAGATACTTTCCCTCAAGATCCTCTCGCTTTTCGCTGTCGCCCTTGGTTTCCCTCCAGATTTTTTCTCTGAGGCGCATGATACCAGCAAGGGAGACTGCTTGTCGACTTTGAGACTTCTGAAGTATCATGATGCGACGGGAAAGAACTTTGGTCCGAACGCGTGGAGAGCAGGAGCCCATACCGATTTTGATTGTTTAACGTTGCTGTATCAGCAGGATGGCGGTGATGGCCTGGAGGTTTGCCCCGGCAGAGAGGCTCACACTAGTTTTGCTCAAGGAGACGACTGGACTCCCGTTCCTGCTCGGACAGGTGAAATTACGGTTAATATTGGTATGCTGTGGGGATTTCGTACATCGCTCATGCACTAACAATTTACTTACAAGGCGACATGTTGATGGCTTGGAGCGAAGACAGGTTCAAGTCACTTTTCCATAGAGTCCGTGCGCCAGGACCAAACGATAACCAAAAGCCGCGTCTGAGTATTGGGTAATTCACTTTTCCCCCCTTCTTCGTGTCCTGACTGCTCTTGTATCAGGTACTTTAACCAACCGCGCCCAAGCGTTCTTGTCGACGGCCCCTCCCATAAATATGCGGCACAGACGGCTAAAGAGTATATTGTGAATGCCATGCATCGTAACTACTTGGCAGCTCAGCAATTGAAGACGGAGCAACTGGCGGCAGAGATAAACGCCCCTGCTGTCGCTGTCACCTAGTTTTGAAATGTGCTAATCCATATGAATATAAATATATAGCTACTGCGATCTTAGTCGGGCGTAAGTTATACAACCTGCTCGTTCAACTGCTTTATATTTTGCACCAAGGCCGGCCCGAATTTGCCGGTTTTTCATCTTCGCACCTAACTTGTACCCAAACATACGATGACAGGGCTCGGCCTTTCCTGATCAGCTCAAGTCATGGTACCGATGTTCTTTGGAGAGCAGCCTCTTGGAATCTGCCGTCGAATTGAGGCACAATAATTTTAAAATCGCGGGGCCGTACTCAACCCAAGTGAGTGGCAAAAATAGGTTACATCTGTGGCAAACGCGACAGAAGGGCTAACTACGACATATACTAGCTTATCTACAATGAAATGTCCTCTGAAATGGACGAACATGCAAGTAAATGCGTACGAGAACCCAATGGCGACTAAATGCCAGTGCCTCGACGTCTCGCGATCTCTGCAGTATATAAGGGCGGGGTGATTTGGTATGCCCCGTCCCAACTCGTTGCGATACCACCGCCGCTACTCATTCTGCATCATCGCCATGTTGCTCAGTGTCGCTGTGACTGCCTTTGCCTTCATGATGTCTGCATACGCCTAACTCAAGCCTAAACAGTTGGTAAGTTCCTTCTACGCTCCTATCTATTTGTTTGGCTTACTCGTAACTTATAGCTTGACCGTACATTGACTTGATTCGTGGTAGCAGGTGAAGTCGGGCTAAGCTCGTAAGCGAATCGGCAATAAGCACACGGTCGGTTTGCTCTCATTCAGATTGTTACTGTCCAGGCCTGCTTTCGTCCTGTCATGGTCATTTGGCTTTTTCCCATAAATGTGAATCTCCTCCTTCTACTGCTTAAGTCTCGGATAAATGCACGGTCCGTCGCCATTCAGATTGCGCCTTGCCATCTGGTGGCCGTCCTCATGACATGTTTTCACAGTGACTTCGTTCATGGGTTTAAAACCAGGACATTCTATTCTTCTCTGGTCGTCATCCCGTCATGTTGGAGTATGTTGCCTTACTTTCCTCGCTTTGTTTCCCCTTCTGACAAAGTTCTTGCAGGATAAAGCTCTCAACCGTGTCTCTATGTGCTGCGGCACTTGTACCCGTTGCAGGTGCTGTGACGGTCATACCATCCACTTCCTTCTCCTCCTACTCGACGCTCGAAAGCTATTGGAATTATCTGTACCCTTGGGGATCAGATCACAATGGCAGTAAGTCGATTATGAATTGGCGCGTACTCAATTTACGAGCTTCTAGGTGCCCGAATGGTTGGAAACTCGACTGTACATAGCAACATTGCTATTGCTTCAAGTACGCTGAGCCTCATAGCCACACCCACATCAAATGCTTCCCCGCCTACAAGCACAACTAATCCACATCTCGCCATTCATTACGCTAGGTGAGCGCGAGAAGATTTCTTTCCTGCGTTCATCCTGTAATTCTGTTCGCCAGTGGTGCAATCAATGCGAAAGACTACATCACCGTGACCGCCAAAAACTCGTATACAATCTATGGCGAATTCAGCGCTCCGACAGCAGTAGGCACATGGCCTGCATTTTGGTTGACAGTAAGCACATTGAAGACGCTGGCACAAACTTATATCTTTCCTCTCGTTCACAGGCAGTTGAGAGTTGACCACCTGAGACGGGCATAGGCGAATGGAAAGGCACTGCTGATAATTGGTACAACACGTTCAACACCTCTTCAGTAGTCCAATCGACTTTGGTGGACTGGCCCACCGATCTCTCTTTTCATTCACTGAAAGCGGTCCTCACTGCGGAATCGAACGGGGAAGATGTGAAGATCGACTTTTATATGGATAATCAATTCAAAGTCACTCAATATGGTGAAGGGTTTGTTGGAAGTGCCTTGTACTTGTTCGTCAATCACCTTCCTTCTCCTTTTATTTGCTACTCATTTCATACCCCTCTTCAGAATTATTAATCTACAGGTCTGTTATGTAAACATTTGAATCGGGCGTTATACTCATTGGTATCCACCAGATGGAAGGCAGTTCTGGAACACCAGGTCCTACGGGGACAACGACGTACAAGGTTCGGAACGTTGAAGTAACTCGAACTGGGTCGTAGGTGGAGCGCTTCAAGCTTACTTGAAATTGTATATTACTTAGGATCCACATATGTAATACGAAGTTTTGACTCAAGTGATGTTGAGAGGGTGGCGAGAGTCACTTCTCTCACGAGAGGCTCGCGCAGTCACTGACAGGCGTAAAGGCTAGTCGATTGCGGAAACCCCTCGCTACGCTACGTGTACTGGCTCATATATATACGGTAGGAATAACAAATACGGGCTAAACCAGGGGAGACGGGGGGAAGAGGAAAAAACGTCAGGTAAAAGTATCGGGCCGTGGAACGACTCGTAACAGATGTGGACCTAATCGAAGATCAATCCTTTCACTGCTTTGACAGATGGCTGATGTGCATGCACATTCCCACTCTATTCAATTGCGGCGTACGCTAACCTCGACATTGCTTCCTCCTTGAGGACTTCACCGTACCATCTTGTGTCTAGGTTCTACTGCGTGTTGTCTTCTGCCATAGATTATGCATACCTTCTGGTGACGGACTGGGGTTATAGCATGGTGCTCCTGTGACAGCGCTGAATTTGATCCCACAAGCGTTACACCCTTACCAGTGTTATTCACATCCCCAAAATCATCGGGACATGCAGAAAACGCATGAAGACAGCTAGCAAGGCTCTGTTCGTATATTAGCCATCGGGCAACCCGACTGCGAGACCAACTCCCCGCATCTCTTTGACACCACAGGCAACTTATATAATGCGTCTCTCTCCCATCTTTGTGTTTTTTGTTACATCTCTGGCTCTTGTGCATCAAACCCATGCAGGCCCAATCAGCTACGGTATATGCCAAACTGGTGAGCTCAAACACGCTGGCTAGAAGGGTACGGACCTGATAGTGAAATTTAGGCTGTAATGCTCTAGCTGTTGCGTGCTATGCAGCCGCTGGATTCACGTTTGGGACAATCGCAGCGCCAGCTGCACCGGCTGCGATTGTCAGCTGCAACTCTGCACTCGGAGCGTATGTGGTTCCGTCCGTATAATTAGCCATACATTTACACGTGTATGCAGATGCTCTGCTTCATGCGCCTCTGTAGCTTTGTTTTCGCCGACTCCGTGAAGGGCTGTATCCGTAGTAGGATGTGCATGTTTGAATCTTGAGCAATGAGGATATGGCGTTATGCACCGTTAGACGACGAAAGTCCAGAACCCATGTACCGGAAGAGGGAAGAAAAGCTCGTCCTCATGTAGTAAGTAGAAGGTATAGCGCTGCTGCCATGGCTCGGCACGCGGTATCCGTTCGTGGACACGTTGCTTTATCGATTTGCTTATTGTTGATTCTCCAGGATTGTTCATCTGAATCATCTCCATCAACGTCCAACTTTGCATCGTGCACTAGGCTACATGCTATGAGTCAAACGATAAAGTGACGGGAACCTGGCGCTCCATGGCAAGAAGCTGTACTCACCATGCTATACAACTTGACGTATGAACGCTATCAGAGACTTCTGATGAAAGATCTTCCTCACTAGCGCTGGGTGATAGCTCCGTCCTAGTATGGCCTTCATACCAATGCAGTGGACGTTTACGTTGATACGGCTGCTTCCTTGCGACCTTTCACATGCTTGGATATTGCATCTGGACTCTGTTGCCAAGTTGTCTTCATTCAATTGCGTTATGCGTATCCCCGAGGGACAGCTGCAGTAGCTAAAGCATCAGAATTCATTTCCGAATCTCTAAGCGCGGCGCGCTTATTGGCAACATTATTATTATTATCCTCGACGTAATTGGACGACACGGAAAGCGCGTAAAAACAGCTGACCAGGTGCTAGCCGTATATAAGTCGTTGAATAACCCGGTTGCAAGGGCAAAATCCCCATCACCTACCCCACAGATCAACGTCGTCAACTGATATGCGTCTCTCTCGAGTCTTTGCATTTCTTGCCACATCCCTGGCCCTTGCGCCCCAGGCCCATGCGGGTCCAATTGCATATGGTATCTGCCAAACTGGTGGGTGCTAATCCGACATCTGCGAACGCTGTCTGACGGTGTACAGGCTGTAATGGTATGGCCGTTGCTTGTTATGCGGCGGCCGGATTCACGTTTGGAACGGTCATCGCAGCGCCTGCTGCACCTGCAGCCATTCTTGCTTGTAATGCAGCGCTGGGGACGTGCGTGATTTCATGTTCACGATTAATCTTGCACTGACAGGGCCCCATGTACAGCTGTTCCACTGCATGTGCGACTGTAGCCCTTTTGGCCCCGACTCCATGAAGAATTGCATGACATTGAGGGTATAGTAAGGTACAAAGTTCGTTGAGCAATGAAGATACTACATATGTACCGTTCTATGATATATCCGAGTCTGAGTGTACACTGAGAAAGACAGGAAAAGCCTGTCTGAGTCACTAGCATCTGTCATTATCATTATCGTCATTACCAGCCCTCTGAGCCCGCGCCCACAGAGCTGTTCTATATAAGCCTGATCAGCTTAGGAGTGTCAGAGAAGAAGAAGAGCCCACTGTTTGGTCCTGTCGTTTGGCTTCGGAATACACAAAAATCAATATGAGAAACACCTCGTCTTTCGCAAGCCCTTCCCGTGTGAGCTCAAGTGTCGTCGGCGTAGCTTTTGAGAACAAATGCGGTCTAAAGGGAACAGCAAAAGTTCCGGCGACCTCGTCATTCGGCAGAATAGCCTATACAGCGACATGTAACCCTGGCGGACACAGTGAATAATACATCCAATACACGCACCTTCCAATCTTCATAGTTATACTTCAACGAGTACTCGGTTCTACCCTCATCCCATTTCCAGTATCTGCACCTGCAAAAGTGGTGACTTTTAAGAGACGGACTCGTCGCTGCTGATGCGAACGACTCACTTGCGAAAGGGCTTTCCTGCATGCCTCTTGACATCGGAGAATTTCTTCTTGTGTCCTAGTACTTCTATGATCCTATCTTGCCAGTGTATTGCCCCAACGGTGACTACGCCGCCTGGCCCTGGATTAGCATCTTGAAGAATGGTTACATGCCGGCCACGGAAGTTAAAGGTCGTCTTCAAGGTGTACAACACGGATTCATCTACAGAAGAGCGAATTCGAGCGTTCACGACGTTGTTCTTGTTGTCGAAGAAAGCCTCCATCTCGTACAGCGCATAGGGTGGGGTCAAAAGCCCAATAAATATACACATGGACCCATATTGAAGACGGAATTTGCATGTGTTTGCCAGTGGAGGCATCAACTGTAACCTGCAGAAAAGTTCTGAATTTCTTCCTTGTCTACTGTTGCGCTGCATTTGATATCGACTTGACGTCGCTTGACGCTGCCAGAGGCAGGACGGGAGGCTCTGCCGTGTAGGGAGGATTGGTATACCCGCAATCCACGACTGATTGACGACTGAGGATGTCCGAAGGAATTCAGATTACGATTCCAGGTGCGTTTGCTTGATCGTTACTCTGTTGGTTCTTTCCAGGAATTCTCGATAGACTTTGAGGATGACGACTACAACTCCTCTACAATTCCGTTCGGTCGGTCTGCTGGGAACCAATTTGGATTTGGAGGAGGATTTGGGGCGAGCACGAATGGTTCTGGCCAGGATTCACCTACGCTAATGACACCAACCGTGGACAACAGAAGCTACTTCAATGCCCATGCTAGAGGGGACTCTGTTACGTCTGTTGACTCCACGAATTCTGCTACTGCACGGTATCCCAACAGGTCCCAGACCTCATTTGTTCATTCGTCACATTCTTCCATTGCGGCTTCCAGCTCATCTAGTTTTCCTAAAAAGTCTTCCTTTGCTTCCTTGAGGAATGCTTTCAAGAGCGGTAAGAACACGGAGCTACCCCCCGTACCGTCTCTTGACTATCAGTCTAATTCTGTGTTGAAGAATGCTTTCAACCGCTCCGCCTCCTCCCTGAACAATGTTTCGCCGATGCCAACTTCTGCAAAGGGTCTACCACCAGCTATGAGCCCCCAGTTTGGTAGACCAGCTACCCCCGCTTCTTCCGAACCCAGATACATGCGCGGATTACCTTCTGCTAGGTCCAAAAGCCATTCCTATGCCAAGTCGTATCACTCTCAGTCCGGTTCCATATTCCATATATCTGATACTGGCAGCGATGGACATGGGCAGTTTTCATCCTCTCCTCCACCCGTGCCGCGATTTCCAAATGGTATGGTTCGCTCAGAGACGCCAGATTTTGAAGAAGACAAGGTTGTCATGGATCCTAAAACGCCTTCTGATTTTGCACTACATGCAGTCTTCATCCGGTTTGCTAGTCTGGCTGAAGGGAAAATTGATACGTTTCTACGCCAGATCTTGGTGCGTCATGATTACCTTGTAGTGTTTTTTGTTACTGAGTCAATCGTAGGAACGAGAACCTTTGCTGACCCATTTCATGGGACCTGGTGTTGATTCGGTATTCGATGGAATTCTAAATTCCTTGGGCAAGATTGCACAGAAGCATGCCAAACCTGTCGTAGACTCCGTCATGCGATGGCGAAAAAGTCAAGTGGAAAACGTGGGATCGGACATCATCAGGTTTCACATGGCGCAGTCTCCTCCAGGCGCTGTGCGCACTGTGCGCACAACGGACGTTCCTGCGCTCCTCAATGAGCGCAAGTCACTCGCAGCGATTTATATCATGTGCCGCGCTCTAGTCGCAGTGTTACAGTCATTACCAAAAGATGGGCTAGGAGAGGCTCTGGGCTATAGTCTGGAGAAGACCACTTTCGAACAGTTCAAGAAGCCAGACCTCAAACTTCTCTTGCAGTCTGCGAATCATCGTACTAATGCGGAATTATATGCGACTATGCTGGGATATTTGGCCAATGTCAGGTAAACAGTTGGTTATATTCGAGTTATGCTCAAAAACCGACCCCCTCTTCACGAAAAGGTTCGTGAGCATTACGGATCGGTTCCTTTCAGAACTTGGGCCGGTTGCTCAGGGTCAAATTACCAAAGATGACATGAAATTTGAGAATCTCGTTAGAGGTATCAAACACGTGCAATTGAAGGTAGATCTTTTTATTCTTCTCAAAAGGTTAGAGCTTCATAGAAATCCTCTAGGTCTGGCCTCCAGAGGCTTTTGAGGAAGGTGCCGAGTTTTTAGAGTCCTTCGCAAAGTCGTTTACCCACGCCCACGGTTTCAAATTAAAATCTGCCTTTGCTGAGACCCTGGTACAAATCTTGCATCCAATAGGAAAGGTGCGGCTAACTACAACTGAGCCAGAATTCGATCTCAAAATGTAATTGTAGACCGCTCAGGCCGAAACTAACAATCCCGTGTGGGCCAAGGCGATCGAGATTATCTATCCAAAAGCAAGAGAGATGATGTCAAAACCGCGGTATTGGAACGTGGCGTTTCCCCTGGTTATCACCAGTTTATGTGTTGCTCCAGAGAACTACTTCCGGAAGCATTGGGTGTCGTGCTTTGAATCAAGCTTATCCAAGCTCAAGGTACATGGTGAATTTCTTTCTATCTATCGTACACCTTCTAATTACCCTTGCAGGAGAAGTCTCTTAGAGTCCCAGTCATGAATGGTGTCATCCGCTTGATGTGGACGTACCTCTATCGATGCCAAGAATCTGCCTCGACGACTACCTCAAAGTTGGACCATTTGCTGAAGCACTTTTTCCCGCCTAATCGGCTTACCATTTTTCCTTCTCAGGATGACATGGACCCACTGATATACATCACCCACTTCGTCCTGTCGCGACATTTCGATTACGGGAGAGATCTCTGCTTTGACCTTCTCCAGGAATCTGCCATCTGTGCCGCTAATCTTTCCGGGGGGAATGTTGCAAATGTCATAGCCTTCGAACGAATGTCCGTTGCTATTCAGGCGATCTTGTTGTCCTTCAGGCTGGTCGAAAACGAAGCTTCTGCTCCCTCCTGGCCATCCAGCAGTGACTTCTTCTCCCCGGTCTCCGCCGAAGATTATGATTCATCATCTGAATGGCTTCCTTCCTCTGTTTTGTCCAGACCGTCGCTGCAAGACGTGTTTGATCGCCTCGGTTCGATCCTTGTCATTGTAGCGAAGTTCTGCTCTAATGCAGTTGGATCATTTTCCGTTCTCGATGATCAGTGGGTGTACACAGTGAATGCGTCGTACGAGGAACCTCACAACCTTGTTGTGAAGCGCCATCCGGAAGGTGTCCGTATTGCCTATCCCAACCACCTTCAGCCCCAGATCAGCACCTTGGCTGCGTGTTTTCAAACGTGGCCACGATTCCGACATTCTTCGATCTCTATCCCTGACGCGGTTGACATGCTCTTGCGCGGTGTCGTTCACATCGAGCCTATTTTGACTGAAATTGCGAGTGAAGCCGTGCGACGCTTCATGGCAGATCCTGTCCAAGCTCTCGTAGTTCTTGCAAGATACAACACGTTTCTTTTCAACCCTCCTCGCTCATTGCAAGATGGTATTGGGAATAAATTGCTGGTCGAGTCAGTTCAGCTGCTTTTTCTGTGGGAGGAAGTTGTTGAGAAATGGATTATCGATCTTATGCAATCGCCACGGGAGTCCTACGTCAAGGAAGAGAAAGCTATTTGGGCAAGGTGTCACGAACTCGAGGCGGGCGTTATGTTCTTATTGACGCATGAGGCCGTCGGTATCCACGATACTGGTGCGAAGATCGCACGGCTTTTGTCCCAGCTATCCGAAAAGCTGTGGCCTGAATCGTCAAACCATCCTGACGGTTTGATGTATTACATATCGTTGCTTTGTAAAAGCACGGACAACTCATATTTCACCGGCTACGACGAATTCCTTGACGAGGTTGACATTGATCGTCTACGGCAATGGGGGGAATCCAAGAGAACTGATAAGCTCTTGAGGGTGGCCGAAGGCAAGGCCGACAAAGACCGAAAGCTGTGGCGATTCATATACTCGACGTTCATGCACACCTGCGCCGATAACGCAGGACCAACTCTTGCGACGTTCCGGGACACCGTTGTATTTGCCGCTTCCCGATATCATTCCACCGTGTCACATCTAGCTGGGCTGACGGGGATAAACACGCGGGTTTCGCCTGGTCAGTCTAGGCCACCGGATGGCTTTCGCAAAGTCAAGGACAACAAAGCTGTCATTGACCAATGGTATCTCTGGGTCAAGATTCTTAGCTCGACAGCCACACTTTCCGAATCGTCCCGGCCAGCTCTTACACAGCTAGGTCGAGAGCACTCCCGAGCGCCGTCAGATGTTAGCTTTGAGCGCGAGCGTCTGACGACGACAAGGGGTTTATTTCGGTATCTGACACCGTTTTTAGACTCGGAGTATATCGCATTCCGTGATGCAGCCGTTCTTTGCATTAGTTCTTTCCCATCCAGCGCTTATTCTCAGCTTCTGGACGATTTGAGTCCTCTCGTAGGACGTCAAGTGTATGATGACCCTCGAGGCAAGGCAGGCATAGCAGTAGCGGTGGAACAGAACATGGGCATTCTCGCTGCGCGCTCCCCTAATGATACCAAGATGGGAGTTGTTTTTGGTGACAGAAGTCGTCGCCAGGAACGCCTGCATGCAGCTGTTGCTAGAATTTATTATCTGACTGCCCATTATCTGCCACAACAGCGGTCGACGGGAAGACAGGCCGCGCTAGCGAATGTGCTCAAATTTGTTCGTAACACTCAGTCTTTCCTGAGCACCCCAGAAAATCGAGACAGCCACAGTTTCCATCGACTACGTACTTATTTCTGCGGTATCGTCGAGAAGCTTTTTGATGGCCTTTCGACGCTGGAAGGCTCCGATAGGTTCATTCCAAGGAACACTCATCTTGCCCTATATAGGATGTGTGAGGAATGGTGTACCCTTGGCCCTCAACCTGAAGCAGTGAAGCAGCGCTTGGTCTCTATGCAAAGGGCTGCGGCGTTGGACTCTCAATCTGAGTGCGGCAGTACGATCGAGTCGTTTAAGAAGGAGTCGGAGCTCTTATCTTATGCAGCCGTCGGCGCATTAGCTTCGTTATGTGTATGTCTTGTCATCTCTTTTGATATGTGGTGCTGAATTTCTGTCTTAGCCTAAGGCTTTCTCTCCGCCTGGTGTTTCGTCTGGGTCACCGCTGGAGCGTTCATCATCGGAGAATCTCAAGCCTCTGACCGCAACTGCTGTCCTCGATCGGCTGAGCTCTATTCTTGCATCGGATCACATCCCATCGCAAGATCGCGGAAAGTGAGTTCTATCTGACAATAAGGAACTGCACTCTTAATGAAATCACTTCTAGGCGAGCATTGAAAGCGCTGCTTCTTGCAAACCCTAAAGAGTCCGCTCTGCTTGCTGAGTCAGTGAGACGAGCTCTGATTGGCACCGATGATAGCGAAACATGCAGTAGCCGCTTCTTCGAGGTCGTCGTGGACTTGATACATGATACGGATGCCCATGGCTTTACCTTTTCCCAGGTCGTGTGTCTAGGCCTGTCGAACCTCTGCCATCAGCGTATCGAGTTACGTCGACAAGCTTTCAGTATGCTCGAAGCAATTCATCGTCAAACATCTGACCTGCTCAGCATGTCACAATTGGAGGCAACGGTTGAAAGCTCGGCATCTGCCATGTACACTCACGCGCACGCTTTGGTATCAGAATTTCTAGCTGGAGCGCACCCCGAAGAGGCATTAAACATACTTTCGGAACTGGGAGCGTGGCTACCAAGTATGCCAGAGTCATCATCCACCATCATTCTCCTCCTCCTCCAAAGTCTGGAATTCTGGATTTCCAATATTCCTCTCATGACGGATGACAAAATTGGCTTACGCGAACATGGCCATTCAGCGCTCTACCATTTACTTTGCTTGACCTTACGATATGCAAATTCGCACACAGAGCAAATCATGGCTCTCTGGTCGAAGTTGGTAGAACATCCCCATGAAGCAAACGGCCATGCCACTGTTCGGTTTCTTGTGGAGCAGTCGCACAAAGTTGGAAGTATCGTCTTCGTCAGTTGCGCAGCAAACATTGTCGCGTGCATCTGCCAGACAGCCATCGGGAGGGCTATCTATGAAGATTTGTGTACGGTAATTGAACCGGTGCGGGTCATACCCACGATAGATCACAAATTAGCCTTTCCTACCGCCGATGACATGGAACTGTGGTCAGATCTGGATGCGTTGTTTGCAGATAAGCAACCGCGGCTGTCTTTGGGCGGTGCCCAGTTCGCGTGGCTTTTCCTTGCTGATGTCGCCCCGCAGCGGTGTTGGGAGCTTAGGGATCAGTTACCTGTCCTCCTCCATTCCATTTTGATCCACATTGACCATCGTACTCCCTTTGTGCGGCACAGAGCGCAGTATATGTTGTTCCAGATCCTGCGGTCATGGGCTCCCGGTTACGACGAGCTTCAGGATCGTTCCTTGCATGGGAATCGCGCCGCTATCAAAAAAGCCATCAGGAACATGGAGTTGGAGGCACCAACGAGATACTGGAGAGAGGAAGAGACGAGCCAAGAATGTGAACCCAAGATGAAGTGGTTATGTGACCGAGTCCTGGACGTTTTACAGCCTCTTTGTCCCGACATTAGAGAAACTTGGGGTACACTGGCTCTGGATTGGAGTACTCAATGTGCTTTTCGCCATTTCGCATTCCGATCCTTGCAGACCTTCAGAGCACTCATGCCACGCACCTCCATAGGAGACCTCGCCAATCTTCTGGGCCGGCTTTCTATGACCATAGCATCTCCTGACGATGGCATGCGATCATTCGCGTCAGAGATACTTCTCACATTCAATGCGCTTGCCGCTCACGAGAATTTCAACGTATCGTTGTTCCCGCAAATGTTCTGGTGTGCATGCGCTGCTCTCTCTACGACTCTTGAGAAAGAGTTTTCCAACGCTCTTTCCTTTGTTAGCACTCTCTTGAGCAGGGTCAATCTTGATGACCCAACCACATTGGAACTCTTCCTCAATCACCGACCGAAAGATTGGATTGGATCATCCGGTCTACAACCTGTATTGCTTGCTGGCTTACGTTCGTCGGCGACCAGTACGAAGACCGTGAAAATCCTCCAGACCATGGCCATGTTCAAAGACAGTACTCTAATTGATCCTACAGAGGGGCGTGTCCGTGATTTGTACACAGTTTCATTGCCCTGGTTTCTTCATGCCATGAGTTCTGATAAGGGCGTAATTGACGAGGATTTATCGCGCTTTGCCGAGAACATTGGAGAATTGGCGAAACAAGAGGGTCGACAAAGCATTGGAAAGATTATGTCGTCTTTTGCGAAAGGTCATTTCAGAACACGAGATGACTTTCTACGTCAATCGGTGTCTAGCTTGCGAGAGCACTACGGGGCTACTTACTGGACACAGATAGTGACCCTGCTTTTAGGATTGGTGTTGAATCAGGAACGATGGTTGCGTATTCATGCAATGCAAATCGTGAAAGTACTTTTTCAGCAAACCCGGAGTCCCGTTGAACGTCTCGGATCAGAGATGCTTATGCCCTTGCTGCGACTGTTGGAGACCGATCTCGCGCCACAAGCACTCGATGTCCTGGAGGAGCCTATGACTATGTCTGGAGGTCTGGCCGCAAAGCATGTATTGAGGATGAGCATGCATGCTCATAATCTTATGAAGGAGGACCAATCAGCAGCGATTGTTTTCGGAGTTCCGGAAGACTCCGGATGGTGTGTAGCCCAAGCTGACACCGTGCGTGAAACTTGTCGTGCCAATATGATGGGCGTTTTCGATACATGTTCAATGCCCTCACGACCATCTCGTATCGACTTCCAGCCAGAGGAGGTAGAAGGTCTCGTCACACGCAAACCTACGGAGGAAGATCTAGGCGGCCTTGTACAGAATCTGCACGATCTCACGACGTTCTTCCAAGACGAATCCTCACGCCCAACTCCCATGTCGGTACCCAATCGCAGATTAGAAGCCCGTGTGGCTGCTATTCTCGCAAAGTCAACCGCTCCCGAAGCAATTTCTGATGTACCTCCAACTCCTTTTGTTGATGTCTTCCGAGTCAGCGCAGTGGAAGGCTCAGATGACGGATCAGATGAGTTTTCTGACAGTGACGATGAAGCGGATGCTTTTATTTTCGATTCACCTAGTGTTTACCATAGCGTTCCAAATGGCTCTCGATATCATTAGTAGCATCATTTCACTGTATATTGCATACCTTTCTTACTTCACGCACATAGCATGTATTACAGGACATTACTGGCATTATTACATTACGCACTTTGGTTGGTTATTGACAATAATAGAATGTACTTTGTATTTTGCGTATAAAATATAGAACTATCTAACAACGCTCAAACACCTTGTAGAGATTAGGCAGATCAGCAATTTGAACCACGTCTCGTTCCAACAAAGATTTTGGGGCGATTAAATAGCGCCTCATTGCAGGGAAAAGGATGTGCTGGATCTGCCATCGTTCAGCCTTGTCTTGCGCCTCTTGCTCGTCCGTTTTTGTCGCGGCTGGGTCAAAGCATGGCGCTGGTCCAGGAACATAGAAATACGCTAATTCACGAAGGAAAGACTCGAAGCATTCCTTCTCGGCTGTCCAGTTCACCTATAAAATTTAGAAATTAATGTTAATCAAACCCCTGAAGGGGGTGCATACCTGCGGACCAAGGCGCATGAGAAAGTAGGGGACTTTGTCCAGATTGGGCGTGTAATCTCGAAGCAAAAGGGGCAGACTCTCAACCAAGCCGTCGGGTGATATATCAAGGGAAAAATACTCCGCTAACATATCTCGCCGTGTCACGAGAATATCGACTATCCGCTACGTTTGAGGGTTCAGTCAGCAATCATATCATATTTAAAAGTGATATACTGACATCAACAATCTGAGTTTTCGTCAATTTCGAATCCTCCGTTGTATCTTCTGCGTCTACGGCAATCTGTACCAGCTTTCGAAGAGGCGGCGGCGGTTCCAGCTTTAATTTAGCCATATCGCCGAATTGACGGAGCGCCAGCTGGAAAAATAGTTCTTCCCTGGAATCCCTACGATGAATATGAGAAGTAAATGAATGCATGAGTCACATACGCAAGAGCCGCATGGTTAACAAGATATAATTTAGTCGAGTGCTGGACTAGAGAAAGGCACCGGTTAAGATCGACAATACCAACAAATATGTGTTTCTCAAGAATTTCAGTGAGAACTTGGTCCAAGATCAGAAACTCTGCAAGCCAAGATAAGAAGACACGAACGTCGGTGTTTCCCTTTGCCCACACTATGTCTTAGATTCTGAACAGAAGTCAGAATACATTCCGATTCTTTAATCCCCCGCGTCTTTGTCATTCCCGGTGACAACACATTTTCAGCAGTACCAGAAGGGCCCTCTATTTGGCCGGGATTTATGATTGGGAACATTGAATCCAGAGTTCGATCCTGTAGGGACGTGCGAACTTTACTGTGAGAGTATGTCTTTTTCCGAGATTCTGCCTCTGATATAATTGTCAAATAATATGAACGATAAGAAGTACTTCTTACGAGTTGATGATAGTGCATTCTCCTCCGCTTCTTCAGTCTCTGGGTCAACTTCGCGTTCCTTTCCTTTGCCATTCTTAGAAATGACCTGATTATGGCTGTCCGATACTCCGCCGGTAAGCAGGGTTTGATATTCAAATACTCGTGAATGATTCTTCGCGGTAAGTGTTTGCAACAATGCATCGCAAATGCGTTCGACAATAGCTTCCTCATTCAGGAAATACACCTCTTTTTTTGTGGGATGCACGTTAACATCCACTGACCGCGGATCAATGGTTAAACTGGGATATGATAAGACCGGCAAGTGTAACTACAGAACAACGTACCTTAGATATATGAAAGGGAAAGACCCCTTGGGTAAGATGCCATTGTAAACACCCTCAAGTGCGCGTTTCATCCGAGATGATTCCACGAGTCGATCTAAAAAGGACATGAGCGGACCATGCCCACGGTAAAAAGTGTTACGCATACGGTTGATAAAAAGCAAGAACATAATTCTCTTCGCCTGATAGTTGGCATTTGTGAAGTGTGCTTCGGCAGACCAGGACTCTGAACCACCATCGTCATCGCTGTTTGAGACTTCAGAGTGAAGCAGCTCTTTGGAAATGGAGTGGCCATAGAGCATCCGTATGGCTCGAGGCGTTGAAGAAGAAGAGGGAGTTGATAAGTCCGGCGCGGCGGAGCCTGCCTATCTCGACACCGTCAGCGCACAAAGAACGATCGCTTGATGTGGTAATGATACCTTCTTGCAAACGAACGAAACGTTGGGGTTGTGAATAGCATACTTGGTTAACACGTCAAGGATCCGAGAATACTCCTCCGACGCACTTCGAAGGGCAGATAACCGAGTGGGCATATTGTAGAAGAGATCCTCTATCTAAAGACAGAGTTAGTTCAATCTGGAGAAGTAAGAAGTGCCTACGGTGATAGTGGTCCCATCATTTCCAGCACAAGGCTTAGGATCAGAAGTTTGCCCTGGATGCGTCTCTGCGAGTTTTCCGTCAGAATAGGAAGCTCTTTTCAGAAAGATTAGCCGTGTCGAGTATCTTGGATTTCGGGATCCTTACTTCCATGCACATGTCTCTGTCTTCGTCTTGGTCACGACGGTCAAATGAGCAACATGAGAAATGGAAGCGAGGGCTTCTCCCCGGAAGCCATACGTGGAAATCCTGGACAAGTCGGAAAAGGTAGACAGCTTGGACGTCGTGAACCGCTCCGCCAGAATCGGCAGGTCTGCTCTCTTCGGAAAGTGAGAAACAGGTAATCAGTTCTCCGGATGTAAATCAACGTACACGAATGCCGCACCCATTGTCTTGGATCTGTAGAAGCTTCATGCCACCGTCTTTCACCGTGACTCGTATTGACGTCGACCCCGCATCGAGACAGTTCTCTACCAGCTCCTTCAGGGCAGATGCTGGCCTATGAATTACCTGAAGACGATAGTTCAATCATATCGTACGTAGTCCGGCTGAAAAAGCGAACCTCTCCTGCAGCAATTCGATTTATCAACGATTCTTGCAGACGTCGAATAGGAAGCGGTCCATCAGGTTCATGAACAGCCTTCTCAAGCATTCTTCCGGTATCGATATTGGGAGTGGCCATAGGTCGTGATGCTAGTGGTGGTGAGTAATATGAAGTTGAATCGTCGTGGGAAGAATGGAGCGAATACGATCACGTGGCTTCCAGCAGCTTTGTATGCAAAACTAAATTAAGAGAATTACAGAAATCTGATGTAAACAATAATAGTTAGCTGAGAAATAAAATCCTATTCAAAGAGCAGACAGAGAGATCCCAGGACTTGTGCAAAAACGGCAACTAGTTACACCGGTTTTTCACATCGCTGCTTCATCGTGATGTTTGTCTTGCTGACAGCCTACCATTCCAACGTAATATTATGGAGGTCATGAGCAGGTGTAAATATAACACAATTCAAACTACTCGGAAGGCATGCCTTCATCCAGGTATTAGGCTCGGTATCAAGTTCAGACTTGATGTATCGAACCATTTAGTACTGTAGGCCTGAGTCAATCGACCCGGATAAGTGAATGCTGGAATAGGTGGATGGATAAGACGATGGGATAAAATGGACATTAGCGAAATACGACCGGGTCTCAGGTCTACCGTAGACACTTGCAAGATTCAATCCCTACCTCCTTCAATGGTCAACCGTTGATCTCAAAGTTATTCTGTGACGTCGGTCACTATAAGTGACAAAGCCTGTCAGCTTCAGCAGGTACCGTTTCATGCACAAGCGATCAGAAACTATTCCAGCGCTGCAGGCGCAACGAGCTGCAGAATGGAATCTCCCTAGGGAAGAAAAGTATACTTTAGGATCACCATTTCACAAAGAAGATCTCTGCACTGTTATATTAAATTTGTAGAAAATAAGTTATGCCCCAAGGGATGAAACACAGGATATTTCATAAATCTACAAGGAAATATTTCTCAACTGAATGTTCAAATAATTCATAAAAGCAAATGGCTCGAATCCGAAAGATAGAGCCGTTAAGATATTGACCATCCAGAATCAAACAATTAACGTTAATAGAATGAACTCTTGGGCTGTCTAAAAAGAAACTCACATTTTCTCCACTGCCCACTGCCTGCTCCCTGAAGCGAAACAGAGAGAATCTCCTAGAATAAGGCCATCCCTGAACCTGCCCAGTGGTTTCCTTACATCAGGCTAACAGGTGAGTGGATGGTTAGTATTGATAGTTCCGAGACCAAGACGACAGGACCATCGACAACAGCAGTTAGACTCCGCCACCCCTTCACCACCAAATCGAGCACGGTAGACGATGGTGCAAATGCTCTATCATCAGGGACTTACTCACATACGGGATCTTGCTGGTGTAACGGCATTCTTCGCGAAACGGAGTCTAGTAGATGTGGACGAAGAGCCAATGAATCTATGTCAAAAGTTAAGAAGCTTGAACGTTGAACCCGCCTGCTCTCGAAAGGGTGCTCACAGAGAAGAATATGGGCAAACCTGCCGTCAGCCATACATTCAACTCAATGACTCGCAACGCTCATATCAGGCGGGGAGCTCTCAGTCGCCCATATCCGGGATGTCCCTTTGTGAAGAATGAAATGAATTTCGAAACGAAATTGGAAAGCATATGCTACCAGATCATCGCGAAACGACTCGGCGTAACTGAGCAGGCAGCCACACAGGCGTAATTCGGCATCGAAATAGGCCGCCTTCTCATCGTCGGTCAACGTTGTCCCTATGTATCGATGCGCGTCCAGAAAAGAGCAAAAATGGGCAAGTATCACCCGATACACGTAGCTGAGAGGTGCAGCTAAACTGTCTTTGAAACGGAGGCGAAGCCAGCCTCACCAGTGAGCCAAAACGAGTCTACATAATAAAAAATACAAAGGAATAGCTGATTTGTAGTCTGCCATGATTGTGTCAGACAGAGAGACACAATACACAGAAGGAGGATAGTGACGACATCAGCTCACTGTCGTACACGACCACTGTATAATTTCACTCACGCCAGTGCGGTCGTCGGTCCAATGTCCTCGTGCTGATATGTTCTCTTTGAAGTCAAAAGACTTCTACGAAGGTGTTGCCATCAACCGATAATTCGATGAACAGACAACACGTACTGCAAGTTCACAGCAATCGTTTGGCGCCAAGATGTCATCACCTTCAAATATCCTTGAATAAAACGGAAATAAAATTTTGTTACACTCCCTAGGGTAAAAGTCTACATCCATTGAACGACTTATCTTTTAAGTGGATCGTTGAGTCAGGTTCCGGTGCTTCATTTGCCGATTCCGCCGGCTATTTCGGCACGAATGTGCCTCGAGGTATTTTCGCTCAAATTCCTCCTCTCGATCACATGTCATGCGAAATGGCTGTCTCGTAATTTTCTGCCCTTGTCATACTAACGAAAATCCAGACCATTGTATGCATTCTTTCCCTATCATTTCATCATAGCAATTGAATGAGTCTTGCCGTAAAGATCTTTTAAAAGTACGGCAGATCCGCGGCGCAACCTATGCGCTGATACTTAACCGTCACCCTACTACTTGCCACTGCTCGTAGCGAGGCAACCATGAGTCCTATGAGCAGTCCCGTACTGTTTTCACAGCTCACGATGGTCTTCGTACACCGTTATTTGCTATATCGTGGCGTAATGGCTGGCGTAATGGCTGGTATTGATGTGCCCATCTCCGATGTCAACCTACAGTCTCTGCGTAATAGTGTTCATGGATCGCTCATGAATCTGATGTTGATGATCCTTTAAAGCCGCAGGGGAATATCACTGGCAGTAAAGGGAGGACAACCCAGTACATCTCCTGAACTCGCGTTTTCTACATCGATCGTTTTCTCTGTAAAAGATGGCGCGTGGGTTGTATCTATGCTCTATCCTTCTATCCGTTTTTCCTCTGTTCTTTGCCGGACCTGCTCACCGTCACGGTTCCCTTGGGCGACGCGTTTTCGCTAATGGTAACTGGACTTTGCTCCAACAAGGGTAAGCGGATCCTCTCCATCCAATCAATGACCTGGGACTGATACATTTCACAGAACCACCGGCGTTAGTGGGATGCAACTCGCAATCGTGTCAGAAACCACCGCAATTATTTATGATAAAGTGTACGTCAACGTCACTCTTACCAGCGTCTATCAGAATTCAGAATGGGATATTTCAAAGGGAGCACAATCCCCTCACAGTTAACGGACATGTCGCATGGTCCGTCGAAGTTGACCTCAGCACTCTGACTGTACGCGCCTTGAACCCTCTGAGTAATTCTTGGTGCGCGACCGGTAGCTTCCTTGGAAACGGCACCCTAGTCAATTCTGGTGGAAATCCGGTTGTCATCACCGGTCAGCACTCATGAGCATATTACTTGACACGACGTTTACGAGGCTCTCTGTAGGCGCTAATGGTTTGCAAGCCATCCGGATGTTCACACCTTGCGATGACAAAACCTGCGATGTTTTCGAAGACCCCAATCACATTCATTTGACATCAAACAGATGGTACCCATCATCCGTGCGTTGGTTCTATAGCTCTTCCTGGTTGTCAAGCAATCATTTATGACACTCGGCAGATACGTATTGAGGATGGTTCTATCATCATATATGGGTAAGGCCTTGACGTTCATATATCGTCCACGATACTGAATTTCACCATCTTCCAGGGGTTCTGTCGGCGGAGGGTACTTAATTTCGCATATATGCCTCATTTTCATTGATTTTTACTGACCCACTTAGATACATCAACTCAAATTCCATCAACAATCCAACCTACGAGTTCTTTCCACCAAAGAACATCAATGGTATCTTTTTATCGTCGAATTGAATTCCTCTCGTTTGACCTCAGTGATATAGGATACAATGGAGTTCAGATCCCCAGTCAATTCCTTCTTAATACTCTTAATGGGAACCATTTCCCCATTATGATTTACCTTCCGGATGGCACCATTTTCGTTGCCGCGAACCAAGACGCAATGATCTTCAATTGGCAAACCAACACTGAAACAGCTCTTCCAGGAATCCCTAACGGTGTTCGCATAACGTAAGAACATACTCATCGTTCTTTTACACTCGTCACATCTTTTGCCAAAGCTCGCCGTTCTCGGCAGGCGCCACACTTCTTCCTCTCACTCCAGAGAACAACTATACCCCAGAAGTGATGATATGCGGAGGATCCACAGTTTCTGACAGTGTGTCACCATCGACCATTTCTTCACAAGTCCCTGCATCGGCTCAGTGCTCCCGACTAGTTCTGAACGAATCGGGCATAGCCGCTGGATGGCAGGTGGAACATATGCCACAAGCCAGAGTCATGCCAGAACTGGTATTGCTGCCAGATGGGAGAGTTCTGATTGTGAATGGGGCGCAAACTGGTGTCGCAGGATATGGAAATGTATGCATCAGCATCGTAAAATCCTTCAACTTGGCTAAAGAAAGAATGCACAGGTTGCCAACCGTGTTGGTCAAAGCAATGCCGACAATCCCGCGTTTACCCCAGTCGTCTATGATCCGTCAGCTCCAGCAGGTGGTCGGTTTTCAGATGTTGGAATTCCCGCCACAAATATCGCTAGGCTTTATCACTCGACCGCGTCTTTGACGCCCAATGGAACCATCATGCTCGGTATAAAAATATTTAGTCCCCCAATTTGTACATGATCTCATATGTGTGTGCGTTCGGACAGCAGGTTCCAACCCAAACGACGATGTGACGACTACAAAATATCCCACTGAATATAGGTATCCATGTCGTATCGAGTTTTGATTCGACTTCTCATCGTTCTTGTATCAGGATGGAGTTCTATTCTCCTCCCTATATGGCAAAACCTCGTCCAACCTATACCGGTTTGCCTGCTACAGTGAACTACGGAGAAGTTTTCACTCTGACCGTTGATCTACCTCCAACTGCGACGAATGCCTCTGGTACGCTTCCAATTCCGATACATTCTTCTTCTCTAATGCATAATGCCCGTGAAGTGTCTTTGATGGACCTGGGTTTTGCTACACATGCGGTCCACATGGACCAACGTCTGCTCAAGCTCGTCTGTTCTCTCTCAGATGATGGCACGACCCTTACCGTCACGGGACCGTCTACCGCCAGACTATATCCACCCGGACCGGCTTACCTCTACATTGTCACAGATGAAGGAGTACCGAGCTTTGGACACAAGACTATTATCGGTACCGGGGGCTCCCCTCCAGTTGATGGAGATGCTGCGGCCAAGTGAGTTGTTAGAGCTTCCACATGCTACTTCTGGCGCTGACCACATGTACACCGCTCATAGCATGCTAAAAGCCTCCGTTGGTTCATTCGTAACCCCTCCACCGCCACCTGCTGAAGGCGAGGGAAGCAATGTCGCCACCGCTGTAATCCCTGCTCCGAGCTCTTGAGTGCCCAAAAAAGACAGCTTCTTTGTTTCCCTTCTTTTATCAACTGTTCTATTCCCTAGCAAGGTGAGGGTGATGATGAGATGTCCGATAAAGTGAAGTACGAGGCGACTCTAGTCATCTTTTCTATACAGCTCATCAGATGGACTTCATGTATACTTTCCGCACATGAATGATTCCCGATGTCAGGAACCTGACATCCATCTTGGACCGCATGATAGAGCACACACTTTGAATGGCGGGTTAGCTTCTCGGTCCGTTCTCTTCCGCCTGTGATCTTCCATATTTTTGGAATTCCGGAATGACGTATAACGTTTTGCAAATTCGGAGATAACGGAGTTTGGATGTTTCGGCGACAGAGAATTGAAATTACGAAACCCTGGGCAGGGCGCTTCAAGGCAAATCTTCATCACCGTGTCTCGAGACCGCATATAAGTACTGGAATACATACTAGCAATCAGCTACTTGCCAGTGGCCCGTTGGTGACGCTGATTGCATATTGCTGATTGCAGGAGATTAAACATTTGACCGTCAACAAGCTCGCCATATGCTCAAAGGGATTTGAGAATTGTCTAGCATGATCCGGTATCGCATATCGCATCGCAGCCCGCATCGAGCACCGCAGCGTATCCCAGATCTAGGCTGGAAGAGGGGAAACGAGGCTATGAAATATGTGCAAAGTCCAAAAAAGGCCATGACGTCTATCGTCGACCGGGCGTCATGGAGATCAGGCACGTGAGGCGCGCACAGGGGATATAAATTTCTCCTTGGCCTCTTGACTCCACCATTTTATCACCCACTCCATCTCCTGTACGCCTTGAATATTTCAATACTTTCCACTATGCCTGAAGGAACAATGAAAGCTCTTTGGTACAATGCGGTATGTCTTTTAGGACATGCCTGTGCGCCCAATGTCTGACGAGCACGGTGCTGGCAGCCCCAAGACTTTGAGATAAAGCAGGTCCCAATACCGGGAGTCGGCGACGATGAGGTGTTGCTCAAAGGTGTGTCTCGTCCCATGGCTCCAGCCAGCCTTCGCTGACGACGTCGATAGTGAGCTGCTGTGGTACGTGCCAACCCTGAGTCTTTGACGTCATTTAATAAAGGCTGTCACTTAGGCGTGTGCGGAACAGATGCGCACATTCACGATGGTACGTGTGCTCTGTTGGGGATATTACCTTGGGCTCATTTGCCGTAGGCGAGTTTATCTCAAAGTTCCCTGTACGTAGCCCCTTCATCCGACAAGGTCCGCAGCCTGAGACCTGCCCAGCTTATTCCAGGACATGAAGCCATTGGCACCATCGTCGAGTTGGGCAAGAACGTCAAGGGCTTTGACCTTGGGGATCGATGCGTAGCAGACGTTGGCATTACGGTGCGTCCAAATTCCGTCGAAGCATGCCGAAGCTTAATGGTCACGCTGTAGTGCAACAATTGTTTCTTTTGCCGAAGAGGGCAATCACTCATGTGCGAAAACTTCAACGCACGGGGAGTTACCCAGGATGGGGGATTTGCGGAGTACATAGTTTAGTATGTCGTTTCTTTGATCATCTTGTATCGCTTCTCACTGTTTGTCCAGTCAACAGAACAAGCTGTACAAGATAAAAAATCTCACCGATGAGGAGGCCACTCTGCTTGAGCCTGCTGCATGCGCAGTTCATGGTCTCGACAAGCTGGCACCGCCTGTCGGCATCGAGGTTCTCCTTCTAGGGGCTGGACCTACTGGCTTGATTCTTGCTCAGCTGCTGAAGCTCAATGGTGCTTCCCGAATTGTCGTCGCTGCGAACAAGGGTATTAAGATGAACATCGCCAAAGACCTCGACGTTGCTGACGAGTACATTGAACTTGACCGCCAGAATCCTGGACCACAATGGAAGAAGCTGAAGGATGACAATCCCTACGGCTTTGACGTTGTCGTGGAAGCGACTGGCGTAGAGAAGCTTGCTAATGAAAGCATCAACTACGTTCGAAGAGGTGGCACGTTGATGCTGTACGGAGTCTATGAAAACAAGGCTGAGGTGCATTGGCCACCATCAAAAATCTTCGGCGATGAGATCAAGGTGCGTGCTACTGTGAAATAATCGCTGACTTGTCTAATTCAAGTGAGTTCTTTAGATCATTGGGTCATTTTCGCAGACGTATTGCTTCCCCCGGGCGGTGGCCTATCTTGACAGTGGCAAGGTTAAAGTTAAGGGTATGGTTACAGATGTCTTCCAACTAGACGACTACCAGGCCGCGTTAGACAAGATGAGCAGTAGGCGCGCACTTAAAATTGCTATCAGACCGTAGGAAGAAGAGAAGAATCTCGATTATTGAATATTGAATAATTATCGTCATTCACTGTAGATTATTTACCGTCCTACTGTAGTATCATCAGATATATTTATGAATTGCTTGAAAGCTGTTCACGGCATTGGGGATGTGGATCTTTGGAATGACGTCCAAATGAAATATGTCAAAGCACCTTGACGGCAACCTTAAAAGTTAAAATGCTTCCCTGATTATGTGCCCTCCGACTCAGAGAGCATGGTATTTAAGAGACTTGATAAGTAGCATGAGTTTATAGTACGGCGAGAGACTTGCACCTGAAGAATTGAGAGGCAGATACGAGATAGTTCGTTTGGGTTCGGACCTCCGACCCGACAGTCAGCAGTTGTTTCCGGCCCGAGTTTCCGAACAACTTGTAATTGTTGCCGGTGCGCATGGGCCGTCCGATGTATCCCACATCCTACCGCCCTTCATTGTTTCTTATACTGGTCCCTTCCCTTCCCCACAATCGAATTGTGATGCAACCGGTATCTGTGTCCTATTTCGGCGTGTCAGACAATGGAGGTTACGTTGCAACGAAAACATGACCATCTACGGAACAAAGGCTTCGATCTATCCATTGTTCGAGTCCTGTTCGAGCGACACTACTTAGGCCAAGGTCACTAGGTTAGAAATATATAGCACCTTCGACTGGGCCTCTAAGTTTTTCATGTTCTGTGCTCTTCTTAACAGCCTACTTCTGCTGCTGAGATGTACGGTTGTTGCGCTCCTCTTGGTCTCTCTCCGCTCTCTGCTCCATCTCTTGCCTTACCGCTGCGGTGGCTCTCTCACATCCACAGTATAAGGATAAGGATACGAGTGTACCAAACGCATCGTTCTTCAACTTGGAGGAAGAATACCGAGCGTTTCTTCCGTAGGCTGTTCTGCGGCTATGCAGAGCCTCAAAACGTAGATATCGTATCTACCATCGTGGTGCCGGACCAGGCGATGATGTCGCAGAGAAACGATGTCAATTCGGGGTATGCAGCCAGCGCTTATTCTGGGGACATCTCTGCTATGACCACCGTCATGGAGGAAACCATTATGCCACAGACTGTAGAAGAGGTGATTCCGCCGGTTTTCTTCCCTCCATCACGTTCTGACACCCGGCGCCAGCGATACACAGGGCCAAAACAGATTACGAACGACTTCGATACACTGAGTGACATCAGAATGCCTCAGATTGTGATCACTCCCGATTTGCCCACTCGAGAGAGGTCTTCGGTGGACGTGATGCGCTTCTCGTTGCCGCTGGAGGAATATATCATACCGCTTTCTCCTCCGCCTAGGCGTAGACGCCGGTGGCTTGCATCGGCGTCAGGTTCGCAAGCAGCGACCGATATTCAAGCTGTGTCAAGCGGGAGAAGTTCAAGTTGAGCCGGGGGCTCGACACCTACCACGGGACAAACGTAAGTGACCTCTAGGAGATCTGACGCCCAATCCTGAACATTTCTTCTTGCAGTCAAAATCAAGAGGGCGCGTTCTGATTCGTTATCTATACAGGTCCAAACTTCTCATACGCTATACTTATTCCCTAATTCATTACACCGGTTGGCGCCGGATGTTCTATTATTTTATCTAGTATACGTCTCTAAGTATAATGTACATACTTCTCTTCGTTGTGATGACCAAATCCCGGGATCTACGTGCTCCCAGAGAATAAGTGAGGCGCAGAAAGGTCGGGAATATCGTTTAGTGGCATGGTCTGTCGGAAGTATGAATGCTCCAGGCATTCTAAAGCTGTAAGTCGTTCTTCAGCATCATACCGAAGCAGCTGCCCTATGCACTGAATCAACGTCGGTGGAACCCTTCTTGAGAAGTACGTATGAAGATCTTTGGGGCGAACCTAAAAACGGGGATGTCAATAGAACCTCCCAAGAAAAATTAAAGATAGTAATTCCAACCTGCGGAAACCTAAATCCCCGTGAACGACAAAGTTCCACGCCATCTGGCCACGGCCCGCCACCAATAGGGTCACCGAACGAATCACGGCCATAGTCGTGCGTTGGGTCGCCTAAGATCGAGATCACCTTATCAATCTGGTCCAGCTGGCTCGTACCAGGAAATATAGGCTTTAGTAGCAACAGCTCCGCCATGACCACCCCTAAGGACCACATATCCATAGACGTAGAATAGTCCGCGCCCATCAGTAGTACTTCTGGCGCCCTGTACCAACGCACACCGACATATTCCGTATACACCTGCCTAGAATCGACCGTGCGCGATAAGCCAAAGTCGCCGATTTTGACTATCGCGACGATATCCATTTCCGTCTCGCGGCCGCTGGTAGCGGCGACGACAGAGCGGTAGGAAAACAACCCGGTGGTGCTCACGAGGATGTTTTCCGGCTTGAGGTCGCGGTGGAAATAATTCAGGGAGTGCATGTGGCCGATACCAGATACCATCTGGAAGAAGATGGAAGCCACAAGCCCTCCTGCTAATGGACGACCCTTTCGAGCCTTGATAAGGTGCTGCAGGTTGCCTTCCATTGGTTCCAGCACTAGATGCAAAGTTTTTGTATCTGTACTCAGGAAGAAGTCATACAGAGAGATGATGTTGGGGTGCACTGGCATTTCGCAGTGAATCTGATAAAACATTAATGTCAATATTTATACTATAGGCACTAGAAAAACATATTGGAGCTAACCTGGAGCTCCCGTAGGAGTTGGCATTCATCCCAGCCGCCTGGGAATACCCTGCGGAGCTGCTTGACAGCCACGAGACGCTTTGATGCCCACTCCCGTCGTGCACCCTTGCCTGTTTGCATAACAGGCAGAGTCGTATTTGGGGGAAAGATCTCGGGGGATTTCCAGTCGCATAGCGCAACTCGTCCACTGTGTCCTGTACCGAGCAATTTGAGGACAGTGAACGAACGGTGTAACCCTGAGAATTTGTCAGCGACACTAGTCGGAAAAACATAATACGAAGTGGAAACAAACTGCTCTGGGAATTTCCAAGTACACGATGGCCATTGGAATAAGATACGGCTGGGATGCCTTGAATGGAATGCTCAGAGCCAACAGAGAACATGTATATGTGGACTGAATGCCAACAGTCGGGCGACGTTCGTGCAAGGTCCCAGGTTGGTGGGTTTCAAGTGGGCCTTCTAGTGGACGCTTGAAGTAGTGCCTTCCGAATCCACTTTAAGCTTCCTAAAGATGCATCAGGAAATGACTGTCAGTTACATCAATTGTATCCAGTATTTACGTCCACCGGTTATTGCGACATGGGCCGAAGAGACTTGTCTTCTTTCGGAAATTGAATTGCAAAACTCAAGATGCATTGTCAGCAATACTAGGGTAATGCGTCGGGCCACATATGAGAACACAGGCCCCCTCAAGGTCCCAGGTGGACGGGCTCAGAACTTAATAATTATCAGTACAACTGCCTCGTGGCTGAAGTCTAGGCGAATGCGAATAAATTATCTGACTTCTATGGGATCGATGCTCTTCCGGCCGGCGTACATTCCGCCTCCCAGTCCACGGGGGCAAGTTCTTTGATACGATCAAGGAAGGCAGTGACCGTACAAAACTCTGGAGAACCAGGAAGGTGTTTACCCTCATCTGCGCAGATCGGCAAGTGCAAGTTCTTGTTCTGGTATCGCATTCGGACAACTATTCATCATAGCCATGAATAACGAGGTGAGGAGGACAGAAGAACGGCCAACTTACAGTGCTCATCAGCAGGTTTGGCATGAAACGGGGCCATTATCGTCTGGAACATCGACCGTGACTCATCGTCTTTACTCTTTCTGAACAATTCGAAGGTAATTGACGCTGTGAAGGCAGGCCATCTGCCGATCAGGTGTGTTGAGATACAGTGTCGCATGATCATCAAAGGGAACTTAACTTGTCGTCAAACACATCTAGAGTCGAACATAGCCCAGCTAATGCTGTGTCGTGTGTGGTATGAACAAGGATTTTAAGCGGATCTTTATCACCTTGCTCGATTTTGGTCCGCATCTTTCTTGAAATATCGTCCAGTAAGCGTCCCATGCCAAGACGGCGAACTTCTTCTGTTTTGTCTGTATAGATCTCGGTCAAAACGTCCTGGCCACAGAAATACACAAAGAAATGGAAAGTGGATCTCACACCCTATGAACTCGTGATTAGCAGAAATTCGTTTAAGAAAATAGGCGTGTCAGCGATACCTGAAAACCACTCATTCACAACGGCCCGTTCCTGCCAGGGTATTATTGATGATCATCGGTACAAGGTAGATGGAGGGAGGATATGATATGTACATACGATCAAGTCCATGACAGGTTTCTCCTCGAACTCTGGGGGGACTTTGATATTGTGGGCTAAAGAAGCTCGAATCTAAAACGCAATCAGTCTACGATCATCGAGGAAAATGAATCGTGATCAAACTGTATCCAAAATGCCAGAAGCTCGCGGCTTCCCGTCGACACGGATGGGGTTTCCACCCAGGTATTTTGATAGCTTCTTATCAAGGGGCTCGAGTGTGTGGTTATATGCGGAGGCCGCGGCTGAAGACGAAATTTAATTATGAAACCAACAGTCAAAGATGACACTACCTTGGGCAAACCCTACTAATAGAATCTCCAATCGTTTACACGAATATGTATTCCCGAGCATATTCTCATCTTTCCCATTCCTGCGACGGATCTCAATGTTGATGAGAGATATAAACACTGAGCAACTGACCGAACAACCAGTGGAGGCGTCAGAGTTGGATGGCACTTTTCTGTAGGGTAAAGGCCATGTATGATCTGTTGCAAAGATTCAATTGTTCTAGGCATGTTGGTGCTCCTGGAATGTGTTTCAGACGGTAATATTGGGTAAGATAAGGATAGTATATCAGCACCGGAAATACGTGAGTCCTTCCGTTTGAAGATAATTAGGGAGAAACCCTAGTCTATACTGGATTAGCTAGATGTCCTTTACAAATCACGGTCGAGAGACTGATGTACTTGTCAATGTAGATTTGTCTCAGCGCTGCACCGTAATTATATGTCGACTGTGGATTTTATCAGGGTCTGAGAGAAAAGGAAACAAGCGCCGACCCCATACCTTGCGACCGATATCTGTCAGTTCACCGAGCAAACTGTATATTTGAAGAGGTTCATAAATGACAATGTAAAATACACCAGGAGGAAAGAGAAAGCGCAACTCGGGCGACATACCGACGAGAAAAGCACTCACCATTCTCCTTCAGCACTGGATCCATCCGAACGTTCCACCAGTTTCCGTGTGCTTAGAGTTTGTTCTTCCAATGATCCCGTCACTACAGAAGCCTGGTACCGACGTGCCTTTGTGCAGAGCATCCAATGGTGGGGTATGCTTGCTGGTGGATCAGACAGCCGAACGCCTACTGGACTTCGCTCCCCTGCAAGTAGATGTTGTGAAGAGGTATCCAGTTAACGTCGGGTCAACCACGAACCATGCCTCACGTATACGTGAACTTGCTCCAACTTCAATCCTTCAGGCGCGACAGGATAGCGTTCTACATCCAAGGGTGCTTGAATGGGCCGGTATAGATTCGTCGGCGGTGTATGGTCGACCGGCACGGGATTCACCATAGTGAACGAGTCGAAAGATGTGGAATAAGTCGAGTTTTGTCTATCCGTACTGAGCACAGGTATTGAAGAAGAAATGAGAACAAAAAGGAGACCGATTTTAAGCTTCATGAAGCAGATGCAGAAAATCTCTATGAAAAGTTCATGCTGATGCCAGTGATGGAAGGAAAGCAAGCCACGTGGCAATTTTTTCAAAAATACGAACCGTTACCGGGGTTGCCTAGCGTATAGCACTGGGGAAATAATTCAATTTCTACTGTCTCTATCTACAACTCAGGTTAACGTTTATGAAGACTAAGTCACCAGCGCGCACTGGCACCCAGCAATGGACTAAACAATAGACTGAGTATAGATTGGAGGTAAGTGACTGACTCATATATGATTAGAATATCCAGGACTCATTCGCCGAGCGACGGGGCGATTTCATGTTGGCGGATAGAGTCGGAAACGCAAGTAATAGAGAATACATGAATGGGCAGACCTCGACGTGCGCCCAGTCCGTGTACCACACATCATTTTCACGCCGGTCTTGGTCCAGTCATCAAAACTAAACATTGCCGGAACGCGTCCAGAGCTCATCACGGGATCGTGTGAATCCTCAATTTCCATTTAGGAAGGTGGCCCAACTCTCTGGTTACGGTACCTCTCGCCCTTCGTCATGTCGAAAAGGATTAGAATCTACTCTCCGGAGGACCTCAGAGGCCATGCAACGGCCTCCAGCTGCTGGGTCTCTTACAAGGGCAAAGTATACGATGTCTCCAGATTCCTGGCAGACCATCCAGGAGGCGAGGATATCCTTCTCCGTCATGCCGGGCAGCCAGTGGAGGACGTAATGGCCGACAAGAACGAGCATGTACACTCAGAGGCCGCGTACGACATGCTAGATGAGTTTTTGGTTGGAAAATTGGGAAATGAGGAACACACCTGCACCCAAGGTACGCGAATCAGCCGTTTCGTGTGGAATGAAGTCTCTCAAATTGCCGTAGATTGGACCGCCGCCGACGACTTTCATCCGGAAAACACAGACTCTACTCAGGATTTTGAAAAGAACGAATTTCTGGATTTGCGCCGGCCTTTACTTCCTCAAGTGTGGTTCGCCAACTTCAGGTATGCTTTCTCCATCAATGCTTCTGCTGCCCGACTCAGCAGACCCATAGCAAGAGTTTCTATCTGAAACAAATTCACCAACCGCGCCATTTGTCATATTCTGCTCGCTTGTTCGGACCAGCTTATCTTGAGGTGTGACGCGTTGAATGTTGGCCCATTTCGCTCTCACGATACTCCTAGGTGTTCACGAAAACCGTGTGGTACGTAGTGCCTATGTTCTGGCTGCCGATTACAACCTACCTTGGCCTGCGGTCGATCCTTCAATTCACCACGCCACTACCTTCGGTTTTTGAAAACCCATTTCTTCCATTGGAGTTACTCTTCCAAATTCCTGCACTGTCGTATGGTAAATTCGCAGCCTGTTTCGTCACCGGGAACATCATTTGGACCATCCTGGAATACTTGATGCATCGCTTCTTGTTCCATCTCGACGATCATCTTCCTGACAAGGGCGTGTTCCTTACCATGCACTTCCTTCTACATGGTGTCCATCACTATCTCCCTATGGATCGGTGCGTAGCCGTCTTATCTTCGGCCTCCTGCGACTAACCTTTTACAGCCTGAGGCTTGTCATGCCGCCTGTCTTATTTACTGCCCTGCAATTCCCTTTCACTCAGTTGGCGTACAAGCTCTTCCCAACACCTATCGCAAACGGAATAATTACCGGGGCTTTCGCATTCTGTATGTGTCAATTGTCAATCCCTCCTCGCTAATTCTTGCCTCTTGCCTAATATCGTTGGTCTAGACGTGGTTTATGACTGCATGCATTACGCGTAAGTATCAACCGCACTTTTGACAGATCTCAATATTCACCCGGATATGATAGGCTTCATCATACAAACCTTCCAGCATACTTGAAAGAGCTGAAGCGGTACCATCTTGCACATCATTACAAAAATTATGAATTGGCGTTTGGTGTAACAAGTATATATATTTTCCTTATCCGAAACTAGACGTACTGACAAAATGTTCCAGGCAAATTTTGGGACTACGTTTTTGGGACAGTGCTACCGCTCTGAAGCGGCCTTGAGAGAGAAAATAATATGTATACCACTTAAGGCCCATCTATTTTCTAAGATCTCATTTTTATACCATCTCACGCTGTCGAACAATTTCCAGGCTACTGAAGGCTCTAGTCGTATTTGTGTTTGATGCTGCCGTCAAGGTTTATCATGATCCGTTGCAATCAGTATATATTGTAACTCGACTGCACTTTTGCCAGATTTCTTGGTTAGAAATGAGCATAGTGACCACAACCTTGTTCGGAGGTACTGGTATCATTCTGCAGTACTTAACCTTCGACAGCTATGCGTGATGTGTGAAATGGATTAGATGATATCTCTGCCGTTCTGAAGCCCTTTAGCTGCCGTCCCTGTTCATTTACGAGATGCAACAAAAGTAAAGCGTTGGCCCCAACCGATACATTCCATTAAGTACCGGCAAAATGATCTGGAGCCGCATTCAAGCGTTCGGTACCGTACACGGCTGACCCGTTTATCACGTCTTCAAGAAGTTCGAGTATTAAGTTGGCCCCACACGCATCCCATTGGGCAGGTTTGCCGCCGCTAATTGAACTCAATCGAAGGCTTCGTCATTGCAGGCGAACTTAAGATTGCAGGTTTTGTTCGGTTGTACTTTACTGATGTGATTCTTACCGTGAAGGTTTAAGCTAGGTCGATGTCCCAGAACTTACTATGGCACCGGGACCCGCGACACCGCACGGCGGTCGGCCCGGCCCTGCCGTCGATGCCCGATGTGGATTCACCGCTTCCACCGTTGCCGTCCTCCGTCTAAGTGCATCGTACACGTCCTGGTATGCCAAAGCTAAACTTCAATATCGATGAAGCGTCACTCCTGAAAGCGTACAAGATCTCGACACTGAATCCCACGTACGACTAGAGCGTGTTGTTATTGCCCTACCTGACCGCATTTGAATCGACAGGCAATGGGAAGAGGTCGACCACGATTTGGGTGACTCCGTGGCAGGAGCCCTCACCGGAAGCAGTGATGGTGAGGGAGATCCTTTGGGAATTGGGTCAATTGTCGAGTATGTCAACCGAATATTCGGCCAAGGCTTAGGTGCTCATTCTCTTCTGTAGCGTGCAGGACATGGACATGGAATCCAGTGAGACTCGTGCAATATCGTAGCGGCCAAATGCATCTCTTACTATCCACAGAGGCGTCTGTTCTAATTAGTTCCAAGTCATTCGACCCTAAAGCCTTTCTCTCGGTGGTGCACCCCAACGCGACTTACCAGGACCTTGCCTCTGGAATATCTCACCTTCAGGCGTCTATCGACGCCCGCTCAGAGGCCATCCGCATTCTCGTCGAGGATAACTTTGACCGATTTGTGGCAGTGAAGGCTTCCACCGATGGTATGGTTATGCGCTCTGCGGCGGAGAATTTGTCATTGACGCACAGCACACAGCTTTGTATGCTGAAATGAAGGAAGGTCTATTGGCCGAGTCCACGGAATATGCTTCTAAGCCGCTTCGGGATCAGCTAAAGCGTCAGCAATGCCCGATCTCGTCATGATACTGTAATCGCTGACAAGCAATATATAAAGAGGCTGCGGTGAAGGCCAATCAAGTTTTCCTCCCTGTACTTGAAAATGCGTCAAAAGCCCAGAAGCTCCGGACAACACTGGGCGTTTTCGAGCGATCCAAATTTTTCTTCAATCTCCCCAGCTTTATAATCGAGTCAATCGAGGCGGTAAGCAGGCCTTCCTAGCCCCTTCGTATCGTCGACGACTAGAACAAAAATCCAGGGGCGTTACGATGTCGCAATTCGGGACTACAAGAAAGGAAAAACCCTGCTGGAGACCCGTCCTGGTCAGCTTCTTCCAATTGGCGCTACGAAAGATGGGCAGACATCTGCACTGGCGGAGCAACAACAAAAACGGATTCTTGACAAGGTCTGGGCTAGTGTAGAGAGAGCCATAGGGGAGATGAGAAATGTCCTACTATCACAATTACAGGACCCGAGCCGAAGCACTGAAGAGCATGAAAAGACGATTGAGTGGGTCCTTTCCGCTTCCGTGTTCCTCCACATTTGAATAACCTCCTCCCAGACTACTTTTAGATCTTCCAACAAACGAGGATCCCGCCTGGACGTATTTCGATAGCCAGCACAAGTATATCATCTCCCAGATGAACAAGACGCATCGAGCGTCCCTTGCTGCGGTTAACGGTGCGTCTCCCTTGCCGTAGATGAGACTTCATTCACTGACGGAGCTCGGGTGATCAGCTGCACTAGAAAAAACGGCTACCGATCCAGACGGTCCTGAAACACTCACAAGTGTCATTATTTCTCAGCTGCAGGCATCATTGGCGGCCCTAGAAGCCAAGCAACCTGAGGCCGTTGTCGGTATGTAAACTTGTCTGCCTGTTTCATCGCTTGTGCCAATTCATTTTACAGCAGAGTCCGCTGGAGAACCCGTATGGCAAGCTATCATGGACCTGGCTAAGAATCTATCAGAAGTGATGATGGCATCCCTCCCCAATTTTTGGAAGATTTCATCCAGTTTCACGGAGGGTAAATTTAAGAAGGTGACATAGGGTTTTGTATGTCTCCCGTGTCCACATATTCAAATTGTCTCCTTAGGTTCAAACCCCAACCGGAACCAGGCGGAGTCCAACACAGTGCAGGACCATGGCTCTGGATATCATCAAGTTATATATTTCCTTAATTTCAGAATTCTTCACCCTGTCGGACATGGCGGTGATGTCCTCTCCAGGGGGAACAAATAACGTCCTGCCACCTCTCGTTCCCTCCAATTCAAGTTCATTATCAACTGCACATTACCTGATGAAGATTCTTGGTGAGATCCAGGACACAGTGAACGAACTCAATGCAATGGAAATATCCGCCGAAGCTACGGCGAGTTTGAAGAGTTTCCTGGAGACCGCTCGTTGGCGTTTCGAGGACATACTGGTTAATGCGTGGACGAGAGGTGCGTCCTTTTCCCCCACATTTAAATCATCCCTGACCAGGCGGGATTGTCCTGACAGATGCCCAACTTTTCTATCATCTGGAGACATGGACGGCCAATCCTACAGACCCCTCGGCGACCCTGTACCTTACGCAGATGGAGATGTTCCAACGACATGTCACCACCGCCGCATATAAATTGGCCGGGGGTGTTGACTTGTCGTCGGTGTCTCTAACAAAGCCGACAAAACAGAATCCCATCACGGCGGCGTTTGTGACGAAGATTACAAGAACATTTATAGACGTGTTGTATTCGTTCCTTAATGGCATGGTGCAACTCGTCTCCGATGGGATGCCTAATGCTCGCGGAAAGCGGCAGTTCCCCAACTCCGAATTAGACCTGGTCAATCCCATTGAGTTATTGGACCTGTCGAATAGTGTAAGGCTTCTTGACCAGACATGCACCGTTTAACTGACCGGCAACGTATTAATCAGGACGTTCGCTTGCTGTTGGTGTTGTCAAACTTCAGTCATCTGTCGACAGTAATTGTACCTAGCATGATTACGCAACTTGAAAACGCGTTTGGAATCAGCATTACCGAGGATCGGCAGGTGAGATCAAATAGAAAACTCTTGCTGGGGCGTTGACACTGAGAACATTGATAGACTTTAATGACGTCCGTTCTAGACCTCGACAAGAAATTGTTTGAGAGCTATGCGCAATCGAAAGCGACAATTGTGAAGAATCTCGTTCGCAGCGGCATTTTGGACAGTGGTATGGACTGGTATGAGACGCCTCAGCCAACCGGTAAGTCATGAACCTCCGAGAGTGATGTAGATGACTTATTGATTGGATAATGATGCAGAGATTCGGCAGTACATGTACAAGACGATGGTGTACCTCGTTGGTATACATGCACAGATCAGTAGTACGGCCGACACGCTGTTGGAACGGACGATGAATTATCTTGTCGATGAATTAGCCGATGAAGCGCTACGGTGCTTCCGACAAGTCAAACGGTTTGGAATGGGTGGCATGCTGCGAGTACGCTTTGCTTCTTGAGTTAATGCCGACTTACCTCTAACTGAGCACCGTTCAAAGGCCACTCTCGAGATTGAGTATATGCACCAAACATTACTCAAGTATGTGACAGACTCTGCAGATGCGGCGTTATCAGAGCTGTACAACAACATATCCCACGCTTACGCTCGACGTCCTGGGGATGAAAATTTGCAGAGCAATCTGGATCGTGTAAAAAAGACATTGGCAGATGCACGTCGGGCGACCGGTATCGAGTTCCTTTGCTTCAGAAAGACGACGAACCGGTCGGCGGGCTCTGCCACGCATGCTAGACCACCTAGGGAGCGAGATCCGTCTCGAGGTGCGCGGCAATAGTGTGTGCGCATGGTGCGTCGATTGAATTGTAGCTGTAAGTTATTCATAGAATACCATGTAAGTTTGTAAATACCGTAGTTTGTAATACATTTTAGAGCCAAACATGTGGATAGTATGAAAATACGAATACCATGAAAGATTATTTGCGAATCGTTGGGTATAACAATTGTCGGAACAATACCATATGCTCCCAGAAGGCTTCGTTGGGGGTGTGACTACTGCGCAAAACAGAAAGACACGTTTGTGGGGAAACCCAAGTAGGGCGGTTAGGTATAGCCCCTGGTCCAATCACAGAATCAAATCCACGAGGATCGTCACGATGCCAAGGACTGCACAAATCATAAGGTAAGTTGCTCATTTCAAGAGGGCAACGTAATTACCGATTTCAATGGCAATTAAAACGATAACAACTTGTTCAAGACGTTCGGCGTGTCGACTTGATACGGACTCTTTGAGCAGCTGGAGCATGTCTTGAAGCACCTACCGGAGGAGAAAGTCTTCATGGTGTGTGGGAGAACAAACGAGGCACAACCCACCTCGACCCGGGAATTCAATAAAATAACACGTTGTGGTATCTCCAGGTAACTTCTCGCGGCATCATACAGTGGCTGTAGGTCGGGAAAGCTCTGGCGCCGATTCAGATGATGGATGTGCCAGGCACCGAGGGAATGTACGTACCCAGAATACTTCCTGAAACAGTTCGTGAGTTCAAGGAACTGTAGATTCAGAATAGAACTTACCGGAGAATCCAAAACGGAACCCACAGAGTTGATGTTAGTGCGCAGCAAAAACAGCTGACCGATGTTCTGCATGATTTCTAGATGTAATAGAACTGAATTGAGTACCGATTGACCCATCTGCGAAAACCTAAAAGTAAGGCATACCCTTATGAGGCATTCCAATCTTTCCCGTCTCGCTGATGATTTCTGGAATGTCCTTCGTGTCTTCAATAGTACTGCTTATCAGCGCTTCAAACTGAATGATAGTATTTATAAAGGGCCGCTGAGTTCTGAAATGATAACGCTTACAAGAGAGCATTTGACGCTCTGTGATAGTGCATGGGAAAGTGATAGCTTCGTCCTGTGGCAGTATTGCATCAGGGAAACCGAAGCTCAAAAAGGAATGAACGATAGGTCTAACATATAGCTTGAACCCTTGCGAAGAGTAATCACATCATTATAAATTCTACAAGATGTAAACATGTCATCATTAATCATTCAATGAAATATAGACAAAGATGGACTCGCCTGCTGTAATTAGCGTAATAATAATTGAGGTCCTCCATTTCAACGTCTTCCGGCGCTAACGGGTTTATTAGATATGGAAATTGTAAAGGCCATATCCATACGCACCTAGTTTTTCGACCTCGAAGCGTTTCCTGCATGTCGAGTTAATGGCCATGAGTTTCAATGGTGCCCATGCTCACAGTGAAGACAAGAAGCGTTTTTCTTGAGCTTCAGTCATACCCCAAATAACGACTGTCCCATACTCGAAGAGAAATATCTCAGCCTCCGTGGACGCCGCGTCAAACTTTCTCTTCTTTTGCCTCGTTGGTTGTTCATCGCCTGGCCGCAACTCGGGTATCCCAAGAAGATCACCTTCAGGAAGCGCCTGAGCCCTGGCTGTGGACTGTCGGGTATCGGTAGACTGAGCCGGTTGGTACAGGTAAGGTGTGTAAATAACTTCGTCGATCAGTTTTGCGTCCGTATGGTAGGCGGCTTTGCGGGCGCTTAGAAATTTCATCAGGTCGCCCATGCGGTAAGAGCTAGATGAAATAAGTATCAAAACACATTTGAAATGGCGCAGGTAATGAAGTACTTTGCCGTCGCGTAAGCAGTGACTCGGGGAAGCGATTTGGCTTTCTTCTTGGTCAATCGTTGAGCGTCTCGTCGTGCGGTACCAGCAGGAATGAGGGATATCTGGTTGTATACCTAGAATCGTTATTAGAACAGCCCCCAAGCAAGACATAATACGGATGCACCTCTACTTCTCCCGGTTCACTGGAATCCGACTCGATATCACCTTCATCACTATCCCCGGTGGTTCCAACGCTCTCCTCCGCTTTGGGCAAAACATGTCCAACGACGACGATAGATTCAGGTTGTTCCGGCAGCACTTTAAGCTTTCCTGGAACATATGAATTCAGTGTGGAGACGGCACCCAATTCATATGACCTACCAGCTACTTTTGTCGAGCGATTAGCACCACGAGCCTTGGGTTCCGGCAGTCCCTGCGCTTGCTTTGACACAGAAGGCTCTGGCATCGTTGTTCGTGGTGGAACCGTGGAAAATCATGCCCCGCGACGGTGGAGGTCCGGTCCAAGGCCGATGCGAATTGACGTCACAGGTCACGTTACTGCGTTACAGATATGACATAAACATCTACAAAAGGTAATAGATAGCCGCCGGCGGTGCGCTAGGCTTGCTTCGTCCTCTCGCGAATGAAATAACCATCAGTGTTTCCCAAAATTGTATCTTTCCTGGCCTTCTTCTGCGCATCGTCGCCCTTATCGCCACCGCCGTCCTGTTTCCGCGTCGACATGGAACCGTTGATCTCGCGGCCAGTTATTATCCATTTGCCCGAATGCCAGTGCTTCCTTGTAGGCGCTCGCAGAATATCACCGGCGGATCCATACAAGACTTTGTTCTTTATTCCATGAAAAAAAACCTTGAGCATATGTGGCTTTGATTCCGATCATGCATCGTTTCTTCTCTGGCTCAGGCAAAATTGGGGCAGGGTAGTCATGCTCAATGACACAGCTTGCCTGCTTTTGAATATCTTGGGGAGCGAGATGGGGGGGTAACAAGGATGCTGTTCTTGTTGGCTGATGTCCTCATCATGTTTCCAAGGTGTAACGTGTATATGATTTCGTTACTGCTGTGATTGCTGAAATGTGGACTGACTTTGTTGGGGAACTGCCCCAGCTCCAGGCAGAATTTCCATACCACTCTTGTCAAACTTGTCCAGGAACATTGTAACACTGTAAACATGATCTAAACTACCTATCAGCACCTGACAGGACCACATTCAATGGACTAGAGCTTGTAATTCATGCTGTAGAACACCGAGGCAGACAGCCCGGCGCAGCACGGGATGTCAGGTCAGTTTCAATGCAAACACATGCTAGCCATCTCACTCATACATCCAGTTACCAGGGTTGGAACAAGTATCCCAATCAGTTAAGTAGTTTTTTTTTTCATATCAGCTCCATTTTTACAATGGGAATCAGTCCTGAATTAAACTTGATACTAACCCTCAAATACTTCAGCCCGCGCTCCCATGAAATATATAACATTGGCCTCGAGTAAGGAAACACTGTTAACATGATCCAGGTTATTTCAGGGCCTCGTCAAGTAACGCGGAAGACATAATCCTCCAGCCACGGAGTGTCGGACGAGATGATGGTCGCATGATTGCATCGGTCCAAGGGAACCCTGTACGTCCCTCTTTCTGATTCATATATTCAGCATCCGTGATTCAGTAAATGAAACGAACGAACCCAAGTCAGCAATCTGTCCTCGGACTCTCCTTCCCCTCTAGGTCGCGAGTTCGATCTTCTTTCCGTCAACATCATACTTGTTCTTCGGGTATCGGGTACAATGTTAAACCCTGCAAACAGAAACGAAATACGAAATACCTGTAGGCTCCAATCAATAAATCTAGATGAAGTGGTAAGGCTTGTTTCTCATAATGTGGCGTTGAGAAGATGATTACCGGCAAACTGTACTGCTTCGAACTTGGCCGAACATTAATCTCTGTGCATACTCTGCTGTGTTAGCACATCTCTAAATGCCAGCTGTCCTTCTAGACTTTCTGGTCCTTGAAAACCGATTTTTTATTTCAAACGAGTGGTTCGATCTGTCGCGACAAGGACGGACCCACCCTTTGTTTCTTGCTTTTTAGCCTTGATGTTCTTTCCTTCCATTCCGTAATGGTATCTCTGATGCGCCATAGGACTCGTTGACACCTAAACACCCAGACATGAAATACGGAGAGAGGACGGTCGTTTCAGGAGGTTCGAATTCAGCGGGACCTGTCTTTGGTTTCGAAAACTTGGTTATTCTCTCTGGATCTTCACAAATGCATCCAACCGGCGTAACACCTGTGATTCTTCGCCGTTAAAAGAGCTTGCGGCTTCAAGAAGGCCGAGTTCGCCAAGTATCGGAATCTTAAACTATCCTTTGGGGCCTGCAATTGAATCTGAACATTGCGAGTGTACGGCTCCGTTTCAATTCAAGTCTTCCCTTGTCGGACTTTACCGTAGCAGGTGACGTTGGATACCCTTGTTCCCTTCAGATCTACTTTCATGTGCACGGCATTTGTCCGATGGAATGTTTTGAAACGATGTGTCACCCGGTGACGGAATCGACTTTGGCGAGGGTAGCGGTCGCTCTGGTTCCGGTAGACTTTTAACCACCTTGAATTGATTTCAATTAGCTGATGCATCATGTCTAAAATTAGGGATGTGAATGCTTGGCCCACGCGGCAAACGACGTTGTCGCTTTACCGCCGTTGGATTTCACAACGAGTTCTAGGTCATAGAGTGTGACCGAGAACATCGAGTATCTCTTAATCTCGGCGCCACGGGCGAGCCTTTTTGTAGACCAGATGACTGATGCGCCATTCGTTGATCAGAAAAGGGATCACATTGGGAACGACGTGCAATATCGACTTTGGATTGCACTTTGTGAGGGAGCTCGAAAGATCATTCATGCTCTTAATCAAAAAGTTGAAGCTAATTGGGTATTAATCAGACGTAAACCGTTTTTTTCTCACCGATTCACGCCAACCGCATGAGTATAAACATATTCTGGATCCCACGTCCATATCTGCGGATAAATCTGAGGAGGAACCCGAAAGACGAAGAATGCAGGACCATACTCGGTAAGTATAGGACCAGGTCAGTTCGAAACTAGTGGAGAACTCGGGCGGCCATGTTGTGTGCCACAGCAACACTTCCAAGAAGGTGCGGCGGGATCAACTACCCCTCTTCCCTCGGATCCCGATCCATCCAGGCGATCGACTAAAATCAAAGTCCGCGACGATCGTGGTCTTCCTTCGTACCTTATGCGTCATACTATCAGGTGATGCTGTCCTTTGCTTCCGCTGAGGAACCATTCAGACGGGTACTGTTCATTTTCGAATAGACATGGTACGATAGGTGCCAGGTTATTGAAGAGCAATTCGAAAGCGACGACAGGATGTAGATAATACGTATAGTACAATGATAATGATGTCTACGACCAAAATGTAGTAGTAAAGTCCGGGATTGCTTCGCTACGTTGATATATTCGTACACAAATGGGAGAACTCTGTCCGTGGTGCAATTAGAGCCTTAAACGTCTAACACTTTTTCGAGAATCGATTCAGGAGCTGCTCATCCGCTGGGTCGCGACGAGGACCTGATGCGCTTTGCAAGCGGTCTAGGGGGACGAGCATCGTCCTCTTAGGATAAGTGGGTGATGAAGGCGACGGAGTTCCATTGGATTGTGACGATGCATCATTGCTGATCTCCGAATCCGACGACGGAGTGCCGAGGGCGTGCGATGAGGGCGCTTCTTTCCGTTGGTTTGAACTGGTTGAAGCGTAGGGTCGAGATATCGGACTGTGAGGTGATGGGGGAGGATAAGCCAAGGCTTTGGGACTCTGATTGTCGCGACGGGATGTTTTCGTTGTCCTTGCACTTCGAAACCATCCTTCAGGCGGTAGCACACCTCCAATTCCTTGGATAGACTCTACAGTATGGAGAGATTCGAGTGTCTCCTGACTGAAATAGGCGGCTAGGTATGCTTATTGAGCTAAAACAAATAAGGAAGCATAAAACAAGCGGCTCACTGAGGTGCCACTTCCGTGTAATGCCTTTGGATCGATCTATGGGGAGGGTGACGTGAACGCTGTACGTTTGCTTGATGAGATTTCTGGTTTCGGGCAAGGTTCGGAATGTTGATGATACAGAATATCCTGGAAAATGGGATGACTCTCCATTTCTTCTGTAAGTGCATTAGTTCAGATTTTGGAGCCAAGTATATATCGGTCGAACCTCGTTAACCGTGCCCATGGCGGAGACTGAGTAATAGGCCCGCAATCGTCATCCGGATTCTTCTGGTGGTAGAACAGGAATTCCTGCAAGGCAAGTGTCAACTGGGCACAGGCGATGAAATGGAGCCAAGAATTACATCACGAACGCCTATACAGCGCCACAGTTTTTCAATGCAAGGTAATGGCGAACAGATCTGACACATACGACTTGGTCCCCATCCCATCCCATCCGTCCTAGAGACAATGTAATCATCTGCTCTGAACGAAACAGGTAACCGGCATACCACCGTTCCATGCCTAGCCCAACCGTCTCCGTATTGACGCCACGCTCCTCCCAGACGTACACGTTGCCGGCCACAATCGCCCTCCGTTCCTCGATGTCGAGCCGACGCGTGATGAGGGGGAGGATATTCAGTGCTACCCCATGGAATACCACTAGAGCATCACGGGGAGTCCGGATCCGTACATTCTCGAGAGTAGGGCGCTGCATGAGGGTGTTATCCATTGGGGAACGAAATTAAAACCCTGTCACGTAGTACGAGTGTGGCTTTTATACGTACCATGATGTAGCATGAAATATTCAGGGAACATACACAGGGTGCATATGACCACTGAGATGGTCATTATTTTAAGGTTTAAATTGAGTTGAAACGGGTAGAATGTCAGGGAAGCATTCGCGAGAGAACCTTAGAATACCCGTTCTTGGGAAGTTCTCACGATAGCGATCCAAAAAAATTGTGACATGAAGTGGTAAGACGAAGGTATGCCACGCCGGAATGCCATTTGGTCAACATATGGGGAAAAGGCAGATCAGTGAAGTATATCTTGGATCTCGTGATGCATGGCTGTTTGATTCATTTGTGTCGAAACACCGGAGAAACTCAGATTTGGTACTATGGATGCAATTCTCTTCTTTGTGTACGAGTGGTTGACACTCTACGTGGATCGCTCGACTTCTGACCATAGGATCCTTGCAGTTCTATGTTCCAGAATACACAAACCCAGGAAATTCGACTGCGCCGACGGCCGTCGATGAATTTTGAAAGCTTAACATAGAGAAGTGAGCTGATGGGAATACAATGAAGCGCCACATGTGCGCATTTACCATCATGCTACAGGGAATGTGAAGTCGTGCTGTGGGAGTCCATGTTCCGGCCATGAGAGAAAGCTTCCCCGGGTCTGGTGGAAATACGTACAAGGAAGGACTTGCTTCCTACGAATCGTATGTAAATTCTTTATATGTAGCGTGATATTGATTGAAAGGATGCATGGTACGTTTGGACGTATCCTCGGGAAGGGTTTTCGGACTGGCAGCTTCTTCGCATATCGATAGAAAGCCACCATCAGCATTCCGGCATGAACGGGTTTGGAATTGGAGAACGGACCGTAGGATTCGCAAGCCCCAAGAGATGGTTGATTACCATGTCCCCCCCCCCCCTCCCCAAGGATGGATGCCGGGGGAATGTCACAACACCTTAGGGACGCCGTGATTGAATTGATCGGCCATCTACCCAGTGCTCTGATATCGGCTTCGATTATCATCGAATCGGAAACAAACCCCTGCGATGAGCTTTGTTGCAGTTGCCGCATGTTTTCATGCTAGTAGCATCAATGTTGTTGGAGTATCAGAAAGTGTTCATCGTACCTGAATTTGGGGATACGCTTAGGAGTGGGAAAGGCCTGGAATGAGGGTGTGAGTGGTAACAGGCGGAGATATATATTACATCCTATGCCATGATCTACGGATGGAAATTTGATCATGTATTACGAACGTCCTAGTTGTCGGATCTGTTATGTTCACACAACGATAAGATGTTGCGGGTGCACTCGAAGGATCTCGCTGTTATAGTGCACATAGTCGGCTTTCGGATCCGAATGGTACAGGGCCAGCCTACTGGATTTCGTGAGTTCCTTGCAGATCTGTCGGTGGCCTCTGGGCACCTAGATCTTGGGCCTGAGATTACAGGCAAGCAGTATCCTATGGCGAAAAACTAGAAATCCATAGTGACAGACAGACACTACATAGATTCCAGATGATTATTTGGCTCCCGACCCATTACTCGAAAGCCTTTCTAGTCAACAAGATGATCTGAAGAATATTGGAGTGAGCGCAGTAATGACATTAAAGGCACGAGAAAATTTTACCTGCCAAAGGTAATACAACAGGTAAATCGTCAAGGAATTCCGCATAGTGAATCCTGCCCTGGAATGTGTAGCGTATGCGCAGCGTCTTGGCAGCGAACGGAGCGAGGTCATAAAAGCCTTGGAGGCCAGCCTGGAGGAGCATGAGTGTCAACAGCCCCCGGAGCTGATTACCGCTTGAGACAACAGAGACCCACCTTGCTTCTGTGGCCAGGAATGTGGAGCTGAGAGTTAGATATCAACGCTTGGACAGGGATGGTTACATCGAGATCATATTGACTCCCAAAGTCAAAGGACTCAGCAGGACCGTATGTGGCCTCAAGAATAACCAGCCCTAACTCCGTACGTGAGCAGTCAGCATTACTACGTCACAAGGTGCTTACATACCATCCTTCGCGGCCTCCGCCGCCATGCGCTTTTTGGCAGGCTCCGTGAGAATGGAAATGGTATTCTGCGTCTGTTGTTTTATCGTAGTGTCTTCCTCCAATTTTTGACAAGCCTCAGAAATTTGGCTACCCAAGCATCAGAGATAAAGTCGTTACTGGCGGAAATTAGTAACGGCCCACCTGATACGTTGCCTTCGACGACGAGGAACCACGATAAAATGATAGCCCAGAACCAAAGCAGATGATGGAATAACGATAGTCCAGAAGGCGAGGCCTGGGTCGTATTCATTCGAGAGGAGGATGGGGACGTGGAGACGTTGACCTAAATGATAGAGGCTGCTTAAGGGTTATGAAAAATTCTGGGGGAACACAGGCAAAATCAACGAACTCCAGGTCAAGTTCAACGCCCAAAAATCCCAGGGATAGGGAGGCCTTCACTGACGCCGTGTCGCCTGTCCATCCGCCGGAGACCAGCCATGACAATCCATCAAGTCCGAATTGCAGCCCAGCCTTGATCTCGAAGGCCAACTCCGAGAAAGCGAGACCCCACTGACCTATGACCTTGGGCTCACCGGGATTTAAGGAAACTCCATAGGTCCAAAAAGAAAACGTTGACTTCAGGCCGGATACAGAGAGCGAAACTGGGGTCGAAGGAGTATCTTGATCTTCCCATGGGGAGTCAGAAGCATCTGAGGTAAGGGCCAAAGGTGATGACGCAGTCACAAAAACTGAGAGCTGTGGAAGAGGCCCAAAATGGCAGGAGAGATCACCTTTCCAACGGTGTTTGGCTGAGAGAATCCGGGAGAAGGAAAGAGTAACAGGTGGCACTCTTCCCGTCTTTCGCAAGGGCAGGTACGTTCTGACGGAGATACTGCCAATCTTGTCATCTCGAAAAAGCGTGTCCAACGTTACGGTACGATATGAGAACAGGGAACTTGTCGCCTATGTCATCCGTATGAAAGAAATCGAGTGACATAAGTCAAAGCATTTATGTAGTACATTCCACTTACACTGAAGGTCAGACGAGGAGAAAATTGATGTCTTATCGTGCCAACAACATCGCCGCCAGCTTCTCCACCGCGACTATTCATGCGGGTCATGAGTAGCAGATTTGTCTTGTCCGACAAGGCTCTCTATATTAGCCTTTATTAAGCAAGAGCAAACCGACAGGAAGTACAATTAAATGTACCCTTGTGTTATACTTTAGCCCCCATGTCAGAAGAGATATGTTTTGCAGCCGATGTCTCATTCTTTGGGGCCATCGATAATGTGAGAATCCAGGTTCGAATAAGGACGACGCATCGATACTGCAATTGAGCCGAGCTTCGGGAGATATCAGCTTCCTCAGGTCTTGATGCTTTGACGTCCATTTCAGCTGACTGAGCATCCTTTTTACCTATGCGAAGCATTTAAACAGCCTGGCATGAATAATAAAATTTTAGACACCAGCCTCTTGCGAGGGCAGCTTTCGCAAACTCTCTGGCCAGATCACCTTAAGTCCATCGTTGCCTTTGAACAGAAAAATGAATTGAAGTCCACGTGCAACGGGGACAAAGCCCACCCAAAGTGTCGTAAACGTTTCTGAAACTGATTTAGTAGCTTGGATCGAACGATACAGAGACCTGGTTACCTGAGAAAAGGATCCGATAAGACTTGAGGGGATACATCAATCAATACGATAATTAAGGCTAGAAAATCAGTAACCTTCGTAGGCTTTCTGTATGTCGAGAAAGTTCTTTGCGGCAACTTCTCGCGTTTGATCGTTGCGCTGCTTGTCAGGATGAAAAATGAGCGATAGCTCCCTGTATCTGTCATGTATTTCCGCCGATGACGCGTGCTCTGATATATTGAGCACCGAGCTATTCAATGTGGCAACGCGTCAATTCGACGAACAGTGCTCCAGAAAACGAGGTGACGCACTAAAGAAGTGGTTCCTGCTTGTCAGATAAATCCATGGAGTTCATTATATGTCCTGTCCCTAGGCGACCTGAAGGCAGCTGGCAGACTGAAACCGATGCGGGCCTGTCGGCAAAAACGTTGCAAAAAAAAGTTTGGTTGTGATGTCATAGGAAACGACCGCCACGCAGGGTGCCTGAAACGGGAGGACCACGTGGCCTTGCATCTTAGATCACACTCCTCCAGTCCAGGAACGTCTTCACGCGTACTTTGCAAGCGGACCGGCACTCAATTACGCGTCGATGACCTCAATCGTTCAACTTGGGGAATAATATTTTTTTACGGCGCTTAGGCGGGATTTTGATTTACTACCATTTGCTTCCAAAGAACGGTCAAGTACTGAAGGGGAGACCTTGCCGACGCCGTAGTACCTCTAGATTGCACCCGTTCAAACTTGTCTAACAACGACGACCCGTAACAATGTTGTGACGGCTGCGCTCAAGCCCACACACCAGCCGATATCTATCCTCCGGTAGTACGAACTGGCATGTCGGCAACATGTCGCAAGAAGCCTTTCGTCCTTCAACAGCCGTTTGAGGTCGTAAGGGCCGCATTGGAAAGAGAATCTCGCCTCCGAGAAGAATGGAAACTGCTAGGCATAGAAGAGGCGCTTGACAGAGGCCCAATCGGACGCCGGCGACTTCAACCTGCCTGTGGTAAACGTATGACAAGAATTCGAAGGGGTGGAAAGATGCCAGGGCAGAACGATGCCACTGTGGCATATGCTCCACCACCACAACTGTAGAAATTCAAAAAGGGTCTCATGAGCTGCAAGAATCGTGAGAAGATCGAAGCATAGGACAACAACACTGAACTGATTCCACTGAAAACGGTCGTTTGTATCAGAGTCCGCGCTAGGCGCAACCCAACGGTCTTGGAAAGCGTTTGAATACATGGACACAACGATTTGATTTAAAATAAAATCTAACCGTCGCAGTAGCATGAGTCATGGGGATCACATCGACGACAATGTCAACATAGAACGAGATAGAACGGTACATGGCGAATTCCTGTCTCCGAATGGTCATGGCATAGTAAAGACCTCCAAGTAGGAACTAGCGGCTCCGCGGTTCCATCCGTTGTCAAAGGTTGCCAAGTGGGAACAGTTCTATGCGGCTAGCGCACGGAGACTGATGAATTAGGTACCTGCTTATCTTCGCTAAGTGTCTCGATAAGGCCCTCCGAGTTAATCGATACATGTACACTACTAGACAGCGGTGTTCTCGTCAGATTATCGGCATATATGACCCACACTTGAATACCAGTCGACTGAAAACTCTGCAAGTATCGTAGTATCTCGGAGAAACAAACAGACTCAAAGTCACTACGCAGGTCCGGCACCGACTCGGCGACCCGCTCAAAGAGAATGCTCCATAGAAGGAGGGGGGATTCTTTAATTTTTAGCTGGGATCTAGCATGCAGGACTGACATTCTGATTTGTCTGATCGGCTATTCAGGGTCAATTGATCACTGATCACCCGTAGTTGTTACCCCGACTACCCACCGGGACTGAATTAGGATTTAGATTGAATGCCACAACGTAAAAAGGGAACGTGCTCTCAGCTTGTTGAGAGACCTACCGGCGGCACTTGTAGAGCAAAATTGGAATACAGAGACTTGTAAGGATTGTAAGGATGGATCAGTCTCTTGGGATCGCGAAAAGCCGTGCCCCTAAGAATTCAATCAAGGATAAAACGCCTGGACGATGTAATGTCTTCATGGTAAAGCTAGCGGCCTCTAACATAGGTTAGTCTCCGAGGCTTCCCGGTGCTAGTAATTGGCAAAGTATTTGATAGAAATTGGGTCAAGTTCCAGCCCGTAGTTTTTCCTGTTCTGGAGCATTCTACATTGGCGTTGCCATTGTATCTAAATTATATCTACACGAGCCTATGGAGCTCAGGAAGCCGTTGGTTGTACCGCTAAGTTCGAAGCAGCTCGCGATGTGGATGACAATACCAGCTGCTGAGAAACGTTTCCTTGAGAGCCAGTTAGGTCGAGCCAAAGATAACCTGTCATTTGGGAAGACCGATTTTCCAGATGTTGAATCGATTACGTGTCTTCGTAGGCGTTATATATTCCCGCTTCGCACCGTGAGCGATGATGCCCTTGAGGCCACAGGCCTGAAGCTTTATGCCGGAAGGCAGTGATGGGAGACTATGCAGAGAAGGACCGGAGAAACAGGAGGCAGTTGCTATCAGAGTGTATTCGAGCAGAAACGCCGAAGCTTGAGAATGGTTGGTCGTGCTGAATGCCACGGATATAAGATCTCTTCAGGTCTGAGTAAATGAAATACCGCCAATGGCCGACGATGTACCAAGAAAATCACAGCTGGTCCATGCGTGCAGGATACAGAGCAGAGGAATTTCTATAGCATAAGAAAAGCCAAAGGGGGGAGCAAAGCAGAAGTCTCCGCCGCCCTTACCTCGGTCCAGGGTCCGCCACGTCGCGTAGATTTCTATATTTAGGAATGTTTTTCCATTAAAAAAACCATATGGATAATACAGGATCGGACCCACGATGGACAGACGTTGATAGTATACTAGAATAACACCTTCCCACTCTCTCGCAGAAGGACTGTAAAATTGCGTGAGCAGACCACTATTAGAAGCTCTTCAAGTTCCAAGATCCAAGTCTAGTCCATGACCATGAGTATACGAGTTCGTCCGGCCACAAGGTTAACGTTCCAATACTAATTCCATCTGATAAAGGTTCTTAAATGTGACCATTTATCGCTCCTATCGACAGGGTCGAGACGTTCGAGAGCGAGCGGAGTCATTACTACTCCTGTTGCATTGATGGAAGTGAGCAAGAAACTGAGCGGTTCCAACATCGTCCGGTGAGACCAACATCTCACGACTTCTTCAGGGCTGAATGAATTGTACGCTGAATGCCTACACATGATGGTGTGATGTTTTGCGGCCCGAGGGGAAGAGCACGAGAAGAGCAGCATGGATTTTGCACCCAAAAATTGCTGAACTCTCAGGCCCCGAATTTCACAACTTGATGATGATCTCGGGAGTCCTTTTTCACACTCTTTCACGATGTGTGGACACTGAATGCAGATATAATCCAAATGGGGAAACTGACCTTTCTTGTTACTGTGTGACCTGCGTGACGGTAATTTCTTTCCTCTCAACGACGACGTTCAGGCAGAGCCCTTATTCATTCCGGGCCCTGAAGAGCAAATTCTCATGGCTGCGGATGCACAAGATGTGAAAGTATACACTGTTAATGGTGCCCCAACGGGCTCATCGTCTTCTCTACCCGACTGGCTCACCCGAAAACGAGCTGGAAAAGGCAAACGCGCTATACGGGAACACTTCGAAGGGACTATTGAGCTAATTCAAGGATTTGAATTCCCAGAGGCCAGTAATCGTATAAAAACCACGCGAGACGGTACCCATGCCGTCGCTACCGGGACGTACAAGCCTCAAATGAGGGTATGGGACTTAAGCCAGCTGTCTCAGAAATTTGAACGGCATACAGATGCTGAAAATGTTGATTTTGTTGTACGTGAGTCGTCTTGTTGCGGTAGGGAAGGTTCTTTTGCTCATCATATGTTATCATAGATGCTGTCCGATGACTGGACTAAATCAATACACCTACAAAACGACCGTACTATCGAGCTACACACACAGGGGGGCTTCCACTACCGGACACGAATACCACGGTTTGGACGCTCACTTGCGTACCATTTCCCTTCGTGTGATGCGCTCATCTCCGCCTCTGGTAATGAAATATATCGTCTCAATCTGGATCAGGGTCGATTTATGACTCCCTTGGCCTTGCAGGCCGACGAAGAAATTGCTGGAGTGAACGTTATCGATGTCAACCCAGCGCATCAGCTGTGGGGCTTTGGGATAGACGGCAGCGGTTCGGTTCATTTCTGGGATCCCCGATCGAGATCTAGCGTAGGGGTCCTGCGAATACCGACGAATAGACTGTCAACAACAGATGTTGTTAGTGTGACGGCGTTGGCATCTCGTGATGACGGGCTCACTTACGCGGTGGGAACGACGACGGGCCATTCACTGCTATATGATATTCGGGCAGCGCGGCCATTTGCCATGAAGGATCAGGGATACGGTCTTCCCGTGAAAAGCCTCGTGTGGATCGAGGGTGGTAGTCGTATGGCAGGAGATGGCATGGTCCTCAGTGCCGACAAGAAGGTCATCAAAATCTGGGATCGGAATTCGGTATGTTGTACCCGCCGTGCATGCTTCGACCGTAAGGTAATGATTTACTTCTAGCCCTCAGCCAACTTCGTTTCTATCACACCTGCCACTGACCTCAATCACGTTCACCATGTTCCTGGAAGTGGGCTTCTAATGACTGCCAACGAAGGCATCCAAATGGGTACTTACTTCATCCCCCAACTTGGACCCGCACCACGTTGGGCCAGCTTCCTTGAGAATATTACCGAGGAAATGGAAGACCAGACCCTGCGGTCGATTTACGAGGATTACAAGTTTGTTGAGAGGAAAGAATTGTCAACGTTCGTATATTGCTTTTACTTTACAGTTTATGTGGCTGATTGTCGACACATCTCCAGATTGGGCCTGGATCACCTGGTTGGCACACCCGCATTGAAGCCATACATGCACGGATACTTTGTCTCGCTCAAGCTTTACGAGACGGCGCGTCTCATTGTCAATCCATTCGCATACGCTGAGTACCGAGAGAAAATGGTTCACGAGAAGATGGGAAAGATGGCCGAGACGCGTATCCGGACGAAGAAGGATGTTGGCGTCAAGGTGAACAAGGTGCTAGCGGAGAAGATATTGAAGGATGAGGAGCGCGCCCTGAAGAAGAAGCGCAAGACGGCAGAGAGAAAAGGAGAGAGCGTGATGGATGTGGATGTGGATGAGCTAACCAGCCAACAGAACAAACCCAGTTTGCTGAATGACCCACGATTCTCTCAAGTGTTTGAAGATGCGGCGTTTGCGATTGACGAGACAAGCCGGGAGTACGCACTGCTGAACCCATCGTCAGTGGCGCAGGCTAGAACCGGTAAGGGTAAGACGGCTGTGGAAGAGGAGGAAGAGGAGAGCGATAAATTTTCGTCCGATGGCCTCGGCAATAACGATGAAGACGATAGTGGAAACGGAAGCGAAAGTGGAAGTGATAGCAGCGATGCCGGAGGTACGTTTTTTCCTTCGTATTCTTATTTCATGTACTCAACGTCTTCACCTCAGAGCTTACCAAATTCGACCGACGAGCGCGTCCTGGACAACAAAATGTTCGTGCAAAAGAAGCTTATGACCGAACGCGACGACAAAATCGAGTGGCGAATGTCAATATGGTACCGATGCGTGTGCAAAATGGCTCGGGTATGAATCGGGACGCCACTTTGGGTCAACGCCGCAGAGGTCCGTCTAAGGCCGCATCTCGATCGAATCCAAACGATGGCGAGGTGGAACTCAGCTGGGTGCCTTCGAACGCTGGCCCAAAAGCCGATGCCAAGTCTCAACATAAGCGCAAAGGTGTCGAGACCTTCGGCGCCGGCCTTGAACGGGGTGGCGAATCCATGGCCGAGGTGGCAGAGCATGATCGTAAAGGCCGAACCCAACGTAGACAGGGCGTACGGAGTGGAAGTAAAAATGTATTCCGGAGAATATGATCTTATTGGAATATTATGTTACAAACCTTCGATTTATGTGAAAGCTGAAGCTGCAGTTTTGGGGGAATGCCAATTACATACAAAGTGTAGGAGTGTCCAACATAGTGACCGCCTCATACACCATCTCCCTAGTAGGTTTTCTTTTTCTCGTCCACGGAAAGACCACCTAGACGGAAAGTATGATGAGATGCTCATGCAGAACGCGACTTGGACGCTTACCAGGTCCCATGTTCACCAAAAGTATAAGACCACCAACAATAGCTACGGTTGAAGTTAGCGAAAAGAATACAATGAAATCCTACCGAACGTACAAAGTGTTTGGAAGAAGTCATACCTAAAAAGGGTCAGAGGATGTGCATAAGGATGTCATGAAAGACATACTTGAGGAAATCCCTTTGCGGATGTGCAGAGGGAACACTCCACCAGTTGTTCGCAAAGACGTTGAACGAGCTGAGGACAATGACGAGGAACGCGGCAGACCACTTGGCCTTGAAACCGACGGCCACCATGACACAGGCAGCAAGACCAACTATAGAAACAAAGACACGCGCTAAGCTCCATTTTCCCTGGATGATAAACCCGAGGAATAGGAAAATGAGGAGGACGCGACCAGCGAGAAGGAAGCTGGGTGTCGGTTAGCCTAATTCCAAGAACAAGGACAAGTAGACATACTATTTCTTGCGGTCAGTTTCGCTTATAGTAGGGATGCCGGCAAAGAGTTTCTTTCGTGTAACCATCGAATCGCTGAATACCATAAAAAGACCACCAATAACACTGAGGTTGCGAAGGAAAAAGGTCATGTCGAATATGAGTCCGTAACCGAAGCCCTGGATAATGACCACGCCCAAGAGACCTGCAACCGCATATTCCGTGTATCGCTTGAGAATAACCGCAGAAGACGCGGACAACATTGTCTAGGAACGAACCAACGTTATGGAAACACCGCCATTTACACCGTAAAGAACAAGCTCACGACAACGTTGAGAATAAGGAAGAAATGTGAAATGCCCCAAGGAAACTTTCTGTGACTATTCATCGCAGGTAAATCCCGGAAAAGACGGGCAACCAGGTCAAACCACATACTGCTGCAAGTACCAAATCTGGTCTCCCCACTGGGTCACGATCCTCAGCGCATCTTCCAAGAAGGTAACCACAATAAGAAAACGCCCAATTGCCGGCAAATGGGGTTTCAATGGTTGGGTGTAGATCTCGACGTTATCCTCGATGGTCTTGCTAATCGTTCGTAACTTCTCCAGAGGGTCTTCTGGGTTAGCCGCTCGATAGCCAGACGATGGGCGAGAATTCGAAAGCCCATGGGGGTCGATATTGTATGAACTCGACTGTGGACGAGCAATGCTGATCCTGGAGGACATGGTAGAAAATGAAGGAAACGGAACGAAAGAGACGTGTACAAAAGTCACGGTGTACGTGGCGGTGAGCGCACGTGCCGCATTGATCTAATCCTCGCTTCTCGCTACGGTACTACCGGTGATACCAACGTTACACACGCATCCCAGAAAAATTCCGTAGACATGTCTTGTTCTGCGTTACACCTTGTGCCAAAAAAGAGTATTATGCGGCAAAATATTATCGGCTACATTTGCTGTCAAATACCGCAGCTACTACTTATCCGATCTATCCTGATTTACTGCCGTCTTCTCCCGCTTTCCATACCTCTAATCCGCCTTCACCGCCGACACCAACGAGGCCTCTCTTCCAATCGACACCGAGCACCTTTTTCTTCCCTTCCCAGGCCTTGAAGCTCGTCAGCGCATCCTTGGTGCTCCGTAGGTCCCACATCCGAACAACGCCGTCATAGGCACCGCTGACGATCTGGTGGAGCGACGACGATGCCTTGGCCACGCATGATGGCGTTGCGGGGTGCAAAAATGACAAGGTGTTAGAAACGACGCCGGCGCGCAAATCGTACAGTGAAACGGTACGATCAGTAGAGGCTGCGAGGGCCGTGTTGCCATCCGACGTGATGATCATATCCAAAAATGGTTTTTCAGAAGCAGTCTATCAACGAGAATCACTACAAAGGCCGTTCAAAAGATACGCCGCACTTACTATAGTCTGGGTACAGATTTCATTTTCGATGTCCCATATCCGAACTGTGGAATCGAATCCACAGCTGTACGCCGTTTTGCTATCATTGTCGCTGAACAAAGCTCGAGATACTCGCAAAGTGTGCGATTTCAGGACGGCCTGAGGGGCTTTGCGCTTGGGTTTGGCCGTGGCGTCGAGTTTTCTCCTCTTCTTTCGTTCGTGATCGATAGTTTCCTCTGGTACTTCGTCGCTGGTGGGTATTTTGGTATCCCAAAGGCCGACGAGACCATCCCAAGAGGCGGTCAGTAGGTGTGAGCCTGTGCTATTCGACGCGATCGATGCCAGTGGTGACGTGTGAAGATGCAGAGTCGCGAGTAACTGTGAACGCGATGTTTCAGCACCCAATGTAATTCGCGTCAACTGAGCGGTCAAGTCGTGCGAGGCGCTTGCTACAAGGTGTGAACCGTCGTCCTCATTCACAGGAACCACACATATAGAAGATATAGGCGCAGAGTGGATGGGACAAGCCGTATCCAGCTTTTGTGAGTAGTCGAATGCACGAACTGCGCCGTCATAAGAGCCAGTGAGGAAGTATCTATTCAAAAAAAGTTAGCAAGTTTGCCTTAAACTGTTAGGACAGAGATAAATTTCGGAAGGAGGGAATACGGCCGGCCAAGATACAAAAAGGCACCAAAAGAACACTCACACACCCTTGAAGTTCACATGAAACCGACGAAACCCAGTCTTCATGAGGCAGGTCGGACATTTTTTCGGGGGGAAGAAGAGATTCAATGTATTCTATCTCTAACGTTTCTTCCTACAATTCGTAAGAACCAACGAAGTCATATTTCATAGAAAGGACGCACCTCGGCAACGCCATTCTCTGCACACCATTCTCCCAGACTACTGGCAAGGACCTCCTTTTTGACCAAAAAGTCAAACGGTACTGGAATAGATAAAGATAGGGCCTTGTTTATCAGCTGGGAAAGATGGAACCGCCTCCATGTCGCTGGAATCATAAATTTTTGGGTTGGTAGAGGGTATGGTGTTTGTGTGGTGAATACTACAGGGACGGAGGGTCCTGAGGATGATGAAGAGGCCATTTTGACTTTTTTTTTTTCCAGTTGAATTTATGGCCTATGGAGGCCCTGCAAGTATCCAAGACCGTTAACACGGTTCTTCTTTGTGAAAAAGAGAAGAGAGAAATTATTGTCACGGTAGTGACGATGTGACATGACGATTCCGAGCGCCCCGAGATAGAATTCTAAAAGCTGCCGCCAGCACAACACACAAGAGACCCCGCTGAGGAACAGATTCTAGATTTCTATAGTTATCGTGCCAAATGAACGTTGAACAACTCAAGTATGTGTTACATTCCATCGCAGCTTTTGTTCCTCCGAGTAAAAAAATGGAAGGACTGATGATTTGATTGCAGGTACTTTACAACTGGCACGGTTGCTCGTGACATTTATTTAGATCGCTACATACATGAATGCAATAAACATGACTCCGGCCATTTAGGCGCCTCCATCAGCGTTTCGACACAAGCTTCTGGGCTAAAATACAACTTCCGATGCAAGAACCATTCACGGTGTCGTGTCAGAAAGCTGATGTTCACTATATAGAAGAGACTCTTCCTCGGTCTGGTTGTCTTTCCTTAGACTTTGACTGGCCCCTCCACTTACAAGTATGGGAGGTCATCTCTTCTTCCTTCTCTTCGTCTATCTCGCTGCACAAGACTTCTTCGTATGCGTAAAGTCGACACCAGATACCCCAGCGAACTGCACCTCTCCAGCTATCAGGGTAGAATGGTATGCAACCACTGTGACTTCGCCTTTAGCCGTTGAAAGGAACATTATCGTAGGAACACGTTCACTGATGAGGAAAAAGCCGCATACTTTGACGCCGAGTTGTGCCTCTTCAAGGCGCCTGCTCAAACAAGCATACCTGGCGTCACTTCCCGTTACGAAGACCTGGTAAGTCTACCGAAACCGCCTTTTTTCCCTCAAAAAGGTCTCCCACTGACCCACAGAAATTCAGGTCGGTGTTCACTCCGAGCAGAGCGACATCTATGCGGATAATGATACTTGGCATCTGACTGGACAGTGCGTCGGCTGGCAAAACTTCATCAAATGAAGTAAATTCACTCTTTGTAGATTCCTCGCCGTGAGCCATCGTCGGCTAGAAGAGAAGTAACCAACTTAACTGATTGGCGTCTCGAACTACTTAGGTCCACCGTTACTACCTATATACCCACGAGACGCTGCTCCGGAAGGAATGTGGATACACCGGACTGGTAAGTTAACATTGAATTCACGCCTCCCGATCTGAAAGTGACGAACCCATCTCTAACAGATCCCATACTGGAATGAAGTCCCGGACGCGGGATCGTTCGCAAACGCGAGCACCATCCTCGATTTTGGCGGTGAAGGCGACACAGAGTCGGATTATGCTGTCACGAGCGGTCCTTTTGCCAATCTGACTGCTCACCTTGGACCTGGGGCTGAGAATGCTAACCATCTCGTGACTCGCCGGCTAGATGCGGAGAGTTCGTTGTATGCTGGACAGTCATATGTGGACGCTGTGAACAACGAGACTGCTTTCGCTGACTTCCAAAAGAATCTGTTTAATACATTGCATGACGCTGGTCATGCTGGCGTTGGAGGCGACGTTAGTCTGGAGTCTAGTACTCAGCGTTGTGCTTACTCTTATTTTCAGATGCTCAACATCATGACGTCGCCGAATGATCCGATTTTCTGGCTGCATCATGCTTATCTAGACTACGTGCGCCATCTTTATTGGTGGATTTTGCGTAGGTGTTCATGTCTGCTCTGTTAGGTTTGGTGGAAATGGCAAGGGGACGACGAATCGAGGATTCATGATCTCACAGATGTGGGATATGAAACGCAAGGTGAACCCTCCACTGGCTATGTGGTAAGAGCGTATGCTTCCTTGAATAAGCTCCATCGAACGCACATCTGTATAGGAAACTAATGAGGGCACGGTTTTATACGTATACGATATCATACCAAGTATAACGGTGCGTCATTGACCAATGTTTCGGCTTCCTTCCTGACCTGTGTTTCATAGGTTGGGGATGTCTTGTATACGAAAGGCGGATACTTGTGTTATATCTATGTGTAAGAATCTATTACACCAGCACACTATCTTTTCATTAGGACACAAGCGGCTGAAATGACATGGAAGAATTTCAGCCCGAGTCGGGGCGAGTGAGCACTGAGCAAGCAAGGGTTTGTGAGAAGGCTAGCGTCAAGAGAATTAATTAAGACTCAGAGAATCTTTGGGGGCTCGGCTTGTGTGGGGCCCGACAGCGTTTTCTTCGCGTTCAATACACGATTTCCAAGCAGAAGTGGAGGAATCAACATCATATCATCTGATAATAGCGTATACATGGATTGATGTATGTACGTACAGCACAAGGGACGGCCGAAAATTTATCCCAGAGCATTTATAAAAGAGCAATAATTGTTAATCATCGCGAATCGAGCACTTAACTTACCTTGTCACCGATCCACAGCAATACACAAAAAGGTCTGATTAGCGGATTGAAAAGACGCAATCTATTTTTGGACATACACACCGAAGGGCACGCTTGGAAAATATGTCTTACACCACTTTGCTTCCGACTACCATGTCTCTCTCAAGGACACACACACCCAAGGTCAGCTCAATGATCCATCCTCCTCCAGTCTCTTTCTTACCGTATAGGTTCTTTTTTAGCTTGTTTCCGGCGTGTACAGAATTATTAGTGAAGCATCTCACTCGACTATACGGGTCCATCAGCATGGAAAGCCCATTCAGCTTTCGCACCGTTACGAACTTTTGGGTGTATTTGAGCAGGTAGGTTGACTCACCTGTTTCCCAAGCTACGTCTCATCATTGTTTTTGTACAGTGGGAGCTCACCGAGCAGGAAAAAGGAGGATTCTTGATCAGGAGCATGGGTCTGACATTGGGGCAAGTTGGTGCAGAGAATGTGAGTGATATCTGTGCGTCAAGGGGATTCCTTGTACTCATAATTCTCTTAGGATGTCATGATCATCAATGGGGGCAATCCTATTGCTTTCTTAGTGGAACCTATAGGGGATGGTCTCTACACGGTTCGTTGCCGACTCAACATCCTCTATGAATCTCTACATTAATAATAATAATATCTGTGACAGGTAAAGGCACCCGATGGTGATGGACTCTATTGGAACATCTCGCAACCTCCCACACGACAGCTTCCCGAAGTTCACGTACGTCTTTCGCCACCAACGTCCCGAAATACTCTGATATCCGTTCCAGGTAAAGCTCGGTCCCGGTGCGATCGATGGCGAGTTTGAACCTACCCAGCTGTGGCGCTTCGAACGTCTCGACGATGATTCTGGCGCTTACTTCTGAACGCTCCTGAAAAATTCTTGCAGGGTGCTCCAGGGTCGAATAGGCTTTGATAACCGGTGCTGTGCTATGTATACCTTTAATAATCAGGCCACTTTTTACTCTGGGACGAACACCTAGGCCTGCACACGACACGACGCGCGCTATTTTACCCCAAAGAAATAAGTGTGGGGATGGAAGCTAATAACGGTGCAATTCAACAAGGACAAATACTGCTTCTCGTCCACAATTTGCAATTAGCTCCTTGTCCTTCCCCATCAACAGACACCTCGAATGCATGATACACTGTGGATATCGAAGGTAACAGCGCTACTGAACCGAGGAAATAATTACAAGGGCAATGACGGATTATTCAGTGAGAATTGTCTTTGCATCGTCTCTTCTTCATCTACTATAGAACGCAACCTGTGATCTACTTCAAACGCTTGGAATATTCATGCAGAGCGTCCGATTCCAGCGAACATTACAGGCCGGTGAATGGTATACAAGATTTGTGCCTGTTCTCTCAGTATGCATGATTCTTATACGCGCATGAGTATCAGCTCAGATGACAGTCTTGCTTGCTCGTCGGGGCTGCGCATCCTTTTTAAGGCGTCCTGCCCACGAGTAGAACCACCGCTCTCCGGATACCATGGAGAGTGATGCTAAGAGGGTTGGCGGTAGCAGCTGTGTAAGTCGAGCCGCAGCAAGGGCACAATCTGTATGATTTCCAGGGCGCCGACACTTAGCTACAACAAAGCTGGAAGACCAAGCATATGCTTTAGTTGGTTGCCTTTGCCTGCCTGTGTGGTTTCTCGTGAGCGGGATGTGTCCCAACTGCTCACACGCCAGTCCGACTACTACGTTGTCCAAGAACCCGGCATCAGTATTCGTATCTGCATCGCTTTCCATTATATATATGCTAATACCTGTACTTTATAGCTTTCTCTCGAACGTTGTCAGAGATTCTCTGTATCTCCAACGGTAGCTATATAATGTTACTAGCTAGGGGCGTCGTCGCGCACGGAACATGCGTTCCCTTCTCAACAGGACAGATGCATCAATAGGTCTCCTCATAGGTATATCTAGATTGGTCTTAGCTACTTCTCTGAAACTCACTTCGTCTCGGCCGCCTTTTCCAGAAAGCAATCTATGGATGTACTAGAGACCGCGTCCCGAGTTTGCAGTATATTTAAACAGCCTGACCTGTACTCGATACCAATACCCAAACACAGACCTTCGTTCACCCTTTCACTCTCTCTGGTGGTACCCTTGGGCGATGTTGCTCGTCGCCCCCTTTCTCTCTTTCTTCTTCGCATTCCTTCTACATGTTGTCAATGCTGAAAATGTCTACAATTCTAGTGAGGCCTATTCTGCAGGCGAATTAGGCCAAACGCCTTCTCAATCTTTCTATTCATCTAATTACACGCCGTAAGTGGCTCTCTCCTTATTTGTCTTGAAATGCCGACCAATAACATCTTCAGTGCTGCTTGGAATTGGGTCGTCGAGTCTAATGACACTGCCAACATTCCCTCCGGTTACTTGTTCATGGCCCTCCAGGGTGACGATACTGTACAACCCGGTGCAGTCATATACGACAGTTCTGGCGAGCTCGTGTGGTCTGGCGCCGATTATGGCGCCGTCACATCCTTCCGGGTAGTCTCTTACCTCGATGCACCACATATACTAATGTGGCAAGGGAACACAACGAGACAGGGTATTGGTTCTGTGTTGTTGATTGACCAGAACTACTCAATAGTTAATAATATGTAAATAAATCCCTCTTTCATCGAATCCTATGCACTGATAGTACCGCAGGACTATCGATCTTCCTGGGAACTATACTGATTGTAACGAAGCGGGTACTTTTGCGTACTTTGGATAGCCTCGATTGCTGACACGATTGCAGGCCGAATTTACTTCTAATGACACAACATTGACTGCCGCTTATCGCGCCGTCAATATGAATCTTACTACATACGGAGGGCCCGAAAATGGCTGGCTCTATGACTCTGTCGCACAAGAAGTCAGCATTGATACAGGTGTGTGTATATCCTTTGATTGTTATATTTTCAATCGCTGATCCTCCTTCTAGGTGTAACAATATGGAACTGGAGTGCGATCGATCACGTCGATGCGAGACTATGCTATTCCAGTATCGGCGACCATGATTCATCAGAGGACGATCCTTGGAACTTCTTCGTTGGTTACTTTTTTGCTCTTCTTTATCATCTTACCGATGCAATCAACCTAGGACCTCAATTCCATTGAGAAAGACAATTCATCCAACTATCTCATATCCTCCAGGTATTGCAGTGCAATTTATTACGTCTCTGGCTCTTCGGGTGAAGTACTCTGGCAAGTTGGGGGCGCCAATTCCTCATTCACTATGGGAAACGGGACACAATTCTTCTACCAGCATGACGCACGATGGAATGATGGGCAGCAGACACAAATTTCGTGTGTATATGCATTTCTTTGTCTTCTTCTCTGACGTATGTTCTTCGTTTAGACTCTTTGACAATGGTGGTACTGACCTCGTCACCAACGAAACCACCTCCCGTGGTCTCATTATCCAGCTGAACTTTGATTCATGGACGGTTGAGCTGGTACAAGAATTCCTGCCATACACGAGCCAAGTATCAGAAGATCAAGGGAGCATACAGGTGCAATCGAATGGAAACGTTCTTATGGGGTATGTGGTTTAACCAAAATCAACTACCTTCATTAAATACACATCTTCCTAGATGGGGCGACATCCCATGGTTCGGGGAATATGATGCCCTCGGGAACCTCCTCTGGACTGCCCAGTTCGGTGTGGGGGATATTCAATCGTGTGAGTCATCTTCGTGTTTTGCACTCTCCCATCATTAACTTACTGGGATATAGACCGAGTTTTACGTTACAACTGGACGGGTTTACCAACTAATTCGCCCTCTCTCGCTATTGTCAATAGCACCATATATGCTTCGTGGAACGGAGCAACGGAAGTCGCGACATGGGAGCTTCTGGCTTCTTCCTCTAATGAGACTTACTACTCCGTGTCGAATACGACTAAGACTGGATTCGAGACCGCTATATCAGTCAACTCGACCTCTTTCGATTCGTCGACGTACTTTGCTGTGCAGGCATTGTCGGTAGATGGAACTGCGCTAGGTATAAGCGAGTGGATCACCGATACTACAGGTGGCGTTTCTTCCGGAGTGCACACAGTGACAGTCACCGTCAATGGTGAAGTTGTCACTGCTACGGCTATTGCGGATGGGGATGTGCAAACCGTCACTATAACTGTGGATGGAGAAGTGGTGACCGCCACGGCCACTGTCTCTACTGCTGCAGATGTTGCCTCCTCTACCACCGAATCTTCTGCCACGTATACAACCGTTGATTCTTCCTTAGTCGTCGCAACATCGACTGCATACAGTCTTAACGAGACCGTCACTGTAACGATTAGCGGCGCCGTCCAAACAGTCACTGTCACTGAGGTCCAAGAGACCACGAAACTGGTTCAAACTATTATCGACTCTTCAAATGGCGTTGTGGAGACTGTCACTGCTACTGGCGCAATTCAAACAGCCACTGTTACTGTTGACGGGGTCCAGCAGACTGCAGCAGTGACTGCCACTCTGAGTCCCCCAACCACTTCGTTCGCCCAGTCAGCCTCCGCCAGTCTCAACGAGACTGTTACCGTTACCGTCGGTGGAACCGTGCAGACGGTGACCATCACCGAAGCAGAAACGACAGAGTTGGTACAAACATCTACCAATGATGCAAATGGAGCGGTTGAGACCGTCACAGTTACTGGTGCAATCCAAACGGTTAATGTCACCGTCGACGGAGAGGTTCAAACCGCGACAGTGACGGCTACTCTATCCCCAACTATAACCATCAACGAGACCGTCACCTTCACCGTCGAGGGTGCCGTCCAGACAGTCACGGTAACGGAGGCCGAGACGACGGAGCTCGTTCAGACTCTCACAGACTCTGCTAATGGGGCGGAGGAAACTGTCAGAGTTACCGGTGCAGTTCAGACAGTCACTCTTACTATAGATGGGGTGGAACAGACGACAGCAGTGACTGCTACTCTATCCTCGACGTCGAATGCCGTCTTGGCCACTGCTTCATCGACCATAAGCGTTGACGAGACCGTTACGCTAAGCATCGGTGGCACTATTCAGACAGCGACTGTCACCGAAGCGGCAGAGACGACGGACCTCGTGCAAACCGTTACGGATTCTTCAAATGGTGTTGTCGAGACTGTCACAGCTACTGGTGCCGTTCAGATGGTCACTGTGACCGTGGATGGGGAGGAGCAGACCGCGACGGTGACTACTACTTTAAGTCCCACGAGTACTTCTTCCACCCAGTCGCCTACCACCACCACTCTTAACGAAACCGTGACGGCTACGGTCAGTGGTGTCGTTCAGACCATTACCGTAACCGAAGCAGAGAAAACGGAACTCGTGTCAACATCGACTGACTCTTCCAATGGAGCAGTTGAGACCGTCACAGTTACTGGTGCTGTGCAAACTGTCGACGTTACCGTCGATGGGGAGGTGCAGACTGCCACTGTTACCGTCACATTGCCTCCTTCCAAAGTTACTTTAAATGAAACCGTTACTTTCACCGTCAATAGTGCCATCCAAACGGTGACCGTCACCGAGGCAGAGACGACGGAATTCGTACAAACCCTCACAGACTCTTCTAATGGGGCTGAAGCGACTGTTACGGTGACCGGGGCGGTCCAGACAGTCACTGTTACAGTAGATGGTGAAGTACAAACAGCAACAATTACAGCTACGCTGCCACCAGTGGAAACACAGACGGTGTCGTTCGACGGGGAAGTGTTTACAGTTACAGTTGCTGGAGAGGCGGAGACTGTCACCGTGACGGCAACAGATGGGGAACTGCAGACGATGACTGTGTCAGCTAGCGCAGCCACACTTGCCGCGGAGTCTACTTGTTCGTGTGCTACGGAGGTGAGAAGGGACGAAAATGAGGCTGTGAAGAGGAGCGAGAGCGCGGCCACGATGATCCAAGTCGATCTGGCATCGATTTCAATTGCATTGCTGGCTGCAGGTATCACACTGGTATGATGCATTTCAGCAGTAGTAAAATGTATAGTAAAGATTGACATATATGAGACTGGCTCTTACATATCTTGAGCGTTTGCTTCCACGGTGAAGAGCTGCAGTAGCTCTCCAAAAGTCCGAACCATAGTCGTACATTGGTCCACATTAAATAATATAGAACAAGATAAATACAGAAAGTGCGAGCGAAGAACAGATCAAATAGACAAAAATGCATGCACAAAATAATACAACGTGTAGAAGGAACGGAATAAGAATACAACAACTAGCCCTCAACCATCAGATGCGCGCTTCTTGGCACCTTTCGCCTTCCGCGCAGCTTTCTTCTGCAAAACGACGATCAGTCATTTGTCAGACAGCTACGCACGAGGCTTACCTTAGCGCGACTTCGAGCACCCCGTCCCAGGACCTCTTCACTAGACTCATGGTCATCTTCGTCGTCTTCTGATTCTTCTAGTGGACCGGCACCATCAGCCATCTCAACATCACTTGAGCTCTCCGACTCGTCGGGCTCATCAGATTCATCATCGGATCGACGTTTCTTCCTCGTTCGCCTACGTAAAAGACAATTGAGAACACTGGAATAATACAATATGTGAAGCATACCTCGCATGTCCATTTCCATTTGTGGCTGGGGCTTTGCGTTTCGTAGGGATTTTGCGCTCTTTTTTCTCCTGGAGGGTTGTAAGGACATGTCGAATGTCAGAGACCAGGAACCAACTCACTGCCGCAGGAGCAGACTTATACAGTTCGGCCGCCCACTTTGCAACTTCCTTTGGCAAGTAAACAGTGTTCGCTGTCTGTAACAAATGTAAGGACGCTCCTCCGGATCACAAAGAATTGTGACTGACTTTGTTGGCATCTTCGGGGCTCGCATGGGGGCGTAAGATGTCAGACGGCAGTTTGATTTTCCCCGGATAGCTTGGGACACTCCACGAATAATGGCGGGCCCGGCCTCTAATGATCTCTTGCGCCAGTTCACATATTACGTAGAAATTCTGAAAAAAAAATCAGCATCAGTTTTGAACCCAATACCAGAAGCCATACCTGGCTGTATTCTTCGGACTCAAGATCTCTGACAGTCTTTCCCTTCAAAGCGTAATGATAGATAAGGGAAATATTTTCTGCCTGGACCACTTGATCGGCAAAATATTTGAGATACCTGAGAAAACTATGGGTGATGGACGTAACGGGAGAGGTCGACTCAACTCACTTGCCAATATCTTGCAAGTCTTCGAGGGCTATTGAAAAGTCGGGATGATGCGCAAGCAGATGCATCAGCCGAATGACACTGATGTCAAAATAGCGCACCCGCACATCTACAAGGCACGGTCAAGGAGAGGAAACACCAGAGAGGAAGTGACTAACTGGCCGGCAATGTTCGAATGGCGGTGGATATATATGATGTCGCCTTATGGAATGTCAACATAATAGTTACACCGCGAATAGAACGAACATACAGTTAATTTAATATCTTCTTCGGGATCATGAATCGTCAAAAATGGTACCACATTGAAAGTAATCGGTATACGCTGGGCATACAGCAGAATGATGATCTTCCGCAAGAAATTATACCGCACATTGTAGCAGGAATCCTAATAGTTGTGATCAATCATGATAATAACTCATCTGCTGACTGGCTAACGAACCTGAACAACTAACGTCAGTCGAGTAAAGGCCGTTGCCACAGACGTCTCGTATTTCTTGACACTCGACAATTGTAACAGTGAAATAGCTGCCTGTAGACGCAGACGTGCCATAAATTTGGGGCTAAAAACGCGTGAGCACGGCACATCGTAAGATACACCGATAGACCCACTTTTCTGCAACATCAGAAGAAAGCGCGCCGTTCATCTCAACTAGCTGTTTGAAGATTTTCAACGGTGGCCCCGACACCATCAGTCCTTTATCCGAGTCGGCGTATGCCAGACTGCGGTTCTTAAACACCTTCAAGGCAAGGATTTTGGCTCGAAGAAGATCAGGCATAGCATCATCGTTCACCCATTCTTCGTCCGCATCATCGTCCTGTATAAGGTATTGAGCCAGATATTCAACAGCGTGGCACATGTCACTGACTGGATCTGGTAGCTGAGGTATCATAAGAAGCTCCTTCACTAAAAACTCCGTTATTACGTCACTTTTGGACTCAAAGGCATCCGGTGCTAGCAGTGCAAACTGTGCAAGAGCAGCTATGTGCGCTATCAAGAGTTCAGGCGACGCATCGGACAATCCGTCGGCCATTGACTAAACGAAGTTCGATGAAAGATGCGCATGGGATCAATGAATGGAAACATACCTCGACCACTTCCGTACAGGTTTCGCTCTGACGGGAACAAGAAGCAAGTATTCGTGCAGCAAATTTCGCCTGCTTCCAACTGGGGCCTGTGACGTATCGAGTGATACGGTCTATCGTATGTCTTGCAACAAAAATCATCAGTTTAGAAGGCAAACAAAAAGACTGCCAATTCACTCACGAGTCCTTAAGTGCCAGATCTTCATCCCATTGAATCACGCTCGATAGGGCTTGAAGGGCCGACGAAACCAACAAGGGCGGTGCATCCTCATCCGAAATGGCTTTCACCAGGGCGCTTACGTGGGACTTGTAGATGGCTGGCATGTGCTTGGAGATATATCTCATCAGCGTGTGTATATGACCCGCAGTCACATTTGCTTCTCTTCCTCGGTCATTTTCTAGACGCTTCAGAAGAGTAGGAATGGAGGACTGATTAACGACGTGATATGTCGTCCGTCGCAGAAGAATAGACATTGTGGACACGACACCAGGAGAGTTATCTATGATTTTTTTCAGGAATTCGCTCTAAGAATTCTATTAGCAGTTTACACCGTCGCTCTCCGTATCGACTCACTCTCCGCTTGACAAGCGTTTTAAAGTCTGTTTGGGGATCTATACACTTCTTCAGAAGCTTGTACGCTGTTTGATCATTCAACTTGGCGAAACCGAACAGATCGTCAGCAGCTTTTGATGAATCAGGATACAGAGCTGTGATGTTGCGTCAGCGTCAGCGCACTTGGAACACCTGGCTGAAAATATACCGGCGAGCTGTTTGACACGTCGGGTCAAGTCACTTTTCACCTTTTCTGTAGTTTCTTTGTCGCCGTCAATGATACCGTTCTGGGACGCATTAGTTCAGTGAAACTACACCATTTTTGATTGTGGGACGCACATTATTCTGAATGCACGCATCTATAAAAGCTAGCACGTGAGCCGGCTGACTACGTAGAGCATTAGGATAATAGGCGGAAAGTAGCGACGAAGTACATACGATGACTTCAAATTCGTGAAGGCAAGAAGGCCATTGATGGAGCGCTCTTCAACGAGGAACTTCATCGTGTTGAGCAGTCTATCCGTCCAGAGCACCTCATCAATTTCACTGTCACTAGATTTACCCTTTTCGGGCGGCGAAGATCGAGGCATAGGCAATATGTAATCTGCAAGTGCTTGCTCGACTGCAGGCCTGAAACACCTGCATTCAGAAAAGACGCACAATTAAGTCGCAAGGATCTTACTTGGCTTCGTGGCTCATGCCTAGCAAAGGAAACAGAGTATTTGGTATCCACGAGAAATTGGAAATAGCAATAGGGTCATTGCTTTCACTGAAATCCATCAGCTTTAGAAGGAAAGTCGGCGGCGGAGTCGTACATTTGAGGGTAAGCGAGATTATAGAGCTTGCCGAGACTCTTTAAAGCTTCAGTTCGTACAACTTGCTGAAAAGAAGGTGAGCAGAGTTCGTGCATTGAATTCGCAAGACTGCCAAACTTTTTTGTCAATGGCGCGCTGGGCCATAGCACGGAGCTGTGCTTCTGTAACATGATGAGCGACTGTCTCATAGTCCAATTGACCATAAATTTTGCAGACAGCCGCGCGCACTTTCTCATCGGGATCCAAAAGTTTCTGTTGCAGGTGCTCTAAATAAAGTCAATATGGATGATTGAGATCATTACTGAAGCGCACCTTGTACCGCTTCTCTCATCTCCGGGAATCCTCCGGATATGATGGCTCGTGACGACTCCAAAGCCTTCAGCCTGACCGTGACAGAACGGTCGTTTGTCCTGGCTAACCATACTCTCCATGTCGTCGGATATTTCTTGGAGAGATCGGACCCACCCTTGTCAGCAAACACTTCACCGAGAACTTGCGTGGCGATGGAACGGAGCTGAACGTCTTCTGCCCGCAGCTCTTCCTCGAGCTGTGGTATCACACTGTGAAGAAGTGTAGGGCATGCCAGATGTATCCGCTTGACAAGTTCGTGTGCTTTACGGACTTCCTTCAATTCCTCATCCCCAGAGTTGGCTACGATGATGTCTGTAAAATACATGGACACATGTCGCTGCAGCTTGTCGGCAGTCTGATTGCATATCTGCACGACAAGACGGTACGCTGGCTGGTCCGGTTGCTGGAAGAAACGACATCAAATATTGTGGGACCAAGAGTACCAGAACACGCACCGCGTTCTTATCCATGAACTGAGCCATAAGTATCTCAAGCACGGGCGCACTCAAGGTGTGGCATTCGTCAATGAGTGCGGTAAGAATATCGCCCATGAAACTCTCTGTCTGCTTAGAAAAGTCGCGTCGCACAATGATGAAAAAGTCGCTGAAGATGTGCTTCATCATCTCATCGGCATTTGGGAGGTCGCAGACGAGGACGACGCTCTTCACGGTTGACAAGGACTCGAGAACGTGAAAGTACTGATTATAGTACGTATCTTCCGTTCCTTTGAGGCCAGATTTGAGCTGCTGGAAGATGAACTGGAATATATCGACAAGCTCCGTTACGGTGTACGGTGCTTCTGGAGCATATAGGCCAAGAACATCAGCCAGACAGCAGGCAGCGTAGGCCCTGACGCCCTTGTCCTTGTGGTGTAGTATAGAATTGAGAATGAGCTCCCTGCGGACGCTGTCGAGTGATTTGGTGTCAACGCGGTCTTGGTCCAACACGCTGAGCTCCTCGTGTAAATTCTTCAGCTTTTTGAGCAAAGCGTCGGTCGTCGTGCCCTTTGTGACGAGCTTCTCCTTGAACGCGAGCTTCCCGGGAGATGTCTGGCCGCCGTGGCGGGTTTGCGCGACCATGACGGAAGAAAAAGCAGATGTGGGAAAGAGGAATAAGTGCAGGCACGGTAGTTGCACGCGTTGTTTTGGTCTTGTTTGCTCGCCGCCGGCATCAGACAATTTTGTCATCTTTACAGCCACCTCAACGTCCACGACGGCCTACTCATGTCTAGAGTCCTCGGAATACCACCTAAGAGGGCATTGCCGCTCAAGGAGGCGTCTCTCTTCAAGGAGGTCCTGACTATGTACGAGGCCCGGCAGCTCAAAAAAGGCCTCAAAACGGCGGATCAGATATTGAAGAAATTTCCAGAGCACGGTGGTGAGCGTTGCGGGACCTCAAGGCCTCATAGTATTGATTATCGTCTGCAGAGACAATGTGCATGAAAGGTCTCATTCTCACCCACATGGGTCGACGAGAGGAAGGCATTGACCTCGTCAAGAAGGGCGTCCGTCTCGATCTCACTTCTCACATATGCTGGCATGTCTTCGGTCTCATTCAGAAGGGAGAGAAAAACTACGAGGAAGCTCTGAAATCGTATATTCAGGCCCTGCGATTCGACAAGGTGCGTCGCGAAGTCATAGAGACGGAGTGTGGTTCCAATTTGCGAACTAGGAAAACTTGAATATTCTTCGAGATGCTGCCCACTTACAAACGCAGCTTCGGCTGTATGACGGGCTTGTCGAGACGCGACACATATTGCTGCGCCTTCGTCCAACTGTCCGCCAGAACTGGGTGTCCCTTGCCGTCGCATACCATCTCAGTGGGAATCTTCTTGAGGCCAAAAAGGTATTAGAACAATATGAAAGAACTCTGAAGGTATGCCGTCGTAGCCGATTTTTCTGATGTAATAATGCTTACCGTTGCTCAGAACGTTCCCGACTATGACACTGAGCATTCGGAAACAACAATGTATCATGTCCGGTTACTTGAAGAACTCGGGGAGTTCACTGAGGCACTCTCTTTACTCGATGTCAGCTCTAAATCCCGTGTAATTGTGGACAAAACTGCCATCATGGAAGCCAGAGGTCTGTTGGCATAGTTCAATCACCTAATGTGTCCCTTTAAACGCCACTACAGCACGCCTGCTCTCCAAGCTCAAGTCTGACGAATCAGAACATGCATGGCGTGTCCTCATTGACCACAACCCAGACTGTACCAGCTACTATCATGGATATCTTGCCAGCCAAGGAATTGATAGCGGTAAGCGCGTTTCCCCGGTTCATTGATCTCATTAATCAGGATTACGATATCATAGATGAGGCATCACTCGCCATTTTACGAGATATCTCCTCGCAGATACCCCGAGCGAACGCCCCACGCCGACTAGCCCTCTCCTTCGCATCCGGAGATCGGTTCAAAGAGTTGGCAAAACCGTACCTCCTCTCAGGTTTCACCAAAGGCATTCCTTCACTCTTTGCTGATATCAAGTTGCTATACAAAGATCAAGCCAAATTGAGTCAGATCCAGGCCCTGCTCGAAGAGATCCGAGCAGAAAATGCGCCAGATTCTGCAGCACCCTCATCGTCGACATTTACCTCACAGCCCACAACATACTTGTGGATACTGTATTTCCAGGCACAGCATTTCTCCTACCTTTCGCAATTCAGACGAGCTCTCGAAATCCTGGATGAGGCACTCAAGCACACGCCAACACTCCCGGAACTATATACATGCAGAGCCCGAGTTCTCAAACGTGCTGGTGACTTGTTTGGTGCCGCACGGTCAGTAGAGGAAGCACGGTTATTAGATGGTCAGGATCGTTTCTTGAACACCAAAAGTGCCAAATACCGACTTCGCGCCGGGCTTGTGGACGAGGCTAGTGCTCTGCTGGGCCTCTTCACGAAGGTGGGAAGCGTTCATACTCACGTTTGGATAGCGATTGACTAATTTGCAACTAGAAAGACGCCACAAGCCCTGGTGCGGACCTCGAAGATATGCAATCTTTGCTGTATCTTATCGAGGAGGCGGATGCTCAGAACCGTAGTGGCAAGATAAATTTAGCCCTTAAGAAATATATCGCCATACAGAAAGTATAAATTTTCCCTTAGTTGCCGAACACCACTTACAGCCGTCATAGGTCTTCGATGAGGTCGAGGACGATCAGTATGACTTCCACGGCTACTCAATGCGCAAATTCACAATCAACATATATTTGAAGTGCGTCTTCTTAGGGATAAGCTGTTGTTCCATGTCTTGACATTGTCGATACAGCCTTCTTGCATGGGAAGACCGATTAAGGTCGCATCTGGCATACGTGAAAGCAGCTATATCTGCGAGCAGAGTTCGTCATTTCTTTATCTATTTTTATGTGGCCCTCATCCAAATTATAGATATTCGTTGCAGTCCACGATGATCCTTCAATAGCAGCATCGCTTGCGTCCTCCGGTTTGTTAAGTCGATCACCATAACCTACAGGTGTCTCACGACCAACAGGTCAACTCACAGATGCCGAAAAGAAGGCAAAGAAAAAGGCCAAGAAAGCGGCACAGAAAGTTCAGGATGACTCCAAAAAGGGTAGGCGAGGATATTCGCACCATTTTTTGATATATTAACTGTCTCCTAGGCAATAGCCAGCAGTCTTCGAACGAGGACAAGGGCCTCGAACCAACCGCTCCCAAAGACGACGATGTTGACGGCATCAAGCTATTAGGATGCAGTGATCCTCTAGAACGTGCGGCCAAGTTCCTCCATCCGCTCACTACGTTGGCTCCGCAAAATATCGAAGTTTGGATAGCAGTATATGATGTTGCGATTAGGCGCAGTGAGTATGTCATCCTAGGTAGTTTTACACTGAGACTAACCGGAATGCAGAAAAGCTATTACAGGCCGCTAAAGCCTTGAAACACGCGTGTTCGATTGATGTAGAAAATCCCGAGTTGCACATACGTCTTGTTCATGTGCGACGAACAGGTATGTATATTTATAGTCCTCGGTATGCACTCCTTAAGTGCCTATCATTAGCGTCCGCTCTTCCTCAAGAACCTCCGGTTCCTATTGGACCTCTTTTCAAGGAGTCCTTATTGGAACTACTACCCGAGGAAGTATCGCTGGAGACGTTCAATTCGCAATACCTTCAACGACATCCCTCGTCACAACAGGCTATCCTTGCAGCCGCCAAGGTGTCGCAAATGCTTCAAGCGCCTCTGCAAGAAGTCGAAAATACCCTTTTCGCTGCATTAGGTCCAGATGCAAAGCTTGATCTGGAGGTACGCCTCCTTCATCGCCTTGCCAAGAACGAAACTAACCTGGTACAGTCATCGCAAGCGATACTGTCATACCTCAAGTCCCTTGGTTCGCAGCGCGCAGAAGAGTTCCGACTTACGTGCGATGGAAAATTTGACCTGTCGACAGTGTTCAAATCGCCAGAAGAGCAGGCGCTGTTGGTAAAGCAGGCTTTGAGTGTCGTTATCGGGTACCCTGATGAAGTGGAGGCGGAAGCTTGATCTATAGAGTTGATTGATAGACAGCCTAGACATTGACTACGTAATAATTATACCGATCTAGTACTGTTAGGATTGAGACTGGCGAACATCCTAGAGATGGATATTTGAATCCTCACTTTCGAATCGCTCATGATCATTGGAACCAAGTCAGACGATCACCCTGGAATGGCATGCGCAAGGAATCCTTGACTAAGTTATAGGTCACTCGTCGACAGGGAGTCCTCCCTCCCAAACCATACTAACGCGACTAGCATTGTCTTTTGAACTCTTTCCTTGAAGTCTTGGAGATCTTTACTCACGCAAACGTCCCACCGTTGACAAAGGAACTTCCATTTCGAAAGTTGTTTCGCTTTTCTGAAGTTCACCACATTACATTTGGACATTTTCAATCTTGTCGAGTCAGGCTGCTGCTGTAATATTTCCCTGACTATCTGAGCAGATACGAAAACGATGGCGAAGAGCATCTTAGTTTTTATCTGCATGAATTATGAACGAGAAATCGACATACTGCGAAGGTACACAAACTGGCATTTGATCCTGTCTTTTTATCGAACGTCAAACTACTTGAGAACGCGATATCATCACGTGTTCGCGCTGTCAGGCGAAAAAAAAAAAAGTTATCATATATCATTAGCAACTGCACAAAGAAGCACGAAGGAAAACGTATAAAACACTACAGCAGGGAGAGAAAAAAACAAACAGTCCAGAAATTCCAGCACGAGGGTATCCAGCAATCACGAATCAACAACTTATTCATTCATGGCTTCTTCCTCATCCTCAACGACAACCTTACTCTTCTTCTGTCGTGGAGCAGCCTTGGCTTTCTTAGCAACGGGTTTGGCGGCGGTCTTGGAGGCGGGTTTCTGTGATCATTTTATGAGTTCGCTATCAACAGTGTTGACATCATGTATACCTTTCTCTTCTTGCCAGCCTCGGCATCGCTAGCATTGCCCTCTTCAGCAGCAGATTCACCTTCCTGAAGCAGAAATCAGTAGGTATTGAATTGGATCCTGCTGAGAGCATACCTTTACAGTGGCCTTGCCCTTCTTCGAGACGGGCTTCTTAGTGGGAGCCTTCTTCTTGGGAGTATCTTCGGGTTCGACCTCACTCTCATCACCGCCTTCGACAGCATCGACGTCCTTGGAAAAGTCTTCGCCAGATTCCTCGTCATCCGCCTGGATCATAGGTTAACAGATACATCACTTGTCGAACAACATAGATTTACCTTTTTCTTCGTTACCCTTTTCTTGGGGGCAGCCTTGGGCTTCGTTGCTCGTTTCTTCTTAGTCGCTTCCTCCTCTCCCTCATCGCCATCTGACTCCTCTTTTGCTTTCTGATAAGAATGATTCAGATGAGGAGAGCCGAGCCGTGAAAGACAAACCTTGGTTGCACGTTTCTTCTTGGGCGCCTCACCTTCATCCTCTTCCTCGGTCTCTTTGGCTTTCTGAAACCAACAAGGTCAATGACGAGAAGAGAAACAGCAGCATTGTGGTTACCTTAGGGAGTGCGCGCTTCTTCTTAGGCTTCTCTTCAGCTTCTTCTTCCGCGTCCTCATCTGCCTTCGGCTTCTAAAGAAAAAAATTGGTCTGGATATGGCGAAGACATTCCCAGCGTCACATACCTTGGCCCTAGGTGCCCTCGCCTTCTTGGGCTTTTCCTCACCATCATCTGCCTTCTTCTTGCTCCTCGCCTTCTTCGGTTTCTCCTCCTCTTCCTCCTCTTCAGCCTCACCCTCAGCTTTCCTGGCCGTCCCCGGGATGTCTTCATCCGCAACTTGGCCGTCTTCCCATGCCTTATCGACCTTGGCTTGGTCTTCAGGCTTCATATCCTCGTAACCATCCATTTCAGATGCCTTCGAGAACTGTTCCTTGACATTCGATAGAACTTTTTTCGTCACACATCCCCAGTGACGCCAGGCGCTGTAGTCAAGGCGGTGAGACGCGTCCGTTGATAGTGAGACAGCGCGACGTACAATGACTGTTTCCCTTGGAATTCCACAGTCGTCCCAAAACGCATCGTGCCTTTCGAGATAACGCTCCCTGTACGCGACGGTCAGCTATGGATGCAGCTTGAGTGACCTTGGGGACCTACCGGCACAGGGCTTGGGGCCTGCAACCACGTCGACACTCAGTATGAAAAAGATGGAAATGGCAGTGAATTCAAGTACCTTTGCATTTAGCGCGATTGGATGAAGCGTATTCCAGACGATATCCAGGCATGGTGGTGGAAAGGGAAAAGAATCGATGAGAGTTTGAAAAATGACAGCTTTTTGACTGTAATTGTTCAAAGTCCGCAAGGTACTGCACAGTACTGCCACCGCACTGACCACCAACCACCTGGTCATTGCCTTTGTTTCTCACAAGCCGGTGATAAACACAATGCAATTAAATTTTCTTGATGTTTCTCATGCGTGAATGAATGCCTCTATAGTAGGTGGAAATGAGCTGCTCACTCCAAAAATATTATATTTTATCAATCGCCCACTCGACGACTGTACTTCTACAATTATGAGTGCTCGCAGATTCCCAGACACGGTGCGATACGGCTTCCAGGAAAACGCCTTTCCGACTGCGGACGGAGGGAAAGGCCCGAAGTATTGGGGCAAGCCTTGCATAAACTATACAATCCTGCGATCTAGGCTCGATTGTCAGAAATTTAGATGAATAGAGCAGACATGAGACCTCTACGCAGATATATCCATGATTCTGCCGGCCTGACATACCTATGAAATCACTGCTCCAGCTCCCGTCAACCGGTGAAACGTGCTTATCTTCTCTGCACTCTCTCAACGCTCAGCGACGAGACCTGGCCCATCGAAGTGCTTTGAATCGGCTTCTTGCAGTACCATCGATCCCAGACTGAGGTAGGCCGATTTCCGACTGTCCTTACGTCCTTTTGTAAAGCCGATAAAGCCTTTCAGACAGTTCAGCCTCCCACACACTCTGAACTATAAACAGTCGGAATTTCATCGAATCGGGAAGAAGGGTTCGTCGTAGAGTTTGGTGTAAGGTCGCGTAAGATGCAATGCCCCATCTCTAACGTAAAGTCGTCGATGTGGGTTCCCCCAAGATAAGCTCGAGAGCGAGGGAACAGTCGGACAAGACACATGAAACCGAAGTCAAAGACGTGAGAATTGATCAACGAACTCAAGGAGCAACAGCGAAATCTCTTCTCCTCCTAGAAAGACTATAGGATTCAGAGGGTTTCATCGCTGAACAAATACTTCCTGAATATGTTTAAGGAATGTAGGTTTGTAGCTGCGTGAGACATCTCGAGGTAATGGCCAGTTTGCTCAATAGACGAGCTAGTTGTAACATAGGAAGTCAGTACGAATGAAACTAAGGAGTACATATAAAGGTAATGCCACGGCATGTATTGATATGTCGAAGGTGGTGGCTGTCGAGAACACGGAATGTAGTTTATTAATTGCATCCGGAATGTCGCATGTGAACTTCGTCCGGAAAACGTTGATGAAGATGAGTGGATGTCTCCCGCTCGATCCAGTGTCAGATCAAGAAGGTGATGGTCGAACACCCCTATCGTACGTGGCGGATTACATAGTACCTGGAAAGTAAAAAGCTGAAGAGTTCCAGGATGACATCCAGTTTGAGGGACGAAGATAAGGCAGTAAACAGGCAGGTCCGAGTCATTCGAAGTTATACGAAGGGTGAACACAACTAGAGAATGTCAGCTCATTGTTACAGAGGCTTTTGATACAGTTGAAATGCCTGATTCATGGCACTTCGGCAGGCGACAAAATCGATGTAAGTACTCACTGACTCGGATGGAGCAGGTAACTGCAAGGGCGTTGAACTAGAAGTGGTCCAATATCTGAATACTGCACCGCCTGCTCAGGTAAATTACAAAATGGGTTTCGCGAAAGAAATCGTTTACCTACAAATTGACTCCCTATACAGTTGCGACGACTTGAGGTGAATTCAGATTTGCACTGTTCCGTATGCTTTGATAAGAAATCATTGATAAGATAAACACCTTGGTTGATCCTGGTGTCAACAATGCTTGACCTGAGGCCTGAGACTCAATAATGGTCTTAGGAGAGCAATTTTCGCGACGAGGCACCCCCCGGTCCGATATCCTGCACGTGCCGGCGCGTCGCCATTATTTGGATCTATTTAGGAAAACGATCACATGATGTTCAGACTATTTCGGAAAACGGCGCCGGATTATTCTGGACTTATCGTCACCTACCACCATTTGCTTTCATTATTTCCAGTCCTTCTGTAGCAGTTAAAGGCGCGCAAATATCCAGTCATCATGTCCACAGTTCCTGTACGCCTTCTTAATTTTCTTTTCGCGAGTGTGCACTGGCTGACAGCCTCGTAAGGTACGGAGAACGTTGCGAACGACCCGCACGACCGCGAAGGATAACGAAAACGCCCATGCTCGTCCGTCACGAATTTCCTCTCGCGTGAAACCCCTTTCATCAGTTTCTCAAAACCTTGTCCCCTCGAAGGCAAAGTCCATTAGTGACGCGAAGGAAGTCCCTGCTGGCAAGAGGAAACGCGAAGTTCTCACAGAGGTCACCTCTCTCGTCACCAACCACATCAGCCGGCCGGTGAGGGAGAAAGGAAAGGATGCTGCATCGAAAAAGTTCGATGGTGTCGTCATCAGTAAAGCCAAACCTGCACCCCGTCAGCCACTACGAACGATCGCCTCGACGAGGCAGAATGTTACCGTAAAAGTTCACCACGACTTGGAGAGTGTCAAAGAGGGGCCAGAGCGAGTCGAAGTCCTTGATGTCAACGACATGGTTGTCGACCCGCCCGCTGTAGCCGTTCGTGCCCGCTCAACTCGGCAAAGTAGCCGTCCTTCTGTTCAGTCCAGTCGCACTCTGGTGCCCCCCGACGATGACGCGGAAGATCATCGGGTCGTTAAAAGGCAAAGGACGTCGTCTGACGTGCCTGAAATACCCAACGATACACAGTCAGCCGAGGCAGAGACGCAGAGGGATGAAGATGCCGAAGCCGATGGCTTTGAAGATGTACAACCGTTTGAATTCGAGGTTGAAGCTGACCCTGATGGCAATGAGTGGGACGACCTTGACGCTGATGACGCTGATGATCCTTTGATGGTCAGTGAGTACGTTGTTGAGATCTTCGAACATTTGAAGGACATCGAGGTACGTCTCTACTTTCTGGTCATGTTCCTTGGCCTGACACATTTTTTCATAGGCTTTAACAATGCCCAATCCGAACTACATGCAAACGCACAAAGAACTCTCATGGCGGATGCGCGGAATCCTTTTGGACTGGTTGATTAGCGTGCATGCTCGATGTCGGCTCAACTCAGAGACGTTCCACCTCTGCACGAATATCATGGATCGCTTCATGTCGCTGCGTGTCTGTTCTCTCGTAAAGTTCCAGCTAGTGGGCATAACGTGTATGTTCATCGCGGCAAAGTACGAAGAGACTGTCACACCTTCTGCTTCCGATTTTGTCTCGCTTACGGACGGCACATACACTGAGGCACAGATGTTTCAAGCTGAACGATACATCCTGAAGACGTTGGACTACAACTTGAATCATCCCAATCCCATGCATTTCCTAAGGCGGATAAGCAAGGCTGACGATTTCAATGTTCGAGTCCGTACTTTGGGGAAGTATCTGTTAGAGATTGGGTGCATGGAGTGGAGATTACTTGCAGCCCCTCCGTCGTTATTGGCCGCTGCAGCAATGTTGCTGGCGCGGCTAGCGTTGAACATGGAGGATTGGGTAAGACCGTTGATTTTGAATTTGTTGCATTGCTGATCCATGGTTTATATTAGACCCCTAATTTGGCGCATTATTCGACATACTCACAGAGCGAAATCATACCAACGGCCAACTTGATGTTGAACTATATCCTCAAGCCTGTCTGTCACGAGCAGTTCTATAAAAAGTTCGCTCGCAAACAAAACATGAAAGTAAGCATTTTTCCCTGATCAATTCCAGTCAGCTTTTGACAATGTTACCGTAGGCTAGTGTATATCTTCGAGCGTGGGCATTAGAGAATTGGACGGAGGGTTCGCAGGTCGAACTGCAGGAAGTGTTGCCAGGACTGAAAGCAAAAATCCGGGAACAGCGCGCGACGAATGAACTTGCCAAGGAAGAGGCAATGGTGAATGCACATTTACTTTCACGAAAATCATAAGGGTCCTCATCACCCTTTCTCTGCCCTGATGACCGACTTTATTACCTTTTTATGGTTTCCACTGTCGGTCATTCATTTTTGGCATCCTCTACGTCGCATACCATTTCATCTAATCCCAATCAACGTGTTCAACTCCGACTATCTTATTCATTTGCATCGCTCCCTGTCCCTGTCGCCGACAGGCTGTCCCTTTCTGTTCACGCTATCTCCTTAGATCCGTTCGTTGTACTCCGCCGTGGGTTTGGCGTTGTTCCGTATCTTTCACCTATGTATACCAGCACGGACCTTTCTTCCTCTTGACCTTAAATTCATTTTTCGTCTCGCGCTCGATTTGTTTTTATTGGTAATTGTTGTCGACTCGTCTTCCTTCACCATGCGCAGCCACCACTGTTCATTGTATATAATATAGACTATACACTTCTACCTGTTTTCCAATCCATTCCATCGGGCTTTCCTGTGTATATCGTAGCCACCAACCATCAGTTAGCATTATACATTTTCTTCCTTTTCATATGCATCATCTGTGAACATAGTCTGAATGGCATTTCCAGAGTGGATAATTATTCGTTAGATTTGCGCTGTCTACGACTGAGAAATCATTATATGTCCATTTTATCTTCTTTCTCCCAGCCAGGGTTCTTCTGCAATATGACGAAACCTTCTAGTACGTGACTGAAAGGTATGAACTCCTCTGTTGCAAGCTCAGCGCGCTCGATCGTTCCCAGTCGGACTGGTGTTTGGTGAGTCTGGAAGCCGGAAATAGTTCGGGGTTTTCCGGCTTGTCCAACGACATCGACAGCCTGGAAAAAGTATCATCAATGGATACGTACGGTTACAGAAAGCAGAAAAAACTCACCTGACCAACACGGACTGTCACAGGAGTACTTATGAGTTGTTCGTCCAGTGTAATCAAGAAACGAGGATACATTGCGGGCGTGAGGAAGTATAACATCCAGTGGTATTTGTCAAGGATGACTGGAAAGATAGTCAGCGTACGCTCCATGGATAAACTTAATAAACATACATCCTTTTGAATCAGTGAATGCCGTCAGTGTGGCCAACAGCCCAGCGACAGCAGGTCGACTCATGATGCTCCGATCTGAGAAGAAAGGATTGATGCCAATGGTCCCCTTGCCCATATGAACGAGACCCTGCGCTATTCGTACCATGAAGAGACAATCAGGTTCTTTATGGTAATATCCAGCCAGTTGACGCAGCATTTGCGCGAGGCGTGCGTTATTCGTACCAGCGCCAACAAGACCCATCGCGAAGATAGCGTTAATCGCGACCTGGAGGTCGTTGTCATGACTGTATTTTGAGAGCGTATCGAGAATTGGGAGCTGAGGATTTGAGGCGCTGACAAGACCAATAGCAAGTGGGACAGCTTTCCGTATTGTTGGCTCGCCGTAATGCATCTGAATGGCGCGTAAGCGGAGGGTGACTAAATAAGAAAACAAGCCGATCTTACCAGGTGGTTGAACTGCCTTAGTGACATTTCAGCACCAATATCTTCGCCCATCGAGATGAGGGCGACACCGATGACAGCGAAGGCCTGGAAGGTATCATCCTGTTTGACTTCCTGTTTGGTCTCCTCCTTGTTGTCCTTGTTATCTTCTTCCTTCTTCTCTTCCTTGACAGGTACAATATGCTCGTCACACTGATGCAGCATCCCTTGAACTTTGAGCACATTTCCAGTTCCAGCGAAGGCACAAGCCTCGACGATAATCTGCGCAGTCTTGGACAGCGGGTGATCAATAGCTTTAAGCGTTTCTAACGTCGCATCAGATTGAGCTTGCAAGCCTATATGATTGTCAGATGGATTACGCTTGATGGAGAGAGCAGAAAATGCTTCACCAAGATATAGCAACCCTAAGCCTAACGCGAAGAACTTGCCCCACTTCTCATCTAATCCCTTGTCCTCCCTTTCGGCTCGTTCCATTAGTGTCTGCAGGATCGTCCCGGTCAAGTCGCCATTCCCGCTGCCCACAAAGATAAACCCGAGAGATAAGGCAGTAAGACTGGCAAGTTCCATAGTCGCACTGTCGTCCGAGATATGGGGTTGTAGCAACTCCAGGATATCTTCCCGGTGTGACCCGGCGTAGGCAACTCCGAGACCCATTATGGCACTGGTTTTGAGGGGTAAAGACTTGTTTTCCACGTACTCTCCGAGAAGTGCCATGGCGGCATCTGCTTCTGTTCGAATACCGCAGTTTAGAAGACCCGTGGCAAAAAGTGCACCAGCCTAGAAGCAAACATCAGATTGATATTTGTTAAGAACATGAGAGTGTACCTTTATGTACTCCTCCGATGAATACGTATACTTGTCAATGTGAGTAAGACCCAGGTCAGTATCCCATAGCAAACTCAGACCAAGAGAAGCGGCAGCGCTCATCATGCCTACTATAACTCAGAGCCTAGAACCGTGAAACTTGAAAGACGCTTACCATGATCTTTGTTCTTGTAAATCCAGCTGTTACCCTCTTCGGCCTCTACCATAAGCTTGTCATTTCCAAACCCAGCATTGACAAATGCGTTAACAAATGTACCAGCCAAGTTGGCACGAGCAGAATCCACATTAGGTTGGACCCCAGGACCTGGCAGGGAATTAGCATTGTTTGAGCGTTATCACACGTCTGGAGCTTACGAGTATGCTCCAGATGCGTCTTATAGACGTCTTCAAGACTCTTTGGATCCTGAACGCCTAGTTCTCTACCAAATAGCCGGAAATCAGTGCTCAAATGGGTATTGCTTAGACACTCTACGAGATCTTCGGGTAGTTCGTCCAAGTCGGTATCCTCACCCTCACCCACTTCAATGGATGGTTTAAGCCATTCCAGAGGAACTTGGGCGCGCGCAAGGAGAAATGCCAGCTGCCGTTGCATTAGACTGCAATGTATATTTAGGCACGCGTCAATGTGACTAGAATAAGACGAGCGTACGGGTTCCCTGGAGCATTAAAGTCTTCTCGCACGAGGGCAGGGTCACCCAATCGAATTGCCAAGGCAAGAGCCTCAGGGAACTTGTGTTGTTGCACATATATAGCATGCGCTGTTTGCAGAAACAAGGTGTCGTCGGGTGGAGGAAGGAGGTTTACACACCTACAGATTATTAACGGGCGATTAGGGAGGAACACAAACGAGACGTACCGAACCATATACTGGCACACTCGTCCATAAGTGTTTTCGTCCACCAGAGCTGCAATCTGGTCCACGATTTCCAGTTCCTCCAAGAGATCAACAGCATCGGGTTCGGCATTGTGAGCCAGGAGAAAGACAGCACACTCTCTTCCAATGGCACGCAGTTGTTCAATGGTACCAATGGGCTCTGTCTTCTCCTTACCTTTCTCTGGTGGCTCAAGATCTCCTTGCTCTTGTGCTACAAACTCTTCACCCAACTCAGCCGCGAGGTGGCGAACGTATTCGTGGCCCCAGGTGCCTGGATCAGCGAGAGGAGAATTGGCTGGACGTAGGGAAGCTGATAGAAGACGGTAGCGGAGGGTGCCACGAGGTTGCGTGTCCGAATAGGTCATGGCAAGAACAGACATAATATCTGCGAACAAGCTCTGCAAGTGCAAAAATCGATTCAATGGTACAGTAAGGTACTGAAAACGGCACACCTTGTCTTCAGATGCAGGCCATGTGTCATATAGCTTTTGCAGTTCAGGATAATGTGGGCGAAGGAATTTGAGGGGTTTAGGGACGGATGTCATCGATGAAGTAGAGGTCCTAATAAGTGTCCTGAGCGTCTCCAAGGCTGGTCGATAGAGGTCCGTATTCGATTCCTGTGTGCTGTGTGAAGTAACACGGAGGACCTGGCAATAAATTAACCGCACCTTCAACCGTTCAACAAGCATTTCCAGCTCAGTACGCAGTTGAATGTCTTCTTCTGACTGCAGCGTAAAACCTCAGAACCTGCAGAGATAAAGAAGATAGAAAACGTACCAGCTCTTCCCCTTCCACCTCCTTCCCATCCTTCTTCAGTTTTGACGAGCCTTCCTGCTTGTCCTTTTCACCATCTTTCTCGTCTTTCTTCTTCTGGGGGTCTTCAGACTGAACGGAGATAGCAAACTCTGTCGGGACGGGCATCGTGGTATAAAAGTGACGGGCAAGCTGATCGCTGGTGAACGCGACGCGCGTCCAGCATTTTTTTCGCACGACCTATATACGGTAAAATGACCCCTGTCATACTTTATCCGGTGTATCGACCACCCGTCAAGCCCAACTTTTTCCGATACTTACGATGGTCATCTTGGAGCCTAAGCGACTGATGTTTTCTCAGGTAGTGCATGCCTTGGCAGTTGGAGGATTTACTGTACAGAAGAAACGCAGAATACTATCAGTCGTCACTCATCATGATCAGGGAACTGGCTCGAAATCTTGCGAGGATCACTGGTGATGCAGATGGGCGAGTCATGTAGTCATTCGCTGCACTCGCATGGAATGCCAAAATAACAATGGCCTTTTCATCTGAATGCCTTCTTTCTTCAGTTGTTATTCAAGGAATATAAAGTGCCATTCTGTAAAGAAGGATACAGGTTCCTCGTCCATTGAATGTTTCGTCATGCCCTTCCCCTGTTTATCTCTTGTCACCAGAAAAAACGGGTTCGAATTCCTAGTCGAATCATTGGCATATGCCATGGCACTGGTCCCTATATCTGATGCGCGTGTGTTCGGTGGCCGCCCGTACCCAGGACATCATGGAGAGGCGGACTAACTAATTGCGTTCCGCAGAGTCTCACACGACCTCGAACAGAACAAATCATCAGCACAGAGCGAACTTCCAAAAGATCGAAATGACAAAATTGTCCGCGTTGTGTAAAAAGGTTCAACAATGCCCAAAACAGCTCGTCCTTTGAGCTCTGCGGTTTTTCTTCCTCCGTGCTTTTTTATTCCTAAAGCCGTTCGAAAATGATGGATGCTTGTGCCCCTTGAGAACAAGCAAGCGCTTAAATGCTCTCATGAATATGTCTTTACGCACGATTGTGTCTGGCTGCTCGACTCTTTTGCGCAGTCTAGGAACCACTGAATTCTGTTATCTCCCTCGAATATGTACAAGCTCAGACATCGCATCTCCCTCAGATATAGTGATACTGTCTCAAAATATCCACTCTTTCATGAGACCGAGAATAACCAGGGAGTGGGCTGTATTGGGATGCATGCATAAATGTAAGAGAAACCATCGAGTGCTTTGAGCTCGGCGAGAAAAACAGTGTGAGTTTCCCGCTGCAGCTAGAAATAGCTTATGTTCAATGACAGGATTCCTGAATCCTCGATTCGCTACTTTCGTAGATGCGTAGTATTTGCGCGGTATTGCGTCCCTCATAAACTATAAACATATTAACGAAGTCAGTGACTTTGAAAGCTCTTTCCTCGGTAATATCTCGGCCACTCAAACTGCAACTCAACCACGACGTCCGACGCCAGTTTACTTTTGCAGACGTCAAACATGGCGAAGCTGGACACAATTGATGAAGATGTACTAGGTCCTGCTACACGATATCTTGTACCCATCGCAGACCAGAATCCGAATTTCTTACTGTCAAAGATAACGCTACGGCATCTCAAATCTTTGGTTTGTGTATGGCATCGCTTCAAGGAAGCACGTTTGCCACTTGTCCATGACAAAGTGGTATGATTTGGGGCGGATACTGCTTTCGAATGCTCCAAGTTTCCCCTAATATCTCTGTGGAAGTGCATCAAGTGCGTGTTCTTGTCGGCTTCTATGAAATCTCTTGAGTCTCAACTCTTCTGAAAGAACCTTTTCCCTTCAGATTGCAATACCCCAACCCGAGCTTCAATACCCGGGGACATGCCGAGAAATCGCAAGTTTGGAGCCACCAGATAATATATCCGAGAAGCTTGCATTGGCACTGCCATCCATGCCTTCACTGAAAACATTCCATATCAACTTCGATCCCGCTTTCTACTGTGGCCCTTGGAACACACTTCTCCAGTCCCTCAACTCCTTGCCGTGCCTTGAAATTCTGGACATTGATGCCCAATGGAGATACTAAACCGAAATCTTTCCTCCATTGGATGTGCCGGTGGCTCTCTCCTACGTCGCTTCAGTTATCTTGTTCCCTTTCGACTCATCCGAGATCCCGGACGGCGGGATGATTAGCAACGTTGTGTAGAAATACATAATCTCCTTATCTTGAACCAGTGTTGCAAAGCCTGGAAATCCCGACGGGACTAGTGGATGAACTTCTGAGAGAACCATTTCCCTCTTTGACACAGCTGGTTCTCCATGGATATAGTCCGGCTACACACATGAATCTTCATGAATTATGGAATCGAGCTGTTGTTTCTGGCACATCTTTCACTCCCTGGATATCCGTGCTATACTACTTCCAGGCCATAGCATGACAATTTCTGGTCTCAAAAATCTCTCATCTACGATCGTTAACGCTTTCGAACTGCTATACGGATGATGCTATTTTATCCCTTTTGCCAAGCAAGCTTCAGCATCGATCTTTAAACACATATCCACAACCCTTCCTTACCGATGAATATCAATTTTCCAATGTACCCGTCGTATTCGTCTCTTGTTCTATGCTCGTAGCACTTTACGGCTCAGGTCTTTTCTAAACCTTCGCAGACTCGAAATATCTTACAGCTGGGATTCCTTTTCATTCGACCGACATTGCGTTATTTTTACTGGCGAAGGAGGATTGCGAGACCTGTTAGAGAAAATGGCAATCCCGTAGAGCAACAAGCTTGAAGTCCAAGAAACCACCAGTTTTATAACTGCCGCGGTGTCTGTCCTACTGGCAACTTGATATCCCCCTCTCATATCTTCGGAGTTTCATTGGCGACCTACGGCCTTGAAGCCCGAGCTTAAGAACCAAACCGCCTAATAAGTTATCCAAGATAACAATTAGTATTACCTGTTCAACGACCATATTGTTACTAATAAGCATGTCGAATTTATCTACGAGATGTACAATACGTCTACTTATTATAAATAGATTATGAGGACAAGTCGTTTACAGGACTTCGGATGCCGGACCGACGTGACTTATATAGGGTCTCGCCCCATCTTGACTGTCCACAACAACTTGACAAGGACTTGACCAGTAAGGATCGGACATCCCTGGCGGAATGGCTAGAAGGGATTCGATATTAAAACCACCGACTTCACCCCTAGCACCATTTCCTCCCCTTCTGCCTCCTGAGCTTCGTAGTCGAGCACCGGAATTTTATGGGTTCGTCGCGTGGACGTCGACGTCTCTTCTTTTCGTCGTATACTTCCTTTGGGCGATTCTGCCAGACGAATACGTTGAATGGCTTGGGCTTACATGGTATCCCAACAGGCGAGTGTTGAGTGCGAGGAAAAGCAGGGGAGCTAACAATGTTCTTTCAGAGAATGGGCAGTCCTTCTTCCTGCATATTCTGTTGTTGTGGTTCTACTGGCGTACTTTGTGTACTTTGCGCTAGCTATCTACGGCACCCCTTCCCTCTCTGACTCGTGTACCTTTACTGGTGAGGTTTTTGCTGCAATGTGTGTTCAGTCCGTGATTTATGGTGTTAGATTCGCGGTCTCATTATCTTCCCGTACGCGAGGGGAAGCAAGGATGCACTTCGTTCGCTCGTCCTGATGCAGTTCTGGAGCTATACGATATTCCAATTGGACTTGTGAATCGCGTCTTGTACCATGACGGGCTTTCTGCCGACTGATGTGTTAGTACGACATATCTAGTTGTCTAACCGTCACTGCCGTCGGAATCTCACGGTGATTTACATTATGCGCGTAAGTTTTTTCCTTTGAAAACCATGCCACTAACAAACGGAACAGATCGACTGGTGCAACAAATCCGCCCTGGGAGGAACGCAGGAATTAGTTATGTTATAGTGTTGGATTGGCGTGATCACTATTCCTGTCAGGTGTACGAATATCATGTTAGAAAGTGCTAATGGTCGTAGCAGTCGTAGAAAAACAGAATGCACATATTTTCTCGCACCAATCGTTGACTCGACAAACGTCATTTTTCCTTTCTGTGAAGTGGGTCACAGATGTGTCACATCACACCCGGTGACCCGCTGCCGCGAAAACGCGTCAAAAAAGTTTCTTCCCGTACCACGACAATGCGAATTCATTGATACGAGCCTTATAGGAATATGAATTCAGATGGATACCATCCAGTATCAGAGCTGGGTGATGAATCCGCCATCGTCACGGCTAGAGAAGCCTTCAAAGATATCGCATTCGGGAGTGTATGTACCTCACGTAGTACGCCTTTTTCCCTTCTTTCTGACTTTGCACAGATAGCCGGAATGATCTCGGAGGTGTTCGAATATCCATTTGACCTCGCAAAAGTGCGGCTGCAGTCGCAAATGCTGACACCTGCATCGGAAAATATTGGAAGACGTTTTAATGGACCACTGGACTGTTTGATGCAGACATGGAGGGACGAAGGATTCAAGGGACTCTATAGGGTGAGTAGCGACCAATGTGGCCTTCGTCGCTTAATTATTTCTGCAGGGCCTGCCTGCACCTCTCGTCGGCTCAATGGCAGAGACCGCCGCCTTATTCTTCGCCTATTCCTCGTTCCAAAATGTCATCCGTGCCTATTCCTTCCGTAAAGACCCTCAAGAATCATCTCTGGAGCTTTCGATACCACAGCTGGGCCTTGCAGCTGCTGGTGCAGGCTTTGTCACCAGTTTTATTCTGTGCGTACATTGGAAGGAACGGTTCGTTGACTAATGCATCACCAGAACACCCATTGAGCTCGTAAAGTGCAAAATGCAAGTCCAGATGATGAACCATCATACGAGCGCACATATTCCACCCATTCACAGTACACCGAAGCCCATCAAACAGATGGTAACACAGACACAATCACTATCGTCTCCATCTCCGTCGTCATCGCGCTCACCACTATCCACGCTTGCACGGTCAATGTCTACACCTGCAGAGGCAGAGGCGTATCGTCAACGTCTACCCGGTCCCACGTCCATTATTAGGACAGTCGTACAAGCTCACGGTGTTCGAGGACTCTGGTTAGGTCATACCGGAACCTTACTCCGCGAAGCCGGTGGTACTGCTTCATGGTTTGTCCTCAAAGAATGGCTCGCGTCAGAGTTCAAGAGGCGGCGACTCGGCGAGGGCATACCCGGCGAGCTTCTGCCGTGGGAGTCGGCAGTCTCTGGTGCAATATCGGGCGCGGCGTGTGTGCTGGCACTGTATCCCGCCGATACAGTGAAAAGTGCGATGCAGACAGAGGAGGAGTTGCGTTCTCAGCTGGGGAAAAAGATGACGGAAGGGGCCACCTCTTTTTATCGGACAGCTACGAGGATGTACTCTATGCATGGGATTAGAGGGTTATATGCTGGGTGCGGCATGACCGTCGTGAGAGCAGTGCCCAGCAGTGGGATCGTCTTTCTAGTATATGATGGGCTGAATTCCTGGTTCAGTAGATTATGAGGCAGCATTTACTTAGAACATACACAACTTAATCAACAGGTTCCATTTTATTGTATTTGCATACATTTGTCTATCTAGATCATCTTCTCTCACTCACACCCATCGGAGAACCTACATCGAATTACAGCCACGCTCTTTATTGGGCGAATATCTCTACACACGCAAAATTCTAGATCTTCTCATCACCCCGGCACGAAAGACAGCGAGTGCCAACTAGTAGGATCTGCCAAACATCGTCCAGCGCTTCGCGTCCTTCCCGCAAGCCGGACATTTGGTCTTGCCGGGTTCAATGGGAGCCCATTTCGACTGGTCGAATGGAATAGCTAACGACTTGGCACCGGCAGATGGCGCGCGCTCATCTTGCGCCTCACCCCTGCTCGCAGAAATATTAGCAACATTCAAGCTCAAAAGATGGAGACGCTACTAACTTGAGAGTAGCACGTGCACTGCGCTCCTTGATATCATCCTCACATGCCTCGTCCTCGCACCATGGTATAACCACAACACATTTACTATCCAAAGTCGGCACGACATCCTCCCACTTGGTAATCTCCTTCAGGTGGGAATAGTAAGTGTCCTGAGCACGGGTGAACATATCGTTCTGGATCGTCTGCAGCAGTTCGGTGACTGTCTTCCCAATGTCGGCCGTGGGGATGGGGTTCTTGACACCTGTATCTCGACGGACAGTGAGCGTCTGTTGCTTGGCGAGGTCATTCGGGCCGATTTCGAGGCGGAGAGGGACACCCTGGACGGCAAAGGTAAGAGATCTAATGAAGGGGAAGTACAAGTAGAACCAAGCATGCCTTTTGTTCCCAGTCGTTAAATTTATACCCAGGAGTGTATCCGTCTCGCAAGTCAGCCTTGGCTCTAATACCCACTTTCTTGAGCGTCTTGGCGAGTTCGTCACAGGCATCGTTGATCTGTGCGCGAGTCTCGTCAGACGTCTTGGCCGTGATACCGCATGGCACGACGACGACTTGGATGCTAGCCACACGTGGGGGAAGAACCAGACCCTGGTTGTCACCATGCACCATAACCATAACACCGATCGACCTCGTCGACAGACCCCATGAGTTCTGCCAAACGTAGAGCTTCGTCTGCCCTACCTTGTCCTCGGGATCTTCAACGGATATATTGAACATCTCCGGCCTGGAAAAGTTCTGCCCTAGACAGTGCGACGTGGCGGCTTGGATGCCACGTCCAGAGGTGGGGATGAACCCTTCGATGGTGGTGGTATAGAGACCACCGGCAAACTTCTCCTTCTCCGATTTGACGCCAGGAATGACGGGAACGGCGAGAAGCTCTTCGTATACTCTGCGGTACAGTTCAAGAATTTGACGAACTTCGATGTCGGCTTCAGCTTTGGTGAGATGGGCAGTGTGGCCCTCTTGCCAGAGGAACTCTCGTGTTCGTAGGAACGGTTGGGGGTTCTTGAATTCCCAACGGACAACGCTGTTCCATTGGTTCAACTTGAGTGGGAGGTCACGGTGACTCTTTATCCATTTTGCGTAGTCTGAAGATTCTGTGAGTGAAGGAAATATGGTCAGCTAAGTATTCCGTACAAGGGTACATGGCAGTCTCGGAAGTTGGGCGGATAGCAATCGGTTCCTCGATATCTGAGCTGCCTGCTCTTGTGACCCAGGCCACTTCTGGGGAGAAGCCTTCAATATGATCTTTTTCGCGTTCCAGGACCTTAGCAGAGACGAACATAGGGAAGTACGCGTTCTGAACATCCAATTCTTTGATCTTGGCATCGAACCAGTCTGTGGATTTCACTTATGAGCTTATTATCAATTTTATGCGCCATAACGTACGTTGAATCTCTTCCCAAATGCTATACGACCACGGCTTGAGAATATAGCAACCGCTGACACTGTAGTAGTCAAGCATATCAGCTTTGAGGAGGACCTGTAGAGCGGCGCATTAGAATAAGAATGGCAGTGGTATAGTAACTCACGTTGGTATACCATGCTGAAAAGTCTACTTCTTTCTTCACACCAACGGCGATCTGGATAGCTCCTTCGATTTTAGCGTCTTCCTTTTCTTTGGCGGCGGGTTTTGGTACAGGAGCGGCTGCGGGAGCAGCATCAGATAGATCAAGCTCTTGTAGCTTGGTATCAGCCGTCTCTAGGCTCTGGATATATGTAAGAACGTCCTTCCCCGAGAGAAAAACGGTGGAACTGGATGAATGTGCGTGGAGTGCGAACTGGGACGATGAAGAGGCAATCGATGAGTCGACAACGGTGACTACTTTTGAGAAATTTCCCGCGTTGAGAGCGAGTGGAGATACTGAACGCCATTCAGCGCGGCGACAACGAGAAAAGAAAGCAAAAACGTACGCGAGTCCTTGTCCAGGGCAAAAAACTCCTTCAAAAGGTCCTCGGAGGCCAACCGCAATTCCTTTAGATTCAGCTTCTTCCCTATCGCCGCAGAGCTGGGATTGACCGATTCTGGCGCGATAACGACGACAGGGACCGGGATGGCCGTTTTCGCTGTCTTGGGTTTGTAGACAAGGGTTTTGATGAGTTCGTAGGGCTCCGATACGGACGTCGTGGCTAGCGCTGACCGCCAAGCTGCTGGAGAATCGGTTGCTGCATGCGACACGGTCGCCTTGGGCTTCAGGGACAGGGCAGCCAGCGACTGTGTTACTGAATCCATGGACGATACCTCAGAAAAAGGTCGAAGTGAAGAAGGAAGGATAATTCGAATCAGGCGACGTCTTATCAGATGGTGGTTAGACACAATTCGAGTCAAGCCCCAAGGAATCATAGAAATGGGAAATAAAAATAAACGAAAATTCAATGTGAGGGCCCAACAGAATTATCCACAACTTGCTGTGCTCGTATTGAATCAAAATTTGGCTACAAGGAGCGTCACTGAAAGAAAAAAAAAGTCAGTAACAGACAGCCGCGTCGCGTGCACTTCAACATTGGGAAAATAACGACGCTCGGTTGAAATTATTAGTAGCCGCCGCAGATAATTATGTTGAATCATCCTAGTTCTCAATAAAATCCAAATATTACTATACATGCTCCGGACAGAACAAAAATTTATAACACTCACAACAAGCTCCCTGGCTGGGAGTCGAACCCAGCTTTCGCGCGTGACAGGCGCGTGTACTAACCGATATACTACCAGGGAGTTACTACTCGTTGGGTCGTAGAAAACATGAAGTGATGATGGTCGACACATCTTACGCTAAAAAGAGTGCCCTCCCTTTTTTCAACTCGATTGCATGAACTCAACTGCAATTTTCGGATGCAGTCGCAAAATATTTTCTCTACCCCCACAACACCGTAGACTATCGACTGTAACATTCAAGGTCGATTCCAAGGCCTTTTCAAAGACCTTGAATTTGCCAAAGACTTGCTTTCCTCTATGGGCCGAACGCGAAAAGAGCGAAATCGCCCTACGTTCAAGGATTTGCGAGGATTTATATAGGGCACAGGTCAGCATCTCACGAATCACGAATCAAGGCGCGTTATTCTCATCAGGTTGCGTAGGCACGTCGAAGGGGTGGCCGTGACTTCGTTTTGCATGATGGTCCTCCGTATGCCAATGGCAATCTGCATGTCGGTGAGTAGTCTTCATTTCTGCCTTGTCTTTTCTCATACATGTAGGCCATTCCATGAATAAAATCCTCAAGGATATAATCAACCGATTCCATGTTATTTCTGGAGACCGGGTCCAGTCCGTCGGTCAACTTTCCAGTAACTCGTAGCCCTCATTCTCTTCGTAGATATATCCCTGGGTGGGATTGTCATGGCCTACCTATCGAAAACAAGGCATTAAAGGACCTCGGAGTTCGTCGTTTCCTACTACTACTGAAGACACCTGCCCATATCACTAAAGTCGGATTCAAGGTCGCTTTCCCCATCTGACGTTCGTTCAGCTGCCCGGAAAACTGCCCTGCGCGAGATTGAGACACAGAAAGAGGAATTTCGACAGTTTGGGATAATGGCTGACTGGAGTAAAGAAACCACATATCGTACTCTGGGTATGTGTACTCATCCTGCTTTAAATATGGTCTTCTAACGGCACTTGTAGACCATGAATACGAAATGCGGCAGCTAGCGATATTCCAAAGGATGGTCGAAAACGGTTCGCGGATGCTTTGTTTAGCTTACATTGCGAAAAATTGACCACCACTGCTAGGTTTAATTTACAGACACTATCGACCAGTTCATTTCTCTCCCTCTTCTCGGTCGGCGTTAGCGGAAGCAGAATTGGTATACAAGGATGATCACATTTCCCACTCTGTCTATGTTACCTTCAATTTGGATGTAGCACAGTCGGGCGAAAGATATGCAAAGTATGGTCGCGATATCAAGTTCTTGGTCTGGACCACGACTCCTTGGACCCTGACCGCAAACATGGTAAGCTATGAGCCATTTTTCTTCGCAACACTCAACCTCTGCAGGGAATTGCTGTGAATCCGGAACTGGCTTATACCTTTGTCGAACGCGAGGATGACAAGGATGGTCCTCTTTTCCTTATCGCCACTGGTCGGCTGGGAGACATCCCTACGGAGCCCGTCTTCTCTGCCCTAGGGAATATTCGCTATGTCGGCAGCATCGAAGGTCAGAGTCGCTTTTTCTGAGGTCTTTCTGTCCTCCCTGATCTGCATACTAGGTTCTGACCTCGTTGGGGCATACTACAAACCAATCTTCTCTCATGGAAACTGTATGAGAATCATTAGGGCTTCGCACGTCACGGCCGAATCTGGTACCGGTTTGGTACACTGCGCTGCTGCCCACGGTGTGGAGGACTACAACACCTTCCGGGACCAAGGACTACTGTCTGGCACTGAATCGATTTTATGCCATGTTGGTTCTGAGGGAGAGTTCACAGCAAATGTTGCTGATGTCGTTGGTGAAGCGGCTGCTCAAACTCTGGTCGGAAAACCCGTACTCGGAGATGGATCGCGTGCGGTAGTGACTCTACTGAAGGAGACCAATAGTTTGGTCAAAATAGAGCGGTTCAAGCATAAGTACCCTTATGACTGGAGAACGGACAAACCGATTATCGTCACGTACGTTTGGGCCTTCTTTCTCTTGAGTGCCATCATCGTTTATCATGTACATTTTATCAGTGCGACTTCCCAGTGGTTTGCTAATTTAGATAAGATCAAGGATGATGCCCTGAATGCTCTCGAACATGTAGAAATGTTCCCTTCTTCATGTAGGTGTAACCCTTCTTTCTCGCTACACTTAAGTTCTTACTTATTCCTCAAAGCTCGTCTACAATCATTCATACGCTCACGTTCAGAATGGTGCATATCCCGCCAACGGGTGTGGGGCGTACCGATACCCGCTTTGTACCATATTCCTACGGACCGCGCAGTCCTGGACGCGGCTTCCCTTTCCCATATCCTCCCCATCCTCCAAGAGAAAGGCGTTGAATACTGGTGGAACGGACCTGTTGAGGAATTCATCCCTCCGGCCCTTCGGCAGACAGGAGAAGGTGAAGAAGCGAATGTGTGGCGCAAAGGAACCGACACGATGGATGTGTGGTTTGATAGTGGGTCTTCGTGGTCTATGTTGGAACAGCGTGAAGATGAACAGGGGGAGAAGTATCGAGCGGACGTCTGTGTTGAGGGCTCGGACCAGCACCGGGGGTGGTTCCAGAGTCAGTTGCTTACGGCTGTGGGGTCCAGGTCGTCCTCTATCCCATACAAGGTTCTCGTTACACATGGAATGGTCTTGGACCAGAAAGGAAAAAAGATGAGCAAGTCCCTGGGTAATGTTATAAGCCCCATAACGGTAGTCGCTGGTGGTAAGGTGTGTGAATATTGCTCGTTTCAGTTTGCGAGGTTGTTCATCTGGTCCTAGGACAAGAAGAAAGAACCTGCGTATGGTGCCGATCTCTTGAGGTTGTGTATTGCTTCGGTGGAGTATTGGAATGATGTACCTCTTGGAACAAATATTCTCAACCAGACTGCAGAGTCACTGAGAAAGATTCGGAACACGGCGCGTTTCCTACTTGGAAATATTGGAGATATCTATGAGCAAGACAATGAGGACGCGTGGGAAGATCTTAAGGAACATATGGATTTGGTAAGTCTGTTTCGAAATGAGTGCTGTGGTCTACACTAAGTCTGGTTGCAGGCTGACCGGTACATGATTAACGAACTGCAGAAATGCGAGGCGGGATGTGCAACGGCGTATGCTGCACACAATTTCCCCAAAGGTTGGAGCGACGCTGTCAATGGTCCTTCATGTGTTGACTTTCCTCGATTCAAGTTGTCAAGACACTCCAGAACCTCTGCAACATAACCCTGTCGTCCTTCTACTTTGATATAAACAAAGACAATCTCTATGCGAATCCTTTGAATGGGTACGAACGGCGCGCTACTGCTTTCGTGTTAAAAGAAGTATGTCGTTCCTCTTTCTCAAGGGACATGTATTAAACAGTGTTTTACAGATACTAGCAACTATTGTTCGCATCATGGCCCCCATTTTACCCCATTTAGCTCAAGAAATACACGATTCAATGTACTACAAGAGCAAAGGGTCGGTTTTCTTAGAGCAGCCGTGGAATTGGCGGGATGGCGGCTTCGCAATCAAAGGCTACACAGAAGACGATGTGAAAGCAGTGAACAAAGACTCGGACGACATGATCATGTTGATGCAAGAAGTGCGCCCTGTTGTTACGTCTCTGCTAGAACAAGCTCGAGAGCAAAAGTCAGTCAAGTTGGTTCGCTTCTTTGACACTTGCTGACAACGTGTACAGACAAATCAGAAGCTCTTTGGAAGCTGAGGCGGATATTATCCTCCCAGAACCTCCTGATGTTGCTTCAAACACCCTTTCAGATGGGCAAGAGGAAGCTATACCACTCGAGGACAACGGAAAAACACGGATTGCCCAGTTTTTCCGAGATCATGGTGCGTGTTGATAAGCTCTTCGGTGGAGCTGTACGTTTACTCAATTCTCGCAGAGGATTTCATGGCGAAGCACTTCATCGTGTCAAGGGTCACAGTAATGGACGAAGGGTCGCTGGGAACGACGTCGCCGGAGTGGATCTATATTCGTAGCTTGAGTATATTGGGAGATCAGTTCTCGAAGCCTGCCACATCTGCTGAGGATTCCTATGACGTCGCTATCCGGATTCGCCCTGCTACGAGGGAGAAATGTCCTCGGTGTTGGACTTTCACCAAGGAAGCTGAGGATGTTCTATGCCAGCGATGTGCAGATGTTACGCAGGATATGGATTAGTAAATTTACTTTGATGCCGAAGGGATTTTGCTTGTACGGTAGAAGCCCGAAAATGATATATCTATCTTATTCGGTCAAGGGTAGCTCAGGAGAAAGCCTGCAAGAGTCAGTTGACAAGAAAGTACACAGCAATGTGGATGAACGCGCTTTCTCGTCAGTCCCCCAAGACCCCAGATCTGATTTGCAACTTTAATCGTCACCCCCAGATCATCGGCAAATGCCCACAGCACCCCAGGGTTCTTCGTGAACAGCCTCCCGACAAACACAACATCTGCCTGGCCTCTATCAAGGACATTTCGGGTAATGTGTCCATCTGTAATGCTCCCAACAGCGCTGACAAGCAAACCAGGGTTGCTTTTCTTCACATCATGTGCGAGATGGGCTTGGTACGTGGGTCCAGGAGTAAATTTCTGCTTCATGTTGTTACCGCCAGCAGATACATCGAGCAAATCAACCTCATGCTGTAGTGTGTTCGACACCACTGTATACCTCTTGTTCAGGCATCCGGATCCGGACAAGTAACCGGGTACTGCATCTGGAACTTGAGTCTCTCATCTTGGACTGCATGATGGTCACAGTCCTGAAAACCTAGTCGTGTCAGCTGCATATGGCTGGGTTATGATGATTGATCCATGATAAAGCATGATGAAGGCCAGGAAGGATTGGTCAACGTGCAAATGGGCTGGAGGCAAGTCCATATTATTTGAAAGGATGGCAAAATGAAGGGACAATGTCAACTGCTGAACAAATCTGCAAGGAGAGAAGCAGTGAGCAGAGTACATGTACCCTTAAGTGTCAGACATGGTAGTCTTTTAGAATGGAAATATTGCTTATGAACTGTGATTCAGATGCAAAATTGCCAAGTGCCTCAATGAATGGCTTTGGACAAACAATATGATAAAAACATTATTTTTTCCAATAGACCATCACAAACAGTTGTAGCTATCTTGGTTCAACTGCTTAATAAATATTTCTATGACCAAGACCAGTTGTGAATTTGGCAGTCTGTCATCAGTCCTGTGACTTTTGAAGCTTGCAGGCCTAGGGTCCACTTCAGCAGTACTTCCCTTTCTTTGTCACTTGTGGATTCTTCTCATGAGAGAGACAAGCATTTAGCTGTATGTTTGGCTCATCCAATTGTCTGCTATATGAAAGTTATAGTGAGAGTCATCTGAGCAAGCTTTTTATGGGCAACTTGGTACATACCAGTCTACTGTCAGATCAAAAGTTAATTACATGTGCTGCTACTACAAGCCAGCTGAAATGTATTTATCATGCAAAATGGTGACTGTCAATGGTTTGATGAAGCCCAGCCCATATTGAGAAAATATAGGCACTCTATGTACAGTTGACTATCTCACAATGCATATGATCAGGAGACACTAAAACCATATGCATTTATAGATTTATGCAGAATCAAAATAGTATGTGATGTGACATGTGACTTATGTGACAACATCATCATTGCCTCAAAATGCTGTCAGTGGCTTTTGGGTCAGCTTTCCATGCATCTTCTTGAATAATGCTCCTCTCAACTTCCTCAGCTGTGGTACTAATCCACTCTGGTCACCTTGTGAAACACAAAATGCCTCCAGCTTTTGAACAAGCTCAAATCCTTCCTTTGTAGTTATTAAGATCTGTTCTTTCTCACCCTCCTCTTTCTCATTATCATCAATGACAGTTATTTCCCCATTTTCTACTGCAATACCATGCTTGACAGCAGCAACAATCTCCTCATCTGTTGGCATTGCCTCAAGATCTTTAGTATACTCTTCTGCAATAGGGTTAACTATCTCTTCAATAGTTGGAATAGGACCAAACATGTGATTTTGTTGTTTCAATTTGACAAGGTGGTCCTTCAACATTATCTCTGCTGTCTGAAGCTGTTGAATAGAGGCAATTTGAGTGGAAGATGTGTTCATTTTTGACTGTGATGAAGGAGCCAACTGATTGACTGCTTCCAGTGCTTTATTAACATCATTCTCTGCATTCATAACAGCCATAAGAGCAGGATATCAGTCAGCATCAGCATATTGGTTTCCAACCAGATTCTGCAATGCCTGTTCAATTCCTGGAAGTGTGTATTTGTCTGTTGAGACAAAGTCATAAACAAGGTTTCATGCAGACTCAAAGAGTGAGGTGTCTTGGAAATCATTGGATAGTGTGGTGGACTGTGACTCAGATGCATTGTCAGGCATTATACCAGTGTGTTTCCAGCAGTTTGCTATCGTTTCACTGCCGACATTTGCCCAAGCATCATGAGCAATAGTCATAGCTTCAAGAGGATCAAGCTTGAAGATCTCAGACTCTCTAAGGTCATCAAGATCAAGTGTATGAATACACATGACATTCTAATAATATGCTTTGAAGCATTGGATAATACCAGCATCTAGTGGCTGGACATATAGAGTCATGTTGGGCTTGAAGAACTCCAGCTTTGTGTTATGGGGTGTATAAGTGATGGAATGCCCTCAAAAGTTGTCTAAGGTCAGCAGAACCTATTGCATCTCTCTCTTCATCTTTAAATCAAACATCTTCACCCACTCTGTAAATATTTTGCTCATCATCCAGGCCTTCTTGTTATTCTGATAATAGAATCCCATTGTTGTTGGACTCTTTTTTTTGAAACATTGTGGTTGCTTTGACTTTCCAATGAAAACAACTGGCATCTGCTCACTCCTATTTGCATTTACAGCAAAACACATGATGATATAGAACTTGTTTTGTTTCTGTCCACTCATAGGACTAGATGCCAAGGTATGATCTGGGATGGCAAAGATGACAAGACCAGATTTATCAATATTCTATCTGTCTCACATCATATATTTCACCATAATGCTGTGAAGGCATACATATTCTTTTTCCACTGTCACCATATCCACTGAGCCTGCTTCTCTATGTCATCAAACCTCCTGAATCTTCCATGCCTTGCAGAATGACCTCAACCATCCCTCTTCTTTTAAACACTAATCCTCTAGAATATCCATCAGATTTTCAATCCAATTTCACTTCTTTATCAGTATTGCATCAGTCACAGTCTCACCTCAGAGCTGCATATTCTGATACCAGGATGCAACAATATGCTCCACATCAGGTCAGATGACAATGCAAGACTTTTTGGATGATAGTGCATTAGAGTTCTTGTTTGTATGCTGTTCAATTTTTGTACAAGATGCCAGTTTCTATGAAAGAGTTGATTGGGTAAAGAGTAGTGCACCTTTCTTTCAGTTTGTGAAATGTGCCACAATATCAGCATGTTGATGGAAAGGATGGTTATCAACATATTTGAATACTATGAGCCAGTCTCCTGTTGTGAGGTGTGGGTGAGAAATCTGCTTTGAAGGCTGAGCCAATGATATGTATATTGGGACTTTCTTCTTCTGTTTTGTATGCTCATATGGATTTCCAGATTTAGCATGTGGTTTTCATGTTAGTTCAGAAGGCATGTTTATAGAGATATAGGCTGCACTGCTTTACAATAATTTTTTTTGTGTTTGTCATAGTCTATACAAACAAATTATATTCTTTATTGTTCTAATATATGCACAATATTATATTAGCTTACTACAATTTTGAATCTGACAATGCATATTTCTAACTAAAACCATATGCATTATGTGATATGCATTTCTAGCCTATTTTCCTGCTCCCCAACTGTATTCTAGCTCAATCCATATGCAAAGTCAGAATTATGCATTTCAACATTATGCATTGTGAGATAGTCAACTGTATATTAGAGACCACTCCTTCAGATGAGTATATACATATCTAGTGCAAAAACCAACTATTAGCATGTATAAAATTAGAATAAAGCTCACCAAAACTTGTGGTAGATGGAAAGAACTAAAAGAAACACACTGAGATAAGAAACATGATAAATTCTAAGCTTCTTGTTGAAAACAGGATTATACCATGTTCATCCTGAATCTGAATAGCATGACACAGTCTCTAGCTAGTATAATGACTATTCTGTTACTGCAGCTCTTGATGCCCATCTAATTTTGACTATATATGCATTGTGCAAGCCCAATGGTCATCAGGCTGGACAGTGTTAAGAACATGCCAAATGATTGAGTTTGAGTGCACACATGCAGACTGATAGAGTGCATGAGCATCAACAAAGCTATTGGCAATGTTACTCTTGAGTTGAGGTCTAAGGATTTAGATTGACAGAGCAGAGTTCTATCAGGAAAGTGAAGAGGAATATCCTTCAGAGCAGAATCTGGTGAATGAGAGAGAGAGGAACTGAAGTGAGCACAAAGTGTAGATGGCTATCCAAGTTGATATTTGAACTGAGTATCTATAATGATTATACAGATTTTTATATACTGGTAGCTACTGCTGAGTCAGAGTCCAAGGTGAGTTCCAATGGACTCTGAATTTAATTATTCACTACCAACTTCAGATTGACAGTTAAAATGTGAAATACAGATGTGAAATATTGAAAGTAATTCAAATAAAGGGAATTGATAGTTAATCAGGCTCCAGTGGTTTTCTGTGACTGACAGAGCATTTGTGTGATGTGAGTTCAGTAGCATGCATGTAAAAGTACCTCTTCTTTAGCATTCTTGCTCTCAAGAGCACAGATCCTGATGACTGGAAGAGGAGTTCAGAGAAGTTTTTGAAAGAGATATATGGGAGCTTGGGAACATTGTAACTTGAACCTCAATCATCACCATCTCTGTGTTGTCTACTCTGTTATCTTAGTCTACATATTGACTATTATGTTCTACCACCTTTCTGAAACACCCAAGCTGTATGTGGCCTCTTGACTCTGGCAGACCTCTTTCAGAAGGATGTCAAAGTATTCTGTTTAGAGCAGACTGCCATAGCCAATGAACACATGAAGGCCATAGGAAGGCATGAAAAATGGAAAGTGGAGAGGGCAAGAAGAGAGTGGGAGAGCCAGATTAAGGCAGAGCATCTGGTTTGCAAGAAGAAGATGAAAGCTCTGCAGAAACTAGCAAAGAAAAAGAGGAAGCTGCTTCACTAGGAGCAGAAGAGGCTGAGGGTAGAAGAGGAGGTACAGGAACAGACAGAAGCTGAGGAGAGAGAGAGTGGAGAAGACAGAGAGAGAGACAGAGAAAAGAGCAGCAGAAGATGTAGGGGAGGTGAAGGAGCCACAGAAGAAGGCTGCTCAGGCACTGGCAGACAGTGTGGACTACTGGCAGAGAAAGTTGTTGGTGAAAATAGAGTTGAGTCCAGCAGGCCTTGGCACACAGTTGGTGAGGGCCTTGCAGGCACTGGCCTCATCTGAAGATAGTGAGAGTGGGATTTCTGCAGAGTTATAGGCATGTTTTGAGCAAGAGAGGAGAGCAGTTTGGAAAGGCAAAAGGAAAATGCAGAGACTGGCAGAGAAGAAAAGATGAAGGGGAGTAAGATCAAGTAGCATAATGGAGGAGACTGATATTGAGAAGAGGAAAAATCTCTAGAAGCAAGTGAATTTGAATGTGGTGGTGCTAGT